CTGACTACATAACAGAGGTTGCTTCGACTGCACGCTGTGGGACACTCTTCGTAAATCCACTGCAAGTCTTGATGAAGTCAACGACGTTGTGACTGCCTACATAACAGAGGTTGCTTCGACTGCACGCTGTGGGACGCTCTCACTGCAAGTCTTGATGAACTCAACGTCGTTGTGACTGACTACATAACAGAGGTTGCTTCGACTGCGCTCTCACGCTGTGGGACGCTCTGACTACTGCAAGTCTTGATGAACTCAACGTCGTTGTGACTGCCTACATAACAGAGGTTGCTTCGACTGCACGCTGTGGGACGCTCTCACTGCAAGTCTTGATGAACTCAACGTCGTTGTGACTGACTACATAACAGAGGTTTGCTTCGACTGCACGCTGTGGGACACTCTTCGTGAATCCACTGCAGTCTTGATGAACTCAACGACGTTGTGACTGACTACATAACAGAGGTTGCTTCGACTGCACGCTGTGGGACACTCTTCGTAAATCCACTGCAAGTCTTGATGAAGTCAACGACGTTGTGACTGCCTACATAACAGAGGTTGCTTCGACTGCACGCTGTGGGACGCTCTCACTGCAAGTCTTGATGAACTCAACGTCGTTGTGACTGACTACATAACAGAGGTTGCTTCGACTGCACGCTGTGGGACGCTCTCACTGCAAGTCTTGATGAACTCAACGTCGTTGTGACTGACTACATAACAGAGGTTGCTTCGACTGCACGCTGTGGGACGCTCTCACTGCAAGTCTTGATGAACTCAACGGCGTTGTGACTGACTACATAACAGAGGTTGCTTCGACTGCACGCTGTGGGACACTCTCACTGCAAGTCTTGATGAACTCAACGGCGTTGTGACTGACTACATAACAGGGGTTGCTTCGACTGCACGCTGTGGGACACTCTCACTGCAAGTCTTGGTGAACTCAACGGCGTTGTGACTGACTACATAACAGAGGTTGCTTCGACTGCACGCTGGCGGACGCTCTTACTGCAAGTCTTGATGAACTCAACGGCGTTGTGACTGACTACATAACAGAGGTTACTTCGACTGCACGCTGTGGGACGCTCTCACTGCAAGTCTTGATGAACTCAACGTCGTTGTGACTGACTACATAACAGAGGTTGCTTCGACTGCACGCTGTGGGACGCTCTCACTGCAAGTCTTGATGAACTCAACGGCGTTGTGAGTGACTACATAACAGAGGTTGCTTCGACTGCACGCTGTGGAACACTCTCACTGAAAGTCTTGATGAACTCAACGACGTTGTGACTGACTACATAACATAGGTTGCTTCGACTGCACGCTGGCGGACGCTCTCACTGCAAGTCTTGATGAACTCAACGACGTTGTGACTGACTACATAACATAGGTTGCTTCGACTGCACGCTGTGGGACACTCTCACTGCAAGTCTTGATGAACTGAACGACGTTGTGACTGACTACATAACATAGGTTGCTTCGACTGCACGCTGTGGGACACTCTCACTGCAAGTCTTGATGAACTCAACGACGTTGTGATTGACTACATAACAGAGGTTGCTTCGACTGCACGCTGTGGGACACTCTCACTGCAAGTCTTGATGAACTCAACGGCGTTGTGACTGACTACATAACAGGGGTTGCTTCGACTGCACGCTGTGGGACACTCTCACTGCAAGTCTTGATGAACTCAACGTCGTTGTGACTGACTACATAACAGAGGTTGCTTCGACTGCACGCTGGCGGACGCTCTCACTGCAAGTCTTGATGAACTCAACGGCGTTGTGACTGACTACATAACAGGGGTTGCTTCGACTGCACGCTGTGGGACACTCTCACTGCAAGTCTTGATGAACTCAACGACGTTGTGACTGACTACATAACAGAGGTTGCTTCGACTGCACGCTGTGGGACGCTCTCACTGCAAGTCTTGATGAACTCAACGACGTTGTGACTGACTACATAACAGAGGTTGCTTCGACTGCACGCTGTGGGACACTCTCACTGCAAGTCTTGATGAACTCAACGACGTTGTGACTGACTACATAACATAGGTTGCTTCGACTGCACGCTGTGGGACACTCTCACTGCAAGTCTTGATGAACTCAACGACGTTGTGAGTGACTACATAACACAGGTTGCTTCGACTGCACGCTGTGGGACCCTCTCACTGCAAGTCTTGATGAACACAACGACGTTGTGACTGACTACATAACATTCTGTGTGGATAACATCATACCAACCAGGACTATTAAGCTATTTCCTAACACCAAACCATGGATCACCAAAGACCTGAAAGTGCTTCTCAATGCGAAGAAACGTGCTTACTGTACTGGAAATGGAGCACAGATAAAACACATTCAAAGAGTCATCAAACCTTTGACAAAGAAGTGCAAAACTGAGTATAAAGAAAAAGCTTGAAACAGAATTCTGGAAGAACAACTTAAAGGAGGCATGGCAGGGTGTAAAAACCATGGTCGACACTAATCGGAACCGGGCTAGTCTTCCTGTTCTAGACGAACTTTCCCTTGTTAATGATTTGAATAAGTTCTACTGTCGGTTTGACACCAACGACTTCACATCTGATCGTCTCGCTGTTAACAAATCCCTGCCAGCCGGAGAAAATATCACCATCACAGAAGATGACGTTCTTCAGGTCTTCAAGAAGATAAATATCAGGAAAGCTTCCGGTCCTGACAGCCTACCTGGAACAAGGTAATATTCCAGCTATCTGTTAATTCACGTCATATACCTGCAATCTGGAAAACGGCCAATGTGATACCTATCCCCAAGAACTCGAAACCGTCAGGACTAAATGATTATCGGCCAGTGGCTTTAACGCCCATAGTAATGACATGCTTTGAACGCATTATCCTGAAATTGCTCTTACAAGAAACCAGACATCTACAGAACTGGTGTAGAAGACGCTCTGCTTTCTCTCCTACATACTGTATAGACTCACCTGGATACTCCTAAGTCATATAAGAGAATTCTGTTTGTCGACTTCTCATCTGCGTTCAACACGATACAACCCCACTTAATGACGCAGAAACTGTTTACTATGGAAGTGAATAGCACTCTCTTACGTTGGATCGAGCCCTTCTCTTATACATCGGTTACAACGTGTTCTGGTGAACTCTTCCTCTTCTGATTTAACACTCACGAATACTGGTGCTCCCCAAGGATGTGTATTATCTCCCGTTCTGTTTACCCTCTACACAAATGACTGTGTGTGTGTTTACCCTCTACACAAATGAATGTGTGAGTGATTACCTTATACACAAATGACTGTGTGAGTGATTACCTTATACACAAATGACTGTGTGAGTGATTACCCTCTACACAAATGACTGTGTGAGTAATTACCTTATACACAAATGACTGTGTGAGTGATTACCTTATACACAAATGACTGTGTGAGTGATTACCCTCTACACAAATGACTGTGAGTGATTACCTGATACACAAATGACTATGTGAGTGATTACCCTCTACACAAATGACTGTGAGTGATTACCTGATACACAAATGAATGTGTGAGTGATTACCTTATACACAAATGACTGTGTGAGTGATTACCTTATACACAAATGACTGTGTGAGTGATTACCCTCTACACAAATGACTGTGTGAGTGATTACCTTATACACAAATGACTGTGTGAGTGATTACTTTATACACAAATGACTGTGTGAGTGATTACCTTATACACAAATGACTGTGTGAGTGATTACCTTATACACAAATGACTGTGTGAGTGTTTACCCTCTACACAAATGACTATGTGAGTGATTACCCTCTACACAAATGACTGTGTGAGTGTTTACCCTCTACACAAATGACTGTGTGAGTGATTACCCTCTACACAAATGACTGTGTGAGTGTTTACCCTCTACACAAATGACTGTGTGAGTGATTACCTTATACACAAATGACTGTGTGAGTGATTACCCTCTACACAAACGACTGTGTGACTCTATTCCCTCATATTCAAGTTCGCAGACGATGCCGCATTAACAGGACTCCTCAACAGCTCTGAACTACATTACAGAAACGAAATTGATAGATTCACTTCCTGGTGTTATGACAACTACCTTGTATTAAATGTCACCAAGACAAAGGACATGATTATAGACTTTACTTGTAAACAACCACTAGAACCAGTACTCATCGACGGGGAGGAAGTGCATGTGGTAGAGGAATACAAGTATCTGGGACCTATACTCGGAAAGTATAGTTCTTGGAAAGCTCTCATCTAGCCCTGTCAGTGCAATATTTTGTGATCGTTAAATGCTCGAGTTCTTATGAATGTAAACCAAATTTCCTACGTGGATAATAAAGTCTTATCTTATCTTATCTTATCTTAACTGATATTCACTGGCTGTTGACAGCCAATAATATTTCTGCTACGTGACAACGTTCAATTGAGTCTGGACTACAGGTGAGGTGAGGTGAAATTGGGTTTAACGTCATGCTTGAGAATATTTCGCTCATATGACGACGTGCATGCGTGTGTATGTGTATGTGCGGCTGCTTGTACTAGCCCAGACTTAAGCTGGTTTTATAGTGCTAGCCCACTGAGATACTACGCCGCAGTGAAGCATGAATACCCCGCTCAGACACATTATACTGAGTCCGAGCCGACCAGTCCTTGTTGTACCCATTAATGCCGAGGGCCAGACAGGGACCAACAAGTACCATATTTTAACGTCTTTTCGTATGACGCGGTCGGGGATCGAACCCGCGACCTTCCGCTCTCCGGGCGGACGCTTTAACCACTACACCACGGAGGCGGTCTGAGTCTGGACTTGAACCAGTGGTTGACATCATGAGCATGAATCTGTGAAACTGGGATGCGATAAAATGCATGAATCATGCCATGCTTGGGTTCGAATCTCCACATGGGAACAGTATGTGAAGCCCATTTCCCGGTTTCCGCAAGGATCTTGCTGGAATATAGCTGGAAGCTGCGTAAAACCACACTCACTCACTCACTCACTCTAATCTACCTTGCAGCAGAAACTGTTGGAACTGCTTCTCTGTGGAGTTGTAGCACTTGCCAATGTCAAATGACCAGATGACAGGGGGCTCCTCGTTGTAGTCGTAGATGTTGTAGATGTAGTGTCGTACCTGTAACACCGACAACACCTCATGAAACATGCGACGAGGGAAGCGGAATTCACACACTCACTCACACTCTTACTCATTCACTCTCACACACTCACTCATTCACACACACTCACACACATTCTCTCTCTCTCTCTCTCTCTCTCTCTCTCTCTCTCTCTCTCTCTCTCTCTCTCTCTCTCTCTCTTTCTCTCTCTGGTACTCATTATGTACAGTTTGAGGTTAACAGCTGGTTGTATACAATACCATTGTGGTCGTTGACAGATACGACCACTAAGAGGGTTTGCTATCCCCTCATTTCCTAACAAGCATGTAATATAGCCATCCTTTATGATGAAATAAAGAACTAATTGCTAGACCTCTCTCTCTCACTGCGGCATGGTATCTCAGTGGACTAGCACTATATAACCAGCTTCAGTCTGGGGTAGTACAAGCAGCCGTACATACATATACACACGCATGCACGTCGTCATATGAGCGAAATATTCTTAAGTTCGACGTTAAACCCCATTTCACCTCACCCACTCACTCACACACTCACTCACACACACGCACACATTCATTCACTCACTCACTCACTCACCCACTCACTCACTCTTACCGGTTGCATGTGCATTGTTATGATGATCCCAACAGGCATCTGACTCTCGAAATTGTTTCCGGTGTTGTCCTGCCACTCTTGCTGCACCACAGAAAGGGGCATTTACATGAACAATAATTAGCAGCAACCATGTATAACATAACTAGCTTATAGTGTATATCAGCTTATCAAGTATATAACAAAATCATGGTATAACTGTCATGCTCATACTATTACTGCTACTACTACTGCTACTACTGCAGCTACTGATACTAATGTTGCTACTACTGCTACTCCTGCTGCTACTGCAACTATTACTACTGCTGCTACTGCTACTGTTACTGCTACTACTGCTACTGCTACTGCTACTACTGCTGCTGCTACTGCTACTACTGCTACTGCTACTGCTACTACTGCTGCTGCTGCTACTGCTACTACTGCTACTGTTACTGCTACTACTGCCACTGCTACTACTGCAGCTACTGCTACTACTGCTGCTACTGCTAATATTACTACTGCTGCTGCTACTGCTACTTCTGCTACTGTTACTGGTACTACTGCTACTGCTACTACTGCTGCTACTGCTAATATTACTACTGCTGCTGCTACTGCTACAACTGCTACTGTTACTGTTACCACTGCTGCTACTACTGCCACTGCTACTACTGCAGCTACTGCTAATATTACTACTGATGCTGCTTCTGCTACTACTGCTTCTGTTTCTGTTACTACTGCTACTACTGCTGCTACTGCTACTACTGCTACTGCTACTACCACTGCTGCTGCTACTACTATTGCTCCTACTGCTGCTACTACTTCTACTGTTACTGTTACTACTGCTGCTGCTTCTGCTGCTGCTACTGCTGCTACTGCTGCTGCTGCTACTGCTACTGCTACTACTACTACTACTGCTGCTGCTACTACTACTACTACTTCTGCTGCTGCTACTGCTGCTGCTACTACTGCTACTACTGCTGCTACTTCTACTACTATTACTAATATTGCTACCGCTACTGCTGCTGCTACTGCTACTGCTACTACTGCTACTGCTACTGTTACTGTTACTACCGCTGCTACCGCTGCTACTACTGCTACTGCTACTGTTACTGCTACTACTACTGCTACTACTACCGCTACTGCCGCTGCTACTGCTACTACTATTACTGCTACTGTTACTACTGTTACCACTGCTGCTACTACTGCTACTGCTACTGCTACTGCTACTACTGCTGCTACTGCTACTGCTACTGCTACTGCTACTACTACTACTACTACTACTACTACTGCTACTGTAACTACTGTTACCACTGCTACTGCTACTGCTACTGCTACTACTACTACTACTACTACTGCTACTGCTACTGCTACTACTACTACTGCTACTGTTACTGTTACTGTTACTACTGTTACCGCTGCTGCTACTACTGCTACTGCTACTACTTCTACTTCTACTGCTACTGCTACTACTACTGCTGCTACTGCTACTGCTGCTACTACTACTACTGTCACTGCTACTACCACTGCTGCTACTACTGCTACTGCTACTACTACTACTTCTGCTACTGCTACTACTGCTACTGCTGCTACTACTGCTACTTCTGCTGCTACTACTATTTCTACTACTATTACTACTATTGCTATCGCTACTACTACAACTGCTACTATTGATGCTACTGCTACTACTGCCTCTACTACTACTACTACTGCTACTTCTACTGCTACTACTGCTGCGACTGCTACTGCTACTGATGCTACTACTACTACTACTACAGCTACTACTGCTGCTGCTACTGCTACTATTATTGCTACCAGTACTACTACTACTGCTGCTGCTGCTACTGCAACAACTACTAGTACTGCTGCTGCTACTACTACTGCTACTACTACTACTAGTCCTACTGCCACTACTGCTACTGCAGATACTGCTGCTACTACTGCTACTACTTCTGTTGCTACTGCTGCTACTACTGCTGCTGCTACTACAACTGCTGCTACTGCTGCTACTCTCCTCCAGTATGACTACCTCTACTACGTCTTTGCTAATGCTTCAGCAACAACGGCTTCAACTTACTCTGGCGAAGTACCACTCCCACGTGGTGTTCATGGCGCTGCCCACTGGCCAGTTGACCTTGTCCGTGATCCACACGTCACACTCTATTCCACGCATTGTTCTCTGAAAACATTATCATGTATATGTGTGCACAAGTTACTTGTTACTAACACTTCTAGAAATTTCAATTTTGTTTGTAACCAATTGAGTCTGGGACCAGACAATCCAGTGATGAACTGCATGAACATCGATCTACGTACCTGAGATAAAATGACATGTGTCAACCAAATCAGCGAGCCTGACCACCCGGTCCCGTTAGTCGCATCTTATAACAAACATGGGATGCTGAAGATCAATTCTAAACCGGTGTCCTTCTTCATCAATAACAGATTGGGTTGTTGCATTACGCTAAAGCGATTCTGCAGCCATTCTAACGGACGTAAAATCATACACTAGAAGCTGTCTTGATATGTTTTCGAATAAAAGGGGTTATTAAATTGATCGATAACCGGAAATGTCAATAGGAAATAATGTTAATGATTATTGATATGACAATTATCCCATCGATAACATCGTACATTAACTTTTGTGATAGAATAAAGTTTTAATTTTTTCAAACAATACACAAAGTTAGGTTTTCGTTCATTGGCTGATCCATGAACAAACATGTCAGCACTCACTAGTAATGTGAAATATATTCATTTTTGTTGGCATTATTGCTCAAAGTTACTTCTCCGATATTTATCGATAATCGATCGATATTTAGTCAGCGATTATCGATCTCTATGATCTATATCTATTGCCAGTCATATCGAATATACACGTAACCTAGTCATTGGAGTCGGAGTTGCGTCCCTTAGGGATACCAGCACACTGTGATTCCGGTTCGTCCTCGGTTTCTTCCCGTGCTTAACCAAGATGCAAGCCTCTAATGCCTGCGCCACTTCGAGCTATGTTTCCACAACAATCTAACACCAAAAATAATAATACTAATAATAAATATATTAATTTATTAATAACTAACTCATTCGGTACTAAAACTGTCCAAAGGATTTTACACTTACGAGGCCTTCGTAGGCAATGAAATCAGTCTTGTTCGTAAAAAAGAATTCTGAGCTACTCCGCATGCGCACAGAAGTTGGTCCTGATGTTTCAGCATCGAACCCGGAAGAGGCAATCAGACCGACCGAACAGTTGTTATTAATCTCGTCTCTGATATAGGAAATCCCTGAAAATGATAAACGAGAATAACATAACTGCCTGTTACAGATTCATTCATCTTCATTCTTTGTCATTAAGAAAACAATGAAATAATACAGATTACGAGGGAGTATATTATTACATACAAAATTAAAATGTAATCTAAATTATACACGAACGCAGGTTCAGGTGAACCTTGCGTAATTAAAATGGTTAGGCTTGTCATCGGCTCAATGCCCTTATCCCTTTCCACGCACACGTGTAGATCCGGGTTAAAATTGGTCTTCAGCAACCCATGCTTGTCGTAAGAGAAGCCCATAAACACCGAATAACATTTACTTCACAGGGAGAGGTTCACCTTCATGAACACAAACATCTTCTCCAATCAGGCCACTAACCTCTGCAGGTTCCAATGAACACGGGCGGTGGGGTAGCCTAGTGGTTAAAACGTTCGTTCGTCACGCCGAAGACCCGGGTTCGAGTCATCATATGGGTACAATCTGTGAAGCCCATTTCTGGTGTCCCCCGCAGTGATATTGCTGGAATATTGCTAAAATCGGCGTAAAGCTGAAAACCCACTCACTCCAATGAAAACACGCCACGACCATTTGATACTGATCACCAGGTCATGAACTTACCAGTATTAAAATCATGAATTTCCGTAGTTCTGTGTTTGTCTGCGCCAGGGCCTTCCAAGTTACTTGGCGTGTACTCCAACTTGACAAGTTTATTATCATGGTCAAAATATTCCTAGAAAATAAATAGTGGACACTTCATTTCGAGGCAGACAATTTCAAGAGAAGCGTTTTTATGACTTACTGTTCTTATCAGTCGCTCTGCAGATTTGGTTTTGTTTGTTTGTTTGTTTGTTTAACGCCGCACTCAGCAATATTTCGGCGGCGGTCTGTAATGTTTTTAGTCTGGACCAGATAATCCAGTGATCAACAGCATGAGCATCGATCTACGCATTTGGGATACGATGACATGTGTCATCAAAGTCAGCGAGCCTGACCACCCGATCACGTTAGTCGCCTCTTACGACAACCATGGGTTACTGAAGACCAATTCTAACCCGGATCTTCACGGGCCACTCTGTATCAGAAAATTGCAGAAAAAATGGTTATAGTCAATATGCTTATGATGAAAACAGGCTTAATTCTTTTCTTTTGACAGTTTTTAGGTTACCTAAAAAGTGGTTACAATTTACATTGTACAGGGGTAGAAATACATTTTAACTTAACATAGATGATTAATGTCTTTTGCTGACAGGATTCGCTAAGCATGTGTTAAAATTTACGATCATCTATGCATATTGGTAAAGAATCATAATCGGGGAAATATTGTTTTAAGTCACTAATCCTGAGAATAAGGGACATGACTTACAAAGCGGTCAACGGTTACCAGGATATGCGGATATGCTTACCGTCATGTAGGATATTTGAAAGGCTTCGGGAACCTGGACCTCTGCCCCGAAGCTAAATGTGTTGGACGGTGTGGGCGGCTTGGTCCGTGTTTTCATCCCATGACAGTAGGCTCCCTGGGGAGTCTACAACAACACGAAACATCTTCCAGTTTCAGTGAGTGAGTGAGTGAGTAAGGTTTTATGCCATTTTACAAATATACCAGCAATACAACGGCTGGGGACACCGGAAATGAGCTTCAAACATTGTCCCTATGTTGGGAATCGAACCCGGGTCTTCGGCGTAACGAGCTGACACTTTAACCACTAGGCTACCCCACCGCCCCCTATTTTCAGTGATTAGACCGTTTACTATTCTAAAAGGTTTGAGATCTCCAGGATTGTCGGGGCGGCGGGGTAGCCTAATGGTGTAGTTTCTATAATGTAAAGCCGACTTCTGGTGTCCCGTGCTGATGTTGCTGGCATATTGCTAAACACGGCGTTAAACTAAAATCACTCACTCCAGGATTGTCCGTTTTACAATTTTCTTTTTTTTGTTACATCCACGCTTTCAACTTAAACAAGTTCATTAAAATGAGCCAAAACTATTCTACACTCCTATGGGAATGTTGTTTTCTTTAAGTATTATACGGAATGTTAAATGAGGTGAGGTGAGGTGAAATTGGGTTAAACGTCATGCTTGAGAATATTTCGCTCATATGACGACGTGCATGCGTGTGTATGTGTATGTGTATGTGCGGCTGCTTGTACTAGCCCAGACTTAAGCTGGTTTCATAGTGCTAGCCCACTGAGATACCATGCCGCAGTGAAGCAGAAATACCTCACTCAGACACAATATACTGACCCCGAGCCGACCAGTCCTTGTTGTACCCATTAATGCCGAGCGCCAGACAGGGACCAACAAGTGCCATAGTTTAACGTCCTTTGGTATGACGCGGTCGGGGATCGAACCCGCGACCTTCCGCTCTCCGGGCGGACGCTCTAACCACTACACCACGGATTTTGGTCGAATGGTAAATGAAATAGCATAAAGATTAACGTTTGATGCGTATTATATGTATGCTCTTCTGCTGGCATACAGGACGAGGGTGATCAGGTGGGTAGGTCGGTCAGCTTTTATAGAAATCTCCCGTGAATAGATATATATAGCGAGAATGAGTGCGAGAGTTAGGTTTTACGGTACTGTTAGCAATATTCCAGCAATATCATAGCGAGAACACCAGAAATTGGCTTCACACAATGTACCATTGTGGGGAATCGAACCAGGTATTTGGCCTGACTAGCTTTGACCACTAGGATACCCCGCCGCCCCCAATTAACGAGATATTCTTGCAATAGGTCATGTGAGATAGGCTAGACAGTTCTGCGTTTCTGAAAAATCATTGTCCATATATACCTTGTCCGTAATATACATTTGCAAGCAAGTTTTAAAAAATAGTGTTATTTTAAAAGTCTTGCTGATGATGCGGCGAAAGTGTTTTGGATCTTTCGAAGCTTATCAAGGAGGTTAGAACTGAGGCCTGAAAAGATGCTGTTATACTAGTGAAGCCTCGATGTAACAAGAGTTCGAAAAGGGCTTGCGTTGTCAGGTGTTGCCGAATATTACCAATGGATCTCAGGTAAAAGTAGCAAATCCTGCTCCAACGGTTAACATGGGAATGACCCAGACAAGGGGTAGAATCTCTGTTCCGCTCTCCAGGCTGACGCGCTATCCACTGCTTTATATGTTTACTCTATTCTTGGTTTGTTAATTTACCTCAAACCTCTCAGTTTCTCCATCCAAAGAGTTCCTGTATTCTGCGAACTCGTATATGTGCTCAAAGTTCCTTGACACTGTGCCGTTCCAGATTTTCCCCGTCACGTGACATCGAACAGGGACTTGTGGTGTATCCTGGGAAGTCTGCCAATCTACGCCTGCAAAAGATCACGTGACATGTTAATGCGCGATTACGTGCGCTCTACACCGGATACAGAAACGGATCATATCCGGGCCAGAAATATCTAAAAATAGTGTCATTTCCTGGACAAAGGGGTCATCCAAGCAAATGGTAGTAACATGTTTTATCTGTACGTGTGCTAGGCTTAATCGAATGCATCATTTTCTACCTAATTTCATAATGGAAAAAATACAGAAAGTGAGTGGATAGCAATTTTAGCAATATTCTAGCAATATCTAGGCTGGGGGCACCAGAAATGGGCTTCACACATTGTTCCAGTGTAGGGAACCGTATCTAGGTTACTGGCGTAACGAGTCAACAATCTAACCACTGGCTACCCCACCACCCCTCAAATGAAAAGAGGGGCGGTGGGTAGCCTAGTGGTTAAAGCGTCCGCTCGACATGCTGAAGACCCGGGTTCGATTCCCCACATGGGTGCAATGTGTGAAGCCCATTTATGGTGTCCCCCGCCGTGATGTTGCTGGAATATTGCTAAAAGCGGCGTAAAACCATACTCACTCACTCACTCAAATGAAAAGACCAGCCCTTTAGTTACACTGTCTGCACCAGATTGTAGAACTCCACAAACGTAAGAGTGAGTGAGTTTAGTTTTACGCCGCACTCAGCAGTATTTCAACTACATTGCGGCGATCTGTAAATAATCGGGTCTGGACCTGAGAAACTAAAGAGCATGAGCAACGATCTACGCAATTGGGATACAAAGACATGTGTCAACGGAATAATCATGTCTGGTCCAGACATTCCAGTGATCGACAGCATGGGCATCGATCTGCGCAACTGGGAACCGATCACATGTATCAACCAAGTCAGCGAGCCTGACCCCCCGATCTCGTTAGTCGCCTCTTACGAGCATGAGTTAATGAAGATCAATTCTAACCCGGATCTTCACGATCCACAACAGTAGGAAGGAAATTAAATTAAATCCTTGTAGATACATATAATATTATAACTTCACAATGTTTTTTTTTGTATTTTTTAAATTTTATTTTAATCCTAACATGAATAAAAAAATAAAAAAATTAATACAAACAAACAACAATACTAAACATGTGACATAGTACTATGCAAAACAATTCAGGAAAATTCACCCCTCCACATCTGAGTTGTCCACATCATATTTTAAAACTCTTCAAATGTCAGAAAAGTATTGAAGTTAATCGTTAATCATAAATAAACTCACGTGCAAAAGAAACAACACAAACACGAAGATATATGAAGTTTAATATACATAACGAAGGTGTATGTAAAGCATGTCTGACATAAAGAAAGAGAACGTGGTAAATGTAACAGTGGTATAGGGGAATGTTATCACATGGGTGTCGATTGTCCAGTATTCGAGCACAAGCCAAAACGACAAACGACAAAACAGAGGTTCAAGTGGGAAGGCAGATCGTCAGTACGGCGTTTTGGGTTCACCCCTTGCACTGATGCACGTCAGAAAACGTCGGTTGGAGTGTGTAAGTCTCCTGATCACGTGATTGGGGATCTGACGTGATTCTGCCTGTAGTGCCTGAGCCGGTGCATTTCTCGTCAACGGAGGGTGCACACTCCGGCACAGCGATGACTTATAACATCACTGCCACAGGCTAATTTGCATATCACGTGACCGGACTTTTCTCTTGTTTGTAATCAAACGCGCATATTCATCAATAAGAAGAGACTGGACTCACGAGAGCTTAACGGCGCTCTCTTCATAATGTTTTACATTGTTACATATATATTCTTCCACAACTGCGACAGTTAGGTCTATGACAGTACATATTTAGATATCAAACTGGCTGCATCGTTTGCTCTCCGTCGGCTTCGATGACAGCACGTGGAGCCGTACAACCTATGTAAACAAAGGATCGCTACGCAAATCGAAATAGTGTTACATGTTTTTGGATATTTTCTCAGTGAAACTAAACCATTCTATTAAAGATGTTTAGTTAGATGTGTAGACTCGTCAAAAATAAAAGAGTAAAAGAAATCTGTACATTATATTGAATGGACGGTGATAGATGTGACGAATCGTCACATTTTTCTGGCCTGTGGCAGAGGTACTATGCTGGCTTGCCGCATGGAACTCTGGGTAGGAGAGTGCGGAGGGTGTGGAAGCTGATAAATCCGATGTCCAAGATGGTCCCACAAGTGCTCTATCGGAGACATGTCAGTGGATCTTGGTGGCCAAGGCAGGACGGGCACGTTGTTGGCGTTGAGAAAGGCCGTTGTGGCGAAAGCGGTGTGAGGTGTGGCATTGTCTTGTAGAAACAAGGTTCCTGGATGTTGCTGGAGGAAAGGCAGGACATGGGCCGCAGAACTTCATCAATGTACCGACGGTTGTCATTGATGATAACGGGTATGGTCTTGATGATCCCACAAGCGCCACCCCAAACCATCACACTCCCTCCATCATATGGTTCCGTTTCCTGAACGCAACAACGTGCCGTCCGTTTCTCACGCCGTCGCTAGACACATCTTCGGCCGTCAGCTCTGTTCAGTTAGAACCTACTCTCTCGCTGAAAAGGACCCGTTGCCAGTTCCGTTGCTGCCACTGCCCAACATTCCTGCCCCAAACAAATCTTCGATGTCGATATTCCGGTGCTAACGTTATGCCCCTGAACGGTGTATAGGCTCTGATTCCATGCTGACGGATTTGTCTGGAAACTGTCCACCTGCTGACTCGTGGACCAAGGCTATGCGTTGATGATGACGTCACAGCGAGGTGTCTGTTCTTAAATGAAGCGTCCTTAAATAACGGTCCTCTTGTGGGGTAGTGACTTCCGGTCGACCGCTCCTAGGCCTGTCTGCTGTCCGGCCTGTTTGTCTGTAGCGTAGGACCAATGTCACAATTGTTCTTTTTGCGCAACCCAGAATTCTTGCAACACGTTCATCTGTTTTTTCAGATGATTGTAAATGCAAAGAAAAGTTTCCAACGTGTTTTATAATCGATATCCATACGGGTGATTTCCTGGAAATTTCACAGAATAAAGTCATTTTTCCGTTTCTTTGACGCAACATGTGCATTTCCTTGGGGTGCCATGCATTTATGTGTTTGCGCAATGTGTTCCTAACTTATACCACCGGGTACCCATTTTCTGCTGGATGAACAGAGGCTAGTTTGAACACAGTCACTTTCATAAGGTGTCGCCACTTAGTTGCTTTGTTGAGGGGCAGGACATAAGTCCTGGAAACTCACAGGATTACTCGAGGGCTTCTCTTTAACCTACTTTTTCTACTGTAGCCTAGTGGTTAAAGCGTTCTTTCGTCACGGGTTCGATTCCTCACATGGGTACAATGTGTAAAACCCATTTCTGGTAGCCCCCGCCGAAATATTGATGGAATATCGCTAAACTAACAAAGGCACTTTTCAACTCAAACTGGAAAATTGTTGTTTTTGGTTGTTGTTTTTCCTTTTGAACCTCACAAATAACATCTGATGTCACTGCAGTCTAAAGAAACGCCCGTAAAATGTACGGGAACCACTTATCTTCCACCAGTTTTGTAATTAGAGTGCGTGGACATTAATCAAGAGTTTGTTTCCTTCCATACCAAATGTTACCAGGGCTACATTATCATGATAACAGTAAAACTCTAATTCCAGATTTCATCTAGGTCACAACTCGTCATGGTCTTACTGGGAGAAGGGACCACCTGATGCCCGGTTGGATGTTAGTTTGTTGTTTAACGCCACCCTCAACAATATTCCAGCTATATGGCGGCGAACTCTAGATAATCGTGTCAGGAGCAGACAATCCAGTCATCAACAGCATCAGCAACTGGGATACAATAACATGTGTCAACCAAGTCAGCTAGCCTGACCAGGCGATCCCGTTAGCCGCCTCTTACGACAAGCATGGGTTGCTGAAGACCAATTCTAAACCGGATCTTCACGGGTAAGCGCATGCTCCAATTGCACCTCCTCCCTCATCCACGTCCTCTTCCTTTCTAACCTCTCTTAACTTCTACAGTCCGTTTGAGTCAGAAACGGACCGATGAATTGCAAATTTTATCATTGTACAAAATTGCCACATAAATATATATAGTACACATGTTTATCATTTACCCAACAGCTTTCTGATATCTGAAAATTTTCCGGACTCCACCAAAAAAGTTCTTTAAGAAACTATCATTAAAATTTTGACACAGTTCACTATTTGTTACGAGGGAGGAGTGCAGAGAAAGGGACAGCCAGGTGTGCGAGAAAGGATGGAGGCGGCACAGCACAGGCTAATGAATCAATACCTTTGTGGGCACTTGTGCAGGTGCTTCTCTAACACCTGGCTGTCCCTTTCTCTGCACTCCTCACTCGTAACAAATAGGGAACTGTGTCAAAATTTTAATGATAGTTTCTTATAGAACTTTTTTGGTGGAGTCCGGAAAATTTTCAAATGTAAGAAAGCTGTTTGGTATTAGTAAATGATAAACATGTGTACTATTTATATTTATGTGGCAATTTTGTACAATGATAAAATTTGCAATTCATCGGTCCGTTTCTGACTCAAACGGACTGTACCTTCGTTCATATAGTTGGGGAATGACTGGGTTACATCTTTACCCATTCCAACCTGAATCTTAACGGGTAACTGAGTCGTTGTATGAGTATGTGAGAGATTAAATAAACTCACGCGAGAAGTGCCAAAGAACTGTCATGGTGGCGTCCATATCCGCCCAATATACACAAGACTGCCACGTGTCTGTCAGTACCCCTCGCACAGTCTGTATCCCTATATACTTCTCCGGCGTCGACCCACCAAACCGCAATGCTCCAGCTGCAGTGTAGATCCGGTCAGTTCCATTGGCGTACGTCTTCGCGCCGAAAATGAACCTGTTTGGATCCTGGGCCAGATCGGTCACCGTGCAATGGAAACTGGAATCTGCAAACAAAAAGAACGTAACAAGGGGTCTTTGAATGGCTTTTAGAAGTGATACACAGAGTTTTCATGGATGTGAGCTTCATATATTACTATGAAGGGTAATCATTCATTCACCTGTTAAAGGAGTAAGACTGACTGACTGACTGAGTTTGGTTTTACGCCGCTTTTTTAGCAATATTCCAGCAACATCACGGCGGGGACACCAGAAATACTATGAAGGGTAATCATTCATTCACCTGTTAAAGGAGTAAGACTGACTGACTGACTGAGTTTGGTTTTACGCCGCTTTTAGCAATATTCCAGCAACATCACGGCGGGGGACACCAGAAATGGGCTTCACACATAGTGCCCATGTGGGGAATCGCCAGGCAGGGACCAACAAGTACCATATTTTAACGTCTTTTGGTATGACACGGTCGGGGATCGAACCATATTTTAACGTCTTTTGGTATGCGACCTTCCGATCTCCTAGCGGACGCTCTATCTACTACACCACGGAGGAGGTCTAAAGGAGTAAGAATATACCAGGAAACGTTGTGTTGATGATCATAGAGAAGTTGACATCCATAAAACTCTCTACCCTAACGTGACAAGAGTTTTGAGATATTTTTACTCTAAGAGAGGAGATTCCATAATTTTCCCGATATTTATGAATGATATATATATTTCCAGTCCATCAACCCACAAACCCCTTCCCCCAACTCTGAACATAATTATAAATAAATATATTATTTATCAAACATAGGCTATAGAAATCAATTCATAATTTATTTCTTCGTGTGCCTGAGCATGTAATATGAACCTCAATAGAACCTAGAAACAAAGGAGAGAGAGTAATAATCATGATAATGATATAGCGCCTTATTTTCACCCATACAGCTTGCTCAGTGGCGCTATATACAGGAGATATAGGAAAACGTCATTCAGTGAGATAAGAATAGCTAGTCAAAGGCTAGCTTGAAAGGGTGTGTCTTTAAAAAGTATTAAAATGAGGTTTGTCAGAGACAGTTCTTATAGGCAGAGGTAGTTCGTTCCACAGTGGAGGAGCTGAGGCAGTGAAGGTTCGATCACCCATTGATGCTCTCGTGATTGGGACTGACAGGCGAAGATGGTCGTCAGTACTGAAGGGTTGGTTGGTATATGCTGACAAGGCTCCTCAGATAGTGAAAAGGTGATTCATGATAGAAACACAGTTTTGGGCGAGAATGTTGTACTGATTCCAGGCAGTCACGGGCAGCCAGTGGAGGGCTTTCGGGATAGGCGAGCGCGTTACAACCCTTGCTGCTGCAATCTCGATTCGCTGTAACTTTTGGATCAGAGATAACAGAATATGGAAGAAGAGGGACTTACAATAATCCACTCATGATAGGATGGAGTCTAAGCAAGAAGTGTTGTTGTTTCATTGTCAAGAAGATGGCGGATTTTGCTAATGTTGTGAATGTGGAAGAAGCAAGTTTTGCTAAAAAAAGTGAAGTAAAAAAAGTAGTTTGCTCAGGTTCTGGACATGTTTTCAAGGGACATGCTGGCTTGAAATATGATTCCAAGATTTCTTGCAGATGGAGTGGTTCCAACATTGCTGTTGCCAGTGTTAAGTGACAGACCAGCAGGCGCTATCAAAAGTTATACTGCTGTTCAGAGTGTGTTTGTTTTACGCTACTTGATTGGCAATATCCCAGTAGAACAACAAGCAATTTACGCTGCTTTTGCAATACCCCGTGGTATGTTTTAAGCAGCTTTGAAATCCATATCACCCTTGGAATACCTGTTCAAGTATGTTTTTTTAACAGCTTTTGGCAATACCTTTAATGTTTTATGTTTTTAGCAGCTTTTTCCAATATCCCTCGTTGTATGTTTTACGCTGCTTTTTTTGCAATAGCCCCTGGTATGTTTTACGCTGATTTTGCAATACCGGCCTAGTTGTTTTAAGCAGATTTTGCAATACCCGCGTTGTATGTTTTATGCTGCTTTTACCAATATCCCGTAGAACGTTTTATCATATGCTGCTTTTTGCAGTACCCCGTGGTATGTTTTAAGCAGCTTTCTTCCAATACCCCCCAAGTATGTTTTACGCAGCTTTTTTGCAAAACCCCTTTGTATGTTTTACGCTGCTTTTTGCAACATGTTGTTTTACGCTGTTGTTGTTGGTTTTGTTGTGTGTTTTTGGGGTTGTTGTTGGTGTGTGTGTGTGTGTGTGTGTGTGTGTGTGTGTGTGTGTGTGTGTGTGTTGAAAGAACACAAGAAATAGGCTTGACACATTGTACCTTGAAGGGAATCGAACCTGGACCTTTAACCAATAGGCATCCGCACCGATTTCCAAATTAATTAATTCATTAATTATCAATAATTAATTAATCACTTGATCACTTGCAAAAAATAGTAAAATGTTTCAACTTTCGTTCCATCATCTGGCATGGGATGCGGTGGGATAGCCTAGTGGTATTAACGTTCGCTCGTCACGCCAAAGATCGGGGTTCGATTCCCCACATGGGAACAATGTGTGAAGCCCATTTCAGGTGTCCTCCGCCGTGATGTTGCAAGAATAACGCTGTAAGCGGCGTAAAACTTTGCGTAAAAATTTACTCACCTGGCATTGGTATGACCACAATCAGCTCGTTGAGGTCGTAGTCGTATATGGCGATGGCCTCAACTCCCTGCTCAAACTGATCGATGGCGCCTTTGTTGTTGACCTCGTCGTACCACTCCCGAATGTCGGTGGTGTAGTTCTTGTCGAGGATGTTGGCCTCAACCCTCACGCTGAACTGCTTAGGGAGGTTTGGCCGCTTATGTGTGGCATCTGGGAAACAAATGCGTATTTTTCGTATTTAGACATTGTACAACTGTGAATGTGTTGCCCAAACACGACATTACCCGTGAATGTGTAGCTAAGAATTTAGCCATCTTCACCAACCCATGTTTGTCATAAAGCACGACTGACAGGTTGTGTTAGTCGCGTTGACTTGGTTGGTGATGAAAAGGAGAGTGAGGTGAGGTGAAATGGGGGCTTAACGTCGCACTTAAGAATATTTCGATCATATAATAATAATAAATAAGCCATCTTCTATAGCCCACAGTCTCCAAACTCCAAGTGATTGCTCGCGGCGCTTAATCAGAATCTGATTATTATTACCCCGTATAACCCAAGCTGCCTGTTAGGCGCTAGAACGTTATAGTCACATGACTTTATCCAACCGGGTACCCATTTTCTGCTGGGTGAACAGAGGCAGTTTTGAACAAACTCACTTGCCTAAGGTGAGATCACATGTATCACATGTGATTCGTTGTGGGGCAGGACTGAACTCCTAGAAACTCTCAGGAGTCAAGCTGCCAAACACGGTCACCCATCCAAGAATTGTCCGAGCTCGACGTTGCTTAACGTCAACTGATTCGTGACCTAAGCTCTGTGCACAGGACCACACGCCGCCACATGACGACGTGCATGCGTGTGTATGTGTGGCTGCTTGTACTAGCGCAGACTTGAGCTTGTGTTATAGTGCTAGCTCACTGAGATACAGTATCGCAGTTAAGCGTGAATACCCTAGTCAGACACATTATACTGACACCGAGCCGACCATTCCTTGATGTACCCATTAATGCCGAGCGCCAGCCAGGGAACAACTTGTACCATATTTTAACGTCTTTTGGTATGACGCGGCCGGGGATCGAACCCGCGACCTTCCGCTCTCCGGGCGGACGCTCTAACCACTACACCACGAAGGCGGTGATGAAAAGGAGGTACAATGATCAAATATATAACTTGTTAGAAAATCCAAGGTTTGCTTTCGATAACAAAATTCATCTTCGTCTGTGATGAAATGAAAGCACCATTGGCTCTGGAAATAACGTCAGTGTTTTCAATCATCTTTTTAGGCATGACAGAGCATGACATCAAATAAGAACAAAATGTAACACCATCGCTTAGTCATAGTATCTAGCTGCGAAGATCGATATTCCTGATGCCAATCACTGATCCGTACTCGATTACAATGTCTCGGTTGAGACGAACTCTCAGTTGTGTCGAACTCATCTCTTTGCCTCTGCCTATTTCCTTATATTTATCATTATTTCTATGCTGACGGATGTGTCGAACACTCGGATAAGTCGAACCGTTCTCTTGTTCCCGACGAGTTCGACACGACGGACTTTGACTGTATATAGAAATCACCTTGTGAAACAGTGTTAAACAAACAAACAAATAAACAAACCGAGACACGATCAGGAAGAGCATATACACTCCAATATGAACATTAACAGTCATCCAAAAATCTATCTGGAATTTAACTGCAATAATACAGTTAAAATGAAATAAGACAAACAACATGTCCACAAAAACTATTAAAAAATAGAATTGAATGTTGGTTCGTCAACAATATGTATCTTGATTTGTCTGCTTTTCTTTCCAAAGTGTCAAGACCCGTGAAGGTCCGGGTTAGAATATTGGCCTTCAGTAACCCTTGCTTGTCGTAAGAGGCGACTAACGGGATCTGGTGGTCAGGTGGTCTGACTTGGTTGACACATGTCATCGGTTCCGAATAGCGCAGATCGATGCTCATGCTGTTGATCACTGGATTGTCTGGTCCAGACTCGATTATTTACACACCGCCGCCGTATTGCTGGAATATTGCTGAGTGTGGCGTAAAACTAAATTCACTCAATCTCACTCCAGGATCCGGATCAATGTGGACGTCCTGGCCACATGATTCGTCGGTTGTTGTTTTCCGCCGCACTCAGCAATAGTCAGCTTATATGGCGGCGGTCTGTAAATAATCGAGTCTGGTCCAGACAATCCAGCGATCAACAGCATGAGCATCGATCTACACACTTGGGATACAATGACATGTGTCAACCAAGTCGCCTCTTACGACAAGCGTGAGTTACTAAAGACCGGATTTTCAACCCGGATTTTCAGGGGTATCTTGCAACATGAAGCTGACTGCTTATGTCAGCACATCTTGCATCTGTTCCAGTACATACCATTTTGGTCCACTGTCAGTTGTGTGCATACTGTCGTGTCCCAGCCATGTTGCCCAAGTACAGGAGCAATCGCCATGGTAATCACCATAGCAACATAGAGTGACGGACACCTCATGGTCTAAACCCTCAGATCGGCCACTTCTGAAATTGTATGCAATATACAACATAATTTGTCTCGCTTATTCATTCTTCAACAACAAACGAATACATACGTCCGATTTAAGTGGGTGAGTTAGTTTAGTTTTGGCAATATTCCAGCAATATCACAGGGGGGACACCAGAAATGGGCTTCACACATTGTACCCATGTGGGGGATATGCGTGACAAGCGAACACTTTAACCAATAGACTACTCCACCGTCCCTCTCATGCATATAACGTGCAGTAGAATTTGATATGATGCGATATGTCGGGCACTGTTAATCAAAACATATAGTTTAAGAGTTATATCCCCTGAATTATGTTCTCTCGAGATTTTGAAAGAACAACGCCTCCAATCAGTCCTCATTTAAAACGATATTAATTTCCATTAAAGCGTACAGAATAGATTAGCATGAACATATACATGTTCAGGTATATTTACGATATCCATTTTGTAATCACCATTCCCAAATGAAACACCCCTCCGTCTGATCGTTGATACACGATAATACAAGTTTGGGGTGTCATCTCATACACGGAAAATACCCTCCTTAGAATCTGTAAAACACATTTTACAAAGCATAAGCTATATTGTACATACTGAGTTAATAGAAAACTTACCCGAAAATCGCACAGAACAGATCTTTAGTCTATAATGGCGGTGAACTCCGATCACTGATAACAGTGTTGGTATCTACTGGGTCATTGTATATGGACATAGATAAGTGTTCTATCTACAGTGACAGCCTGACACTGTACATCGCATTGTGATATGTACATGTATTGTGAAATGTGTTCTTACAGAGAGGGATTGTTAGGAGAATATTGCTGTCCCTATAGATTGTACTCGATTGTAACATACTAATCACGTGACGTATTTCATGTGTGTCTTTCTGTTATTACGATCGTTACGATTTTGAAGGATCCTATTTCGACCATGGATTCATCATTTAACGCTTCTTTTGTAGCAGTTGTTACTTGTTATGTATTTCTGTTCATGTACCTGCCGATGATAGTGAACTTTAATAAAAAAACAGAGTAACGTATTTAAACAAGATATGATTTTGTGGAAATACAAATTGCCTTTCTAAATAGATAAAGGCAATCCAAATGTTCCAGATACCTTCTTTCTGTCAATTAATTAACCCAGTACCATTTTCACACAGACCAATTAGTCCCAATTAGTGATAGTAGTTGTCCCAATTCTGGCAGTGCAATTTCTGTATGTCCCATTTCTGGCAGTGGATTATAACACCTCCCTAATTACGTCATCTGGTGACCGCCAGTTTTGGGATGGCGTGCGTGCTTGTGTGTGTGTGTGTGTGTGTGTGTGTGTGTGTGTGTGTGTGTGTGTGTGTGTGTGTGTGTGTGTGTGTGTGTGTGTGTGTGTGTCTCATTTGATGAGAATTCAACTAATTTGTTATGAATACAAGTACATATACAAAACAAAATAAAAAAAAGTATCACTGATGTCTGAGAGAGTCACGTTATCACACGTGCAGTCTATAGCGATGTCATACTAATACCTTTTTAATCAGATACTAAACATTGACTGAACCACATGTGTTACATGAAACCTTCACGTGCACCTGCTGAAATCAACAATTTTTCAGAATATGTGAGACGTGATAATTATGTTAGGAATGTGTTTACATCCATGACGAAGTGACACGTCATCGTTTAAGTTTGGAACTCGATTTCTCCAGAAACTCCCGCACTGTGGCTAGTTTCTGAAAGAAAGGTTTTAACGATCTACAATTAGTTTCGTGCAATTGTTTATTGTTTAAAACGCCGCACTCAGCAATATTCCTGTTATAGTGGTAGGTGATTAATCGAGTCTCATCAGATAATCCCTTGATGAACTGCATGAGCATCGATCTACGCAATTGGAATACAAAGGCATATGTCAACCAGGTCAGTGACCTGACCACCCGATCCCGATAGTCGCGTCTTACGACAAGCATGGGTTGCTGAAGACCAGTTCTAACCCGGATCTTCACGGGTATCTCGATTAGTGGTAACTTTGAGTTCGTTATAGCTGTAGTTACTGAGTTGAAATGATATGTTCAAAACAGAATTAAGGACACTTGCAAGGACTAACAGCAAGATAGGAACAATATTAACATAACAGATAAACCTATATAAAGCTAATTGATATGAACGAGAAAACGACAAAGGCACAATGGCGTACACTGCAGACGTTTGTCAACATTGAGAGCATGTTTACTACAATAGGCCTAGTCTGTCTCACAGTCCCTGAACCACATTATTGTCCTTCTGACTAGCCCTCCCTGCAATGTTAAAGCCCTTAATGAAGCAAGTCTAGATTTCCCAATCTCCCAACTCACTTGGGCACCTTTTCAATTTAAATAGGTTTATTTGTTACTTTCAAAATTTTATTCAGGGACTAAGCCTTAGTCTACAATAGACCATTCGCCGATACGATTCTTAGGTAACACGTTCATCTTTAGAACGCAATCACTGCAGATCAAGAAATGAAATATGAACTGTAGTTTCACTTAATGAAATGCAGTTTCATATGTAACCTTCACATGTTGAAATCTAGTGTAATGTGAAACCGTCACATAATGGATTGTAGTGTCATGTGAAATCTTCACATGTTGGATTTTAGTGTCGTGTGAAACCTTCACATAATGGATTGTAGTGTCATGTGAAATAGTCACATGTTGGATTGTAGTGTCGTGTGAAACCGTCACATAATGGATTGTAGTGTCATGTGAAACCTTCACTGTTGGAATGTAGTGTCATGTGAAACCTTCACATATTGGAATATGATGTCATGTGAAATCTTTATACGTTTGATTGTAGTGTCATGTGAAACCTTCACATGTTGAAATGTAGTGCCATGTGAAACTTTCACAGTGTTGATTGCAGAGTGGAGGGGTACGAAACGAGACCTTGCAGGTCTGAAAGCTCCTCGTTTAGTGCTACATTTTCATGACTCCCCACAATACCATTGTTCCGTCAACATTTGCAGAATGACCAATCTCCTAAACGAATGGCCATGGACGACCCATTGTCCGTGTCATCAAAGACACTCTAACCGCAACTGATCTTCAAACAAACCCTCATTTGAGGATCGGTTATGCATTAACATTGTGACACTAAGGTCAATTTCTTTTCTTTTCCGGTGCAGAGTCAAGCCGATGAGGGTTATCTCGTGTGATACCACAGAGTGTTTGAGGACAGAATGTTCTACAGCACTGTGACCCGCAACCCATGAAACACCAGTATGTCAGATATCTACACTAGATATTGCAGTGAAATGTTGCGCAAGACTACATCGTAAACCTGACCTGAGATCTTTTATCAAACAATGCAGCCAAGCCTGAATCTTCAGCTCGATGAGCAACGCTGTATTATATATATCCGCATCTATATCATATGTGACTTATCACAGCACGTGTTGGTTTAACGTGGGAGATAAGAGTAAAGGAGAGATGTCCCAGCAATAATTGGCTTCACACATTGTACTCATGTGGGGAATCGAACCCGATTCTTTGGCGTGACGAGCGAACACTTTAACCACTAGGCCTTAAACAAAGTAACACGTCACCATTTAAAACTGATTTGTTCAGAAACTCCGAAAAAAAAACATATTTGACAAAAATCAAAATAACATTTTCATGGATATATGCCAAGGATAAATAAAAAAATGAATAAATTTCGGAAAGAAATGAACTCACCGAACAATGTCCGTGGCCACAACAACCTTAACCGTCGCACCCGGATTAAACCCGGAAGTGCTGCCGACCCTAGCTTTCTCCTGTATGATGTTGAAAAACCTATATTCGATGTTATTTAAATCCTGGATTCGAACTTGATCATCGGACCCTCGATCAGTCATCTGCCCCCTAATTTCGGTGATGAATTTGTGTTTCGAACATCCACTTGTGGATAGCTAATATTTTCAACTAACATATTTGGGTTTTTTTTCAGTTTCAGGGCTGAGGCGTGGCCTTGTGGTTAAAGCACTCGCTGGTCGCGCTGAAGACCCTGGTTCGATTACTAATACGGATGGAATACCCATTTTCAAAATGAAGTAAACTACGGTTATATCGAAGTAAAAGTGAGAACTACTTTTAGTTCGTTATAACCGTAGTTCGTTATTCCCATTGCAACTAAAATATACACCTCGTGTTCGAGTGGAAACAGTTCGTTATTTCCACCTGTTCGTTTTAAGCGGGTTCGTTATAAACGCAGTTGATTGTAAGTGTAAACAACTAGACAAACAATTAGAATATATTTTATTGACACAGGTGTTGAATAATACAATATAAGAGCTGTTGTTTACATATACACAGTCATATCTTAAAGGAGTCAACCCTCGTGGTATCTGCAATGCATTGAAGAAGCTGTATCCGATTTACCTGTAATCTGATTGATCGATCAGAGGTTTCCTGTTACGCAATAAGAAATTACTGACTGGATGCCATCTACATAATTTCTATGTTAAGTCAAAATGGGGAATCAAGGCTTTGAATTACAGTAAATATAGAATGTATAAAAACTAGGGATTAGATTCTCGGTGAAATCAACATGAAGAATAAAGAGGTCAACATATATTTTATTTTGCAACACAGAAAAATGTTACCCTGTTATAATATGCTTAGTACCACAGTATATAAGAATATCCTTTGAAGGACAAATATAAGAAAAATATATACTGAGAGAAACAAATAAAGGATCACAGGAAAATGTTCAATATTTTACAGTTTTTATGACCAGCTTTGAATAGCTCTGTGGTGATGAAAACTGGAAAATAATAAAGGAACGTTTGAATTTTCATGTGATCCTTTATTTGTGTTTTCTCAGTATATAAGTCATATGTGAGATGTAATGTTATCGCAGCATGTGTGTTTAGGTTACATAACATGTGGTCTTACATAGACTGAGGTCATTGTCCAGATGTAAATGACATCCTTAATATCAAAACAGAATAAAAGAAAAAACAAAAGAATGGAAAATGTCTCTGTTCCAGCTGTGAAAAATGTGAAACAATTCATTATATCAGAGCAGCATGATCTGCTGGAAATACACAATCTCGGAAAACTGACGATGGTACCAATTCCTGAATATTTCGATCATCCGGTCTGGGTAATATCGAGTGTCTGGTCATCAGGAACACACGAAGAGGCTTTTGGAGTTTCTGTACATCTTAGTTGACATATTCACTTAGCGTTAGGGGTTGACAATTCTGAAACACAAGAGAGTTCAGCTTTATGTTTCTTCCTATACGTTTTCGTTTGCTTGTCGATAGGTGTGGCCAATTGACTATGTCAATCGTAGCCTGAGACCAAGGATCATTGTCCACGCATGTATCTTCAATAATCAGCATAAATAGGTATGCCTGCGCCCTAAAACAAAACTATGCTTATAATATTTCTTTGAGTGGCATTTTAGAAGTTGGGACGTACAATATTACACAATCTTTATGGATAATAATTTCTTGGTTAACTGCATGAAAAGGCTGTTATCCATAATTTTGTTTAATATTCTGAAAGAAACAAATAAAGGATAGCGCTGTGGTGATAATAATAAAGGAAAATAATAAAGGAACACAAGAAATTTCCTGTGATCCTTTATTTGTTTCTCTCGGTATATTATGTTTGTAATATTTACTTGATGCATGAAAGCGCAAAACAATGTTCACACAGAAGTTTTATGATCAGGCTATTAAGGTTTGACAAATTTGAATAGATTTGCTAAGGCTTGATACATTTGATACGTTTGAATCTTCGTGAAGATCCACATGAGATACGATCTTCAGCAACCCATGTACTGTGGGTGTATCACCAAAACCTAAACACTACCCGTGAATATTTTAAGTTCGAATTAATCTTCAACAACCCACATTTATCGTAAGAGGCGACTAACAGGATTGTGTGAAGCTCGCCACGTAGTTGATGATCAGCTGTGGCTTTCCGTTAGAGGCGACAATCTGGATAGGATGGTCAGGCTCGCTGACTTGACATATGTCATCGTATCCCAATTGCGTAACCCGATGCTCATGATGTTAATCACGGGATTGTCTGGTCCAGTTTCGATTAAATACAGACCGCCGTCATATAGCTCGCATATTGCTGAGTGCAGCGATAGACAACAATCAAACAAGACGGGGAGGAAAATATCAGCTTCTTCAAAGCTTATGTCACAGGCATATACATTCCGGACCAAATCATTATCTTCACAGAATATTTGTATGGTTACCTTATTTGAAGAAGGCAAATGACAGACCAGCCCCTAGGGCCCCGCCCACTACGATCATCCCGGCGGAGAGGCCACCCAGAGCACCTGAAACAGATCACAGACAGTGTCAGATTGAATAAGGAACTCATAGCTATTCCTGTATACTCATTACAAAATCCTAATGGTGTCACTTTTAAAGCATAAATTGTGTTTTTTCTCAGAGGATTTCTCGTTATCCCGTTATTTTGTTCAGTCTAGCTACTTCGTTTATTTTCTTATGTTTTCAAGTGTGTGTGTTTTTAAGTTGAAATTATGAGAAAAGAAACGAAATGCTCAAAGTTTCTAGTTTTTTAAATATATGTATTTAAATTAACAAACACATTATCGTAATTACGAAAATGAAATTGATGTAACGAAAACCGTCGAAAAACAGCAACAAATAATTGAAATAACAAGACATTCGTGTTAAAATAATTTATGCGGCAAAACTAACACCAATATTAATCTTTCAGAACTTATTACCATATCAGTCCTAAGTCATTACCAATTCCTTGGCATTGAACACACAACACATATTTCCAAGTACCCCCTTAAACTAAAACAAGAGGTTCATAAAAGGAGTTTTGAAATTTCGAACAGTATGAACAAATAGTTACAAATTACGGTCATTCCTGGACTACTGGAAAATTGTCACCCAGTCTTTAGCATTAAACAACAAAATAATCCAAGTATCACTTGGAACAAAACAGAGACGCTCATACAAGGAGATGTCATACCTCCTGTACATTTCACACAAGTATATGTAATTAAAATACTATCAATAATATAAAAGATCATGAAATATTATATTATCACATGTAGCCACTTAGTTATTTACAGCGGTCAGTAAATTACTATTACATGTACATTAATAAAATACAATTTGGTTGTAAATACCAACTGATGTTTTTGTTCGGGTTACTTAATAGTACAGAGTGGAATAAGATGTACAGTTGGGAAAACAACTGACTTGCACAGAAGGACTATAAATTCTAATCTGTGTGGTGAGGAAAATTGTGTTTACTTGCATACAAGATTATTACATTCCCATTGAGACGAGTAAATGTGTGCGTGCGTGCGTGCGTGCGCGTGCGTATCTTATGACTACGTAATTATTCAATGATATGGACTTGAATGAAGAAAATGACCGAAGAAGCTCGAATGAATACTGAACATATGTTAGTTACTGCTTTATCTGAGATCAACAAAAAGTATTTTTTCAAGCGCCTTGACTTGGCTGATGCATGTCATCGTAGCACAGTCGCGTACGGCGATGTTCATGACGTCAGTTAAAAGTTATTATTTACAGACAGCAGACATGCAGCTTTAATATTTTTGAATTAGCAAACACCAAAACAGTAAACATACACGTAGAGTCAAATGTCAGTATATCACTTCAATCTGGTGTCCACCGACGTGATATTGCTGGAATTGCTAAAACGGCATACAATTCAACTAACTCACTCACTAACCTGGTGAATAACCTTTAAACTCCGCCAACTCACTCTCATATGTAAACTCAGTGATGGAGTTAGGCACAGCCACGATGTAAGGAGTCTGTAGAACAACAAATATGACTGACAATAACACAAGATACATTGTTCCGGAAACGGAGGGGTTAATTTTGTGATCTAGATTTTATAACGTTGGTTGGATGGTTGGTTGTTGTTTAACGCCGCACTCAGCAATATTCCAGCTATATGGCGGCGGTCTGTAAATAATCGAGTCTGGACCAGACAATCCAGTGATCAACAGCATGAGCATCATGTCAACGGACAAGTGACTCATGAACAGAGTTTCCTTACAAAAAAATTAGTCTTTTCCTCCGTTTTGGTGTTTTATTTAGGGAACAAATATCTTAAAATTTGTTATGGAGGTGCAAAATGTCTATTTCAAAATAATTTGAAAACCTAACATATTCGTACAATGTATCTATGTACATGTAGTATTACTGATATTCGTCCAAAGAATGTGATGATATGACAGGGAGTATTTGAAGGGCGTCAAAAAAATTAGTATCATCATCATCATCTGTCATCATGGATTTCTAGTTACCACTTAGTACCACTCAGTTCACCTCGCGAATGTAATATCTATAATTACAATGATGATAAGAATTGCGAGATATCGTCAAGCAGGGACGAGGAGACAGAGACAGACACGTGGAGACGACCAGAGATATCGAGAGAGACAGAGGGGGAAAGACGGAGAGAGACGTTGAGAGAAAGAGTGTGACAGATGCAGTTACAATGAGGGGGAAGAGGCAGAAAATATATGTGGAGACACTGTGAGAGACCGTGAAAGACAAAGGGCAGAGAGAAAGAGAGTGAGGGAAAGAGTGAGTGAGTGAGTTGAGTTTTACGCCGCAATCAGCAATATTCCAGCTGTATGGCGGCGGTCTGTAAATAATCGAGTCTGGACCAGACAATCCAGTGATCAACAGCATGAGCATCGATCTGCGCTATTGGGAACCGATGACATGTGTCAACCAAGTCAGCGAGCCTGACCACCCGATCCCGTTAGTCGCCTCTTACGACAAGCATAGTCGCCTTTTGTGGCAAGCATGGGTTGCTGAAGACCTATTCTACCCCGGATCTTCACGGGTCAGAGAGGGAAAGAAATCACGGGACACAATGGGGAGGTAAATGCCTAAATGCGCGCCGGTGATAACGAACGAGTACAGTGAGAGGTGTGGTACAGGTGGTGGTGATGGTGGAATTGGGTTTAACGTCGTGCTTGAGAATATTTCGCTCATATGACGACGTGCATGCGTGTGTAGGTGTATGTGCGGCTGCTTGTACTAGCCCAGACTTAAGCTGGTTTTATAGTGCTAGCCCACTGAGATACCATGCCGCAGTGAAGCATGAATACCCCACTCAAACACATTATACTGACTCCGAGCCGACCAGTCCTTGTTGTACCCATTAATGCCGAGCGCAAGGCAGGGACCAACAAGTACCATATTTTAACGTCTTTTGTATGACGCAATCGGGGATCGACCTTCCGCACTCCGGGCGGACGCGGTGTGATACAGAGATAGCGAGAGACAAGGAGAGAAGATAAAGGGAGAAGGGAGAGAGGGGGGGAGGGAGGGAGAGATGGGTGGCACACGAGAAAAAATGGGGAGGCTAAGAGGTGGAAATGCATGATGTAGATAATGAACGGGTACAGTGAGAAATAAGATACAAAGACAATCGCAAAAGAGAGACAGAGAGAGAGGGAGAGAGAGAAGGGGGAGAGAGAGAAACGTAGAGAGAGATGGAAAACGATGCAGAGATAGAGAGAATCGTAAACAGAGAGAGAAGCGTGTGAGACAGAGAGACGAGAAAATCAAAGACAGAGACTGCCAAAAAGACAGTGACAGAGAAGATGAGACACAGAGACTGCCAAAAGGACAGTGACAGAGACAATGAGACACAGAGACTGCCAAAAAGACAGTGACAGAGACAATGAGACACAGAGACTGCCAAAAAGACAGTGACAGAGACAATGAGACACAGCTGGGGACACAGTCATAGAGGAATACCAATGACCATTTATCTTTAAGTTATATAACTCCCGCTTTTCCAACATTCTCTACCCACTATTGTCAATCATTTTCCATTTACCCGAAAAGTGATGTGAGACTGACAAAACTCATTTTGACAGAGATTAATGAGAAACAGAGGATGAGTGACAGAGAAGATGAGACACAGAGACTGCCAAAAAGACAGTGACAGAGACAATGAGACACAGAGACTGTCAAAAAGACAGTGACAGAGACAATGAGACACAGAGACTGCCAAAAAGACAGTGACAGAGACAATGAGACACAGCTGGGGACACAGTCATAGAGGAATACCAATGACCATTTATCTTTAAGTTATATAACTCCCGCTTTTCCAACATTCTCTACCCACTATTGTCAATCATTTTTCCATTTACCCGAAACTGACAAAAACTCATTTTTACAAAACCCACAGGACGACACGATCAACTGTATACATTGTACACCATCAGTTCATAAAACCAGTACTGTTATCCTGTGCAACAGTTATCCGGGCTAATCTTATCACTACAGTCATGTAGACTGTATAATGGCGAACTCAGCAGATTGTCCAAGGACACGATTTCAAAGCAATCAGAGAGGCAGTCTGATACGATATGTCTGTTATCAGTCACGTGACCACTCACCTCTTGCGGGCTGACACCAGGTTGCATGACGTAGATAACGAACTGATTATTGTTGACCTTTGACAACACTTGTTGAGCAGCGACATCTAGCGACGTTTCCGTGCCGTTGACAGTGACGTCACCCGCCACGGGCCTGACGTCGAGAATTTCGAATCTGACGTGTATGTGGTCGTCATACACAACCTGGGAATATAAAACAAATTTATTTTTTTAAATATGTAAAATAAGGACTGTTATTTAGGTTTGTTCAAATCAGTCGGATGGAATTATGTTGTATATTCAAGAGTGAGTGAGTATGATTTTACGCCGTTTCAGCGATATTCCAGCAATATCACGGCGGGGGACACCAGAAATGGGCTTCACACATTGTACCCATGTGGAGAATCGAACCGGGGTCTTCGGAGTTACGAGCGAATGCTTTAACCATTCTGGCTACCCTACCGCCCCGTATATTTAAGAGACATTGAGGGTTGGAAATCATGCTAATTTTGTAGTGTTTTAAGGGGTGTTTTGTTTCTTGTTTTAGGGTTTTTTGTTTGCGTTGTTGTTTTGGACGGCTTTTGTTGCTATTGTTGTTGTTGTTGTCTTTTAGATTAACAGTGGTTTTATTATCTCTGGATGCCAGGAATGCTTCTCTCGAGGTTAATACGGTCTGATGTACGCCTTTTTGTAGCATTGTCACCCATGCCAGTAGGCGAGGGATGACACTGCCACAAAAGGCGTACATCAGACCGTATTACCCGAGGGAGCAGTTTGCAACGTATTTATCTGAACGCCATGTTGATATACATATCAAAATATAATTTTATCTTTTTTTGTGAGGATAAGCTCGCTACCGACTATATGCCTTGTAAACAAGATGGCGTCTGCCTCTCGACTGGATTTTTAAAATCAGTGAAACCTATTATGGCAAGCTTAAAAATGCTATAGAAATGGTTATCTATGTTTAAGTTGAGTGTGCAAACGATTCAATGTTTAAATAAAGCAGTGAAAGTCGGTAAAATAAATGTGTACATAGTGAACTCAAAAACAGCTAATCGAACGGTTTTCGAACTCCGGGCACTGCATGCGTCATGTTATGACGTCATACGATTGTTATCGATACAGCTTCTCGGCGGAGAGTCGGCTACCGTTTTAAACTTTTTAAAACATCATTGACCAATGAAATCAAACTATTTTACATGAAGGTAAGATAATGGAATTTAATGCCAGTGTTTGCATTAAAGGCCCGTTCAAACATTGCTCATAGTTCAGTTTTCGTGAGTAAATATGATCCATCATGGCCTTTAATCGGGCTTTGGATAGAGTATATATTTTTATATTCTGTTTTGTTCAAATTTTAGTCTTGAGAGTGGTGGCAAAGATTGTATTTCTTCACAACAAGTTTTTTCAGGACATGCAGCAATTCCAGGGAACATTGTTTGGGTATTTGTACACATCACATGTGTTAGTTTACCTCTTTTGTAACAGGTTTTGGAACTTAAATGTTATTTGTGTGCATCTTCCTCACCAATTAATTACTTATAACTTCATCACACATATCATAGAATCCCAATTGTGTAGATACTAGATAGGTGTTCATGCTGTCGACCACTGGATTGGCTGGACCAGCTCTATTACAGCGATTGGTAACCGACGTCACCACCCAATCCAGTTAAGTCCTAGGACTATCCTAGCGAGGTCCGTGGTGTATATATAACAGAACACAGAGCGTGGGGTGAGGGAGGGTGGGTGTAGTCACGAAGAGTCGCTCACCTTGAGGTTGGCTATCCGGAGGGGGAAGACGGCAGTGTAGTAAGTGAGAGACATCAACACGGAGTATTTGAACAGCTCCTTGTCCTTATCTATCAGGTCCCTCGCCTCAGCTGGAGGACAAATCATCATCATCATCATACTCATTATCACCATCGCATCAATGACAACGACGAAGTACAACCCCAAAAATGGCAATAATGTTAGTCATCATCATCCGCTCATCCACCACCACCACCGCTACCATCGTCACCATCGTCATCATCATCACCATGACAACGATTACAACAATGGAATACAAGCCAAAAATAACAATAATATCAATCATCATAACCACCACTACTACCGCTACCATCATCGTCGTCATCATCATCACCATTACATCAATCACAGCGACAACAACGATGGAATACAACCCCAAAATAACAATAATATTAATCATCATTATCAAGATCAAACAGACATATCGGCATGATATACTCCATGACTTGAAGAATCAGGATATCACCACTCCGATTAAGCCCCAACATGCACACTACTATAAATACATGGAAACTGCCCTAAGCTCACCAAACGCCTGTCTTGAGTTCGAATCCAAGAATCTCCCCTCACTGTGATCCACAGATACACGATGATTATGGGCTTCTACAACGACTTAGACATGTCTTTTGCATTTTCATAAATGACTGAGGTTGGTTTTACGCCGCTTTTAGCAATATTCCAGCAACATCACGGCGGGGAACACCAGAAATGGGCTTCACACATTGTACCCCTGTGAGGATTCGAACCTGGGTCTTCGGCACATATACGTAGAAATAATGCATTGGTTTGTTTTTGAGCAAAGAATTACTGCACTTCATGTACAATATACATGTCATTTATCCATCCTGTTCCTACTTGGTATTTTGAAGTCGAACTTCCTCCTCTTTAGGTCCATGAAGCAAGGGCTGATGTCGAAGTCGAGGAGGTTGGGGCGTGCCTGGATGAAGTTGTAGATGTTGTATGTGTAGCTGACGGACAGCTGAAACACAATAATACAATCAATGCCCCAAACAACGGTTATAACGAACACGTTTATAACGAACAGTGAGTGAGTGAGTTTAGTTTTACGCCGCACTCAGCAATATTCCAGCTATATGGCGGCGGTCTGTACATAATCGAGTCTGGACCAGACAATCCAGTGATCAACAGCATGAGCATCGATCTGCACAATTGGGAACCGATGACATGTGTCAACCAAGTGAGCGAGCCTGACCACTCGATCCCGTTAGTCGCCTCTTACGACAAGCATGGGTTACTGAAGGTGACCTTCACTATAACGAACAGACGAACTGTTTTCCCTGGCGTATGTGTGGTACGTTTGGAGTTCGTTATAACCGTATACTGTGGTCCTGTAATATAGATACTAATATATGTCAATCAATTCTTTATTCGCAGAATGTATGTAGGCCATCGGCCCATAATACAAATATTACATATTTGCAGCCATATATGATTGGCGGTGTCTTACAGCATAATAGACAAAAATTGCTATATTTCTGATGACAAAGGTATTGTTGGAGGTCATTAATATATTGTAGTTTGACAAAGAAGGGTATGTGTAAAACTTGGCAGGAATATATATAGTGCGCAAGGAACTCTATACAGTACCCACTAAAAGGAAATGATACTCGTTTTCTATATATCCATTGTCGCACATGTTACATAACCTGTGATGTCTGGGCTTATTTGTGTATCTACCTGTCTCAATATTTAATTGATGGGAACCACAGCGAAACTGTGCGAGTGCAATGCGAAATTTACTAACGTTAATAACACTTAGATATGGTTCCATAGATAGATTACACTTGAAAAGAGAATATGAATAAGTAAAAAATATGTCAGAAGAAAGGACAACTTTAAAAAGTGCCAGGGGCAGAATGACAGCCATAATTCTTGATTTCCCCCACCGAACACGTGTACGTTGATAAGATACGGAACTTGCCACGCCGTATAAAGGAATGTTTGATCAATCATTGGGGCGGTAGCCATCACTGACAAAGTTACCTTCAACATTCTGTTGGATATTGTGCCCCAGAGTGAGTGAGGTTATTTTTACGCCGCACTCAGCAATATTCCAGCTATATGGCGGCAATCTGCAAATAATCTGGACCAGTAAATTCAGTGGTCAACATCATGAGCATCGCTCTACACAACTGTATACAATGACAGATATCTACCAAGTCAGCGAGCCTGACCACCCGATAACGATAGTCGCCTCTTATGACAAACATGGGTTACTGAAGATCCATTCTAACCCTGATCTTCACGGGTCTTAAGCCCCAGAAGTCCTTGTGACATGAATTGTCTTACTGCATATTAAACAGGAAAGAAAATTACTGTTCTGTAAAACAGGTTTAAGGCATTAAACTCTAAAAATGTTTGGGATTGTTTTTAAATATGAAAGGCCACTCTGGGATCAAACGCAACTTCCACAAAATAGGCATTTACAGAGCTTAAGATGCGTATTATCTAAACAGAGAACACTAAAAGTGGGCGTCATACACTGTATAATCTAGAGACTCGAACCCGGCTTCGGCGGGAACCTGCACCAATTGGCTATTTCGCCAAGTGTGGTCACTTTAGACTGACTGACTGAGTTTGGTTTTTACGCCGCTTTTAGCAATATTCCAGCAACATCACGGCACGGGACACCAGAAATGGGCTTCACACATTGTACCCATGTGGGGATTCGAACCCGGGTCTTTGGCGTGACGAGCCAACGCTTTAACCACTAGGCTACCCCACCGCCCCGGTCACTTTAGAAGAGTCTGAGAGCAAGTATAACCAGTTTTAAATCTCACCTCATCGACATCTATAGTCAACATAAGTGGTGTCCCCATGCTGTAGCTTCCAACGCGTTGCTGCGACGCTGACCACGTACCCTAAACACAAACCAGATCATAGTATCATGAAGATTATGAAACACATTTTATATTTGGGATTACACTTTACATGTGGTACATTTGGTGAGTGAGTGAGTGAGTTTAGTTTTACGCCGCACTCAGCAATATTCCAGCTATATGGCGGCGGTCTGTAAATAATCGAGTCTGGACCAGTCAATCCAGTGATCAACAGCATGAGCATCGATCTGCGCAATTGGGAACCAATGACATGTGTCAACCAAGTCAGCGAGCCTGACCACCCGATCCCGTTAGTCGCCTCTACTACAAGCATAGTCGCCTTTTGTGGCAAGCATGGGTTGCTGAAGACCTATTCTACCCCGGATCTTCACGGGTCGTGCTACATTTGAACACTGTCTAAATGGCATTATGTATTTATGGACATTATGGTTCATTGAGACAGTGACGGACACAGTAGAACATGACGAATGTTGGAATGAAAAATGAGATAACAATCTGCAGAAAAAGGGAATATTTTCCAATGGTTGGTGAGATAAAATGAAACAGGGACAGATGGTTACTCGGTGGTGCTGTATTTGGCGATGGTAATATTGTGATATCAATGAGCATCTCACAACAGCTGATGCATCCTGACCTCTCTCAGCAGTTTCACAGGAACGAGCAGAGTGAAGAGTGTGAACTTTCTTCTGAGAAGCAATTTTTGAATGGTTGGGAAGTAATGTAATAGTTTAATTACGAATTCGTATGGGTTGTTGAAGACCGATTATAACCTAGATCATCACGGGTTGTAATATTCATGACATCGGTTCCTTCATAGTCTCACAATACATGATACACAGCAAATGATCAACTATGTATTCATGAAATCCACCTGTCCTGGTCATAACCACGTAATATCTGCACTGTGTAAATTTCGACACCACATAAAGCATGAATTATTCATCTCATATCACTTAAAAGAAGTTAAGGATCAGTCGATGCTTTCATGACAGAGTACTTTAGTATGACAGCTCGGGATGTTCTTAACTTATGTTGAGTACTGTATACTCATCGCGTTGATCTTACCCTCGAGCCCCCTCCCCACCCCCCCACCTACCAGCTTGAAGTACCACTGCCATGTAGAGTTAAAGTTGTATCCCTCAAAGGTGTTCCTCTGCCCCACCCACGTGTCCATGTCGATGTTCCGAACTGTTTTCTGTTGGATGGAAACAGGAACATATTTATTGGAACACACGCCTTCACTTGGATGAGGATGGAATAGATCAGTGGTTAAAGGAGTTGAGGTTCCACACTCTGTCTTTTCCGTCTAAGTTTTCTTGTCTAAGTGCTGTAACTGGCTGTTGATTGATAGGTAGTACAGATGGGAGCAGTCAAGGGGTAAAGAAAGATATCACCTGGCATCTCAGTGAACCCCATGTACTGTTATATGAGTGAGTGAGCTTAATTTTACGCCGCAATCAGCAACATTCCAGCTATATGACGGCAGTCTTTAAATAATCGAGTCTGGACCTAACCAATCCACTGATCAACAACATGAGTATCGATCTACGCAATTAGGAACCGATGACATGTGTCAACCAAGTCAGCGAGCCTGACCACTCGATCCCGTTAGTTGCCTCTTACAACAAGCATGGGTTACTGAAGGTGACCTTCACTATAACGAATACTATTCCAGCTATATGACGGCAGTCTTTAAACAATCGAGTCTGGACCAGACAATCCAGTGATCAACATCATGAGTATAGCTCTTCGTAACTGGTAACCGATGACATGTGTCAACCAAGTCACATGTGGCCACCCGATCCCGTTAGTCGCCACTCACGACAAAGCATGGGTTTCTGAAGATCAGTTCTAACCCGATCTCCACGGGTTCATTGTTATATAAAGGTTATGTTCATATGTTGTCTTGTTATGGACATTAGGGCTGGCGAAAATGATTGCTAATCCGAAATATCGTCGATAGGTAAAAATATTGATGATTATCGAAATGAAAATTGTTTGATCGAAAAATGTTTTAATTTACTCTCGAAATATACAAATTTAGTACTTTATTCATGGTCTGCGTCTGAATTATGTTCAGATGATGATGATGATGAGCTTATTATTAGTTTTAGGCCGCTTACGTCAGTATAATAAGGCTGTATGCACCTGTATAATCGGCCGGTGGACCCCTTACAGAAATAAACATCTCTCTCATTGTACCCACACAGTGTAGTTAGTGGTGAGTGAGTTTAGTTACGCCACGTTTAGCAATATTCCAGCAATATCACGGCGGGACACGCCAGGTATTGGCTTCACGCATCGTACCCATGTGGGGAATCGAACCTGTGTCTTCGGCGTGAAGACAATGGTTTATCCACAATGCTATCCCACCGCCCCTCTCGGCATAAGAGGTACAAATATACAGTTTAGAGTACATGGCGGGATGGTTTACATGGATACAGCATATAAACTCTGTCAAAAAAGAAACGCAACCCCTGTATTTTAGAGATTTTGATCTGAAGTTTTAGGACGACACGGCATTTTTATTATTTAAGACAGAAGTCTGAAATTTGGCAGAATAATAACCCAGATGGGCATGTTTAAAATTGTCATTTCAAAAGTCATCTCACAGACACCAGTTTGTCACCAGGGGGGCGTCTTTCTCAGTATCTCGTATGAGCACCACGCGCTGCAATCACTGCACGGCATCTCCTTGGACAAGAACGGATAAGACGCCGGATTCTTTCCTGGGGAATGGCTCTCCACTCCTCCTGCAGTGCAACGGCGAGCTGTTGCAGCGTCTGTGGCGGCGGCTGACGTTGACGTACGCGTCGATCCAGAGTATCCCACAGGTGTTCAATAGGGTTGAGGTCTGGTGATTTAGAGGGTCATGGCAAGACATTGACGTTGGAATTCTGCAGAAAGTTCATTGTTGCACGTGCAGTATGAGGCCGGGCGTTGTCCCGTTGAAAAATCTGTGTCTGTTGGTCAATAATCGGGAGAAGGTGAAGCTCTAACACGTGGTTGATGTAACGTTGGGCTGTCAGGTTCCCTGGAACGATCACCAAGTCTGATTTCTGGTTGTATGAGATGGTTCCCCAAACCATGACGCTTTCTCCGCCAAATCTGTCCACCTGTCGGACGCAGATGGGCGCAAAACGTTATGACGTCTCCTATACAGACGCTGTCTTCCGTCGTGACGTTGCAAAAAGAAAACGTGATTCATCAGAAAACCAGATTCGCCTCCAGTTTTGTAAAGTCCGTATCCTTACGTTGTTGCACCACCTGAGTCGTCGGCGTCGATGTAGGGGCGTAGTACAGGTCAACAACTGGTCTACAGGCACGTAAACCCGCTTCTTTCAGACGGTTCCTAATCGTTTGAGCTGACACTCTCCTCAAACCTGGTATTTGTGTGGCAGTCACGGTTGGTAGGGCATGCCGATTACGCAGGTGATGGACCCGGATGTACCGATCTTGAAGGGGGTCGTGATTCTTGGCCTTCCACTTCTCGGGCGATCGTTGGTCAAATTGAAGTTGTTGTAGCGGCTCCAAAGTCGGGATATCGTTGTTTGTGAACATTTAGGTGCCGTGCAACAGTTCCAAAACTTTCTCCGGCAGAACACGACCAATGGCGATATTTCGGTCGGCAGCATACATAGGTTTTATAAAACACCAATTTGTTTACAGGTAAACAATTCGTTCAATTTTAACGCATTGTGTTTTTAACAATTTTAACACATTGTGTTTTTGGTTTGGGATATAAGTTTTCCGATGATGTTTGGAGAAAGGGCGAAGACAAATGTAATGAAATTCATCGCCAACAACACGTGTCGCAGAGGTTACACATTATTTCTTCAGCAGGAATTTGTTTGTACCACCTACAGCTACCTACTTCTGTAGGCAGGAGTTGAGTGAGTGAGTTTGGTTTTACGCCGCTTTTAGCAATATTCCCGCAATATCACGGCGGGGGACACCAGAATCTGTAGGCAGGAAGTTCGCGTAAAGTGGTAAATTTTATCACCTGGCTTCTCAGTAACCTGCTTAGATTGTTATATAAAATTTCATGTTCACATGTTATCTTGATATTAGTATTGCTCAAATAGTATTGCCGTCCATAACCAATCTGTATCACTGACCTGAAGGAGTATGAACTAACCCCGAAACGTTTATTTGTTCAGCATATAGCAATTTTTTGTTTGTTCTTCTTTTGTTAAACGCCGCACTCAGCAATATTCCAGCTATATGAAAGCGGTCTCTAAATAATCAAGTCTGGACCTGACAATCCAGTGATCAACAGCAAGAGCATCGTTCTGCGTAATTGGGATACGATTACATGTGTCAACCAAGTCAGCGAGCCTGACCACCCAATCCCCTTTGTCGCCTCTTATGAGAAGCGTAGGTTACTGAAGACCAATTCTAACCCGGATTTTCACGGATAGTCGAACATATTGTAACGTTGCGATGATATGCGAGTCAGTACGCAACCAAAGTTAACCTACCACTCCTTCGTAAGTGACATCCTGGCTGTTCATGTAGAAGAACTCTCGAGAAGTCCGCATACGAACAAGATGGGGGTTCTTGGCTGTGGCGTCATCAAACGTACCGTGTTCGATTGGACGATAGGAACAGTTGCCGATCAGCGGATCAATGACGTAAGCCACGCCTTCAACGAAATCACACAAAGATTGGGAGAGGGTTAGCTAAGTTGTGAACAATTGAGTCCTTTTCCTTGTGAATAAAATATGTTTAAATCAAATCGCAAAACGCATGATATACCCTTGTAGGAATATACGATACGCACGATTTAATGTGTTCATTTTCAAATAGTTGTAAGTGGTGGTTTGAGACAGGAACACTGACGTGCGTTTTCTTTTGAAAGTTTCATGGGTAAATGAAAAGGACTCTGTGCCGTGCTAGATGGAATTAAATCTTTGATCATGAGTGAGGTTGGTTTTGCGTCGCTTTGAACAATATTTCGCTTATAACAGAGTGTTTCTGATTGGAGTGGTAGGAAAGCAATTATAATAATTATACATAATAACGATAATACATAACGTAGGCGCTTAGCACCTTGAATATGGATCTGATATCGACAAACCATGACGTTCGAACCCACTATTAGAGGCGAGTGGGCGAGTATGGTTTTACGCCGCTTTTAGCAATATCACAGCAGGGGACGCCAGAAATGGGCTTCACACATAGTACCCATGTGGGGAATCGAACCCAGGTCTTCAGCGTGACGAGTGGACGCTTAACCATTAGGCTACCCCACCGCCCCCACTATTAAAGAATAAGCATGCATAAGAGACACACGTGAGGCAGAGATTTGTAAGCACTTGTTTGACTGGGCAATCCATCTCCCTCCAATACAATATTTACACTGACATTAACAGACGAAATGAAATAGAACATTAACTTGTCTTTGCATGTGTTTGTGACGTTGGTGCGGGATACGCTTACCTTTTCTCGCGAACACCTGACATCATCATAATTTGAGAGTGAGAACACATGCTCATCATATGAGCGAAAACTATATTTAACAGACTTTTGTTTAAGTATTTATAACCCTAAACCCTTTCAATATTCGTCAGAAATGTCTGTTAAATAAAGTTTTCGTTCATATGATGAGCATGTGTTCTCCCTCTCAAATTGTGATGATGCCAGGAGTTCGCGAAAAAGATAAGCGTATCCTGTAACATCACAAACACATGCAACGGCAAGCTAATGTTCCATTTCATTTCGTCTGTTAATGTCAGTGTAGATATTGTATTGAGGGAGATGGATTGTCCAGTCAAACAAGTGCTTACAAATCTCTGTCTCACGTGTGTCCCTTATCCTTTAATAGTGGGTTCGAACCTCACGGTTTGTCTGTATCAGAACCATACTCACAGGTTAGACCACAGGTTAGACCTATGTTGTAAGCTTACCTGTGTTGAAATCGTGGATCTCCGTCAGTGGGTTGTAGCCGTATGGGCTAGGGGTCATGTGTGATGGTTTATAGGTAAATTTAGTCAGCTTCATGCTTTGATCATAATATTCCTGAAAATGTAAACCATACACTACTTTCTCGGAAGGACACATTTAATAATGAATAACAAATCGTAAGCATCAATCTATATGAATCATATTTATATTTATTTATTTATTTATTCAATATACACTTTTGCAATGAATCACCATTTTATTCAATTACATATATATTTATATGAATCACAATTGTATGGATATATATTTATATGAATCACAGTTTTATTTATCTCACTCTCTCTTTCTCTCTGTCTCTCTCTCTCTCTCTCTCTCTCTCTCTCTCTCTCTCTCTCTCTCTCTCTCTATGTATATATATATATATATATATATATATATATATATATATGTAGCCATGACAATGAGTACCGCTATTATTTCAAGCTATACTAGGTATCATTAATAAAGGGTCAAGCGATATATAGCTCATGCAAAGAAAATTTTCTCAGAAATTATAGAACTGAGAGTGTCATCATATTGTTTAATGTGTTGACAAACGTGACACATCGTGACATACAGACAAAATGTTCAAACAGCACTAGCAAACATCAGTTGTATAGACCAAAACCCCAAAATGAAAATGATAAACATGAAGCACTCGGTCATTCAGAATCTTGAATAACCCCCTCGCGCGTCCAAGACACAGGTGCACGGTAAAATAAAACTCACTCACTCACTGGAATTGACCTTATGCAACTTGTCGTTAGACACGACCAACGGATTGGGTGTCAGATTCGGTGTCTTTGTTGGTGCGCATTACCGCATCCCAGTTGCGTAGATCGATGCTTAAGATGTCAAACAAACATGTGAGTGAGTTTAGTTTTACACCGCACTCAGCAATATTCCAGCTATATGGCGGCAGTCTGAAAATAAATAGTTTGCATCAGACAATCCAGTGATCGACAGCATGAGCATCGATCAACTGGGAACCGATGACATAGGTCAACCAAGTCAGCGAGCCTGACCACCCGATCCTTTTAGTCGCCTCTTACGACAAGCATGGGTTACTGAAGATCAACTCTAACCTGGATCTTTACGGGTTTAACACGCCAACAAACAAACAAACAAACAAACCTACTTTCATGAAGGAGATTTGGGAGTGTAAGTTGTCCACGATTTCTATAATCAACGAGTATTCGGGCGCTACAGTCGGAAGAGGCTTTGTATTCTTCCGCCCAGGACAGGAAATACCGTTCGGTGTCTAATGGAGAACATGGGAAAACAAGTACGTCATACCGGGATAATCTGGTAAACAAGTCCCCAATCAAAATATCAACAATCGAAATGTTTCGAGATCTCAAAGAACAAACACAAAATTGATCAAGTAAATATAAATGACAAAAATTTGGATAGATGAATGGAAACAAATTTTTAACCGAATATGTGTTGTAAAATACACACAAATATATTACATGTTGTTGTTACGCAGTGGAAATTATACTAAACTACCTATGAAGCGCCGTGGAAACTAAACTCAATTACATTATGTTTTACTTACCTTGCAATTACCTAAATGTGAACTTTCCTTCTAGTGAACTAAATGTGAAACCCCTTTTTACGTATGAGAAATGTGAAATATACAAATACATAATAAACATTAAACTTGTTTTTTCTGATTTAGGCATCAGGTATATACCACAATATTATTGTGTAAATCCCAACATACAGAAGTTTGTAAATTTACTTAACACCCAAAATGCAAATGTTATTTTACGCCTAGCCATATTTGTAAAGAAAATCCATAACGTTTTATGATACTTATAAATGCCAGTGTACTTCTCATGCCAACGCTCAAAAGAACATGATGTCAAAATGTCACTGTACTATTGGCCTCATGGCCACTCTACGAAATAAATCTGTCTGTCTGTCATTAAACTTAAAAGGAAGAAGCTGTTTATCAAATAAATGTTCAGTATCGATGGCTAATTCTCTCAACTATACTCCTCACAAAAAATTAAGCTAGAAGTATTTTCAGTGTAATATATTTATCAATCTCCATAGCGATTTCTGCCGGCATGTTACTGAAAACTAAATGTTCAAAGAATACATAACCTTTAGTGACTGTGAAATTAATTTATCAGATAACATTGATAACATCACCCGAACACAACCACCCTCAGAACAACATGAAAATGTATGGCATGAATGTGCTCCACTCTTCACACATGCAGTCTGATAGGTGAAAACTATGGTGGCTGGTTAGGGCCATCGCTTTCTCGCCTCAAAATTCGGAGGCGAGAAAGCGATAAAGCGATATCACGAGACGAGAAAGCGATAACACACGACTTTCTCGCTTTCTCACTCCGAATTTTAAGGCGAGAAAGCGATGGCCCTAATCAGCCGCCATAGAAAACAGTCCTGTAATCATTCCTATGGTACAACAAGCGGGTCCTAACTTCATTTTTATGGGTGATAATGCCCGAGAAAGAGTTGTTAATGATGTTGTTGAGATCAACAACATCACACATATGGACTAGCCTCCAAGGTCACCTGATCTTAATCCCACTGAACATGCTTGGGACATTATTGGCAGTCGTGTTTACGGTCTCCATGTTCACCCCCAGACTCTGGATGAACTTGAACAGGCGTTACAGAGAGAATGGCAGAACATTCCACAACAGCAACTTTAAAGGCTCATTTGGTCAATGCAAAGACGTGTAGAAGCTTGCATTCGTGCTCATGATGGTCATACGAGTTACTGAACACTGCTTCACTGTCCAAAACTGACTTGAACCTTAATGTTAACATTTTGCTCCATCAATGCAGCACATTTTGCACGACTGTTTCACGGGTACATGCTTTTGATGATTTGTAAGTCTATTATTGCTCAATACCATTTCATATTTCATTTTGTTAATCGTGTGTACATATGTTCACCTTTCTATTGCATTATTCCATGATTTGCAATTTCAATAAATGAAAATGTAATGAGACTAAAAATTTGTGTTGCTTAACTTTTTGTGAGGAGTATATTTCTATCTTATCTATACTTTTCTAGTTAGTTTCTGTCACTTCGAGAGAGCTATCCATTAACAATCTGACAATAGCGCTTAAAACTGAAACTGTAATTTATGTTAATAAAACAAACGTTTGTCCTTTCCGCGAAGCGGTTGTATTTGTGCTATCCAACACTGTGTCCGAGAACATCAGTTCTTTACGGACCTCCAGAACACATGCTATTTCCTGACAATGATAGTACACGTAGTTTCGCTTTCGATGTGGAAATATATTTAGTGTGGCGACACCCTTTGTCTTCATTTAACCGACTGATTATATCGGTGCTGGATAAAGGTATTTGTCCCCAAAGCTATTTGTACGAATCAGTGTAAAACTGCAACAATGGATATTTGTATGACGTTTCACCTCAAACTTTTGTTGATCCTCGATGAAGGGTTTAAAATGAAAAAACTCGTAGTAGTGTTCAAAGTCGTAGGGGGAGCCGTTCTTCGTGCGTCGGCCCTGGATGTGAGCTCTGACTGGGGTTGACGGGATGGCGAGAGCTGTGTCCCAACTTGAAGGATCTGCATCAGTGAGCGTGATTATAAATATTTCAGATACATCACACGACAGACATCTGATTCTCATTTCAGGGTAAAACAACACCAAACCCTACCTATTAAAAATACGTGGTTACCGTCATTCATGACCCCTTTTTTTATACTACAGGGTTCACCGTCCCCTAATCTATACTGCAGGCTTCATATGTTTTACGTTTCTATCTTAACCAATGTGTTGTTAACTGGCTTTTCCATACTATTGTCCTAGTTCTCTACTGGACTGTACTGTTACACGTCCTCACACTTGTATGTATGCCTCTCAATCATTATTCTTAATTGACTGAAATCGAAGAAGTCGTCGGTGACATGAGCTCATCACCTGAGAAGTACCAGGTGACGTTCATGGTGGCGTCCATGCTGGACCAGTAGAGGCAGGAGTACCACTTCTGGACGTTGATGCCGCGCACGACATCCGATCCCTGGAACACCTCGACAGTGTTCGCCTCGCCAAAGTGCAGGGCGCCGTTAACAGAGAAAATGTGACCCTGTCCATTCTTACTCTGATACCCAAAGAGATAGTTGGAACTCTTCTGCCGCAGGTTCTCCACAAGGCAGAGCTCTAAATGGGAGCAAGGACATTCGATGTAGATTAATATGCTGTCCAATATTTTGTTGGAGATATGACCAATCAACCACCACTGGACATTCAACCACTCATTAGACTGTTAACAAATAGCTCGACCAACCAATGAAAAATTATCTCAACTGTCAACCAGCACGCGACCAATTAACCATCACCCGTTCTATCATCCATCTCTCGACTTATCTACCATCACTGGAGTAATCAACCATCACGCGGCCAATTAACAATCGCTCGTTCTATCATCCATCACTCAACTAATCTACTAGACTCATCAACCATCACTCGATCTATCAACCATCGCTCGACCTAGCAACCATCATTCAACCAACCAACAATCTCTCGACCAATCAACCATCGCTCGACCAATCATTTCGACCAATTAACCATCACTTGACCAATCATATTGACCGATCAACCATCATTCGGCCAATCAACCATCACTCGACCAATCAACCTCACACGACTCATCAACGATTACTCGACCGATCCACCATCACTCCACCGCTCTACAGATCAACCACTCAGCAAGTGCCCGGAGGACTCTCACTTTTGTCTGGCAGTATGGAAATGAGTTCGTTTGTAGCGTAGCTGTAGTAGGCCCACAACTTGATGCCATAGTCCATCTGACGTACTTCACCCCTGTTGTTGGCGTCGTCGTAGTATTCATGGACTTCAGTAGTGGTGTTGAGGTCGAGGAAGTTACACTCTACGTGGACTTCAAACTGATTGGGTAAGGATGGTCGTGCATGTTGCTGTCCTTCAAAGGAAAATGGACACTTGTAAGTGAAGCATGCATACCGATTGGTCGATGTGTACGCAGGGAGACACTGACAAGGAATGTACTAACACACATAGACAGTGGTCAGGGCAACATATACACAGAGACATTGGGCAGGGCCACATTTACACACAGGCATTGAGCAGGGCAACATATACACACAGACAGTGGTCAGGTCTACATTTACACAGACACACAGTGGACAGAGCAGCATTTACACAGACATACAGTGGTCAGGTCTACATTTACACAGACACACAGTGGACAGAGCAGCATTTACACACACACATACACTGGTCAGGTCTACATTTACACAGACACACAGTGGACAGAGCAGCATTTACACAGACATACAGTGGTCAGGTCTACATTTACACAGACACACAGTGGACAGAGCAGCATTTACACAGACATACAGTGGTCAGGTCTACATTTACACAGACACACAGTGGACAGAGCAGCATTTACACAGACATACAGTGGACAGAGCAGCATTTACACAGACACACAGTGGACAGAGCAGCATTTACACACAGAGAGTGGTCAGGGAACATGTACACAGACACACAGTGGACAGAGCAGCATTTACACACAGACAGTGGTCAGGGAACATGTACACTCAGACACTGGGCAGAGCTACTTTTACACACATAAATTGGACTGGTCTACATTTACACACATTGAACAGAGCGAAATGTACACAGATACATTGGACATAGTTAAATGTGCACACAAAACAGTTGTCAGGTCTACGTTTACACACATATACATCGGGCACGGCAACACTCACAGACATTGCAGAGGGCAACAGATACTCACAGACATTGCAGAGGGCAACAGATACTCACAGACATTGCAGAGGGCGACATATACACACAGACATTGCAGAGGGCAACAGATACTCACAGACATTGCAGAGGGCAACAGATACTCACAGACATTGCAGAGGGCGACATATACACACAGACATTGGACAGGGCAACGTATACACACAGACATTGGTCAGGGCAACATATACTCACAGACATTGGCCAGGGCAACATATACACACAGAAATTGGGCAGGGGAACATATACAAACAGACATTGGTCAGGGCAACATATACACACAGACACTGGACAGGGAAACGTATACCCACAGACTTTGGACAGGGCAACGTATACACACAGACATTGGACAGGGCAACACATACACACAGATATTGGGCAGGGTAACATATACCCACCGACATTGGGGACATATACACACAGCATTGGGGATAACATACACACAGACATTGGGGAGGAGAACATACACACACAGACATTGAACAGGGCAACATATACACACAGACATTAGACAGGGTAACATATACACACAGACATTGGGCAGGGCAAAAGAGACACACCGACATTAAACAGGGCAACATATACCCACAGGCATTGGGCAGGGCAACATGTACACACAGACATTGGGTAGGGGAACATATACACACCGACATTGGACAGGGCAACATATACACACAGACATTGGTCAGGGCAACATATACACACAGACATTGGGGAGGGCAACATATACACACAGACATTGGGCAGGGCAACATATACACACAGACATTGAGCAGGGGAACATATACACACAGACATTGGACAGGGCAACGTATACACACAGACATTGGGCAGGGCAACATATACACACAGACATTTAACAGGGCAACATATACCCACATACATTGGGCAGGGCAACATGTACACACAGACATTGGGCAGGGCAACATATACACACAGACATTGACAGGGCAACATATACACACAGGGCAACATATGACAGACATTGGCAACATATACACACAGACATTAGACAGGGCAACGTTTACACACAGACATTGGGGAGGGCAACATATACACAGACATTGGGCAGGGCAACATATACACACAGACATTGGCCGGTGAAACGTATACACGCAGACATTAGACAGGGCAACGTATACACACAGACATTGGACAGGGTAACATATACACACAGACATTGGACAGGGCAACATATACACACAGACATTGGGCAGGGCAACATATACACACATACATTGGGCAGGGCAACATGTACACACAGACATTGGGCAGGGGAACATATACACACAGACATTGGACAGGGCAACATATACACACAGACATTGAGTAGGGGAACATATACACACAGACATTAGACAGGGCAACGTTTACACACAGACATTGGGGAGGGCAACATATACACAGACATTGGGCAGGGCAACATATACACACAGACATTGGCCGGTGAAACGTATACACGCAGACATTAGACAGGGCAACGTATACACACAGACATTGGACAGGGTAACATATACACACAGACATTGGACAGGGCAACATATACACACAGACATTGGGCAGGGCAACATATACACACATACATTGGGCAGGGCAACATATACACACAGACATTGGGCAGGGGAACATATACACACAGACATTGGACAGGGCAACGTATACACACACACTTTGGATAGGGCAACATATACACACCGACATTGGTCAGGGGAACATATACACACAGACATTGGACAGGGCAACATATACACACACATATTGGGGAGGGCAACATATACACACACACATTGGGCAGGGCAACATATACACACAGACATTGGGGAGGGCAACATATACACACAGACATTGGGCAGGGCAACATATACACACAGACATTGGTCAGTGAAACGTATACACACAGACATTGAACAGGGTAACGTATACACACAGACATTGGACAGGGCAACATATACACACAGACATTCGGCAGGGCAACATATACACACAGACATTGGACAGGGCAACATATACACACAGACATTGGACAGGGCAACGTATACACACAGACAATGGGCAGGGCAACATATACACACACATATTGGGGAGGCCAACATATACACACATACATTGGGCAGGGCAACATATACAACACAGACTTTGGGCAACATATACACACAGACATATACACACAGACATTGGGAGGGCAACATATACACACAGACATTGGGCAGGGCAACATATACACACAGACATTGGTCAGTGAAACGTATACACACAGACATTGAACAGGGCAACGTATACACACAGACATTGGACAGGGTAACATATACACACAGACATTGGACAGGGCAACATATACACACAGACATTCGGCAGGGCAACATGTACACACAGACATTGGACAGGGCAACATATACACACAGACATTGGACAGGGCAACATATACACACAGACATTGGTCAGTGAAACGTATACACACAGACATTGAACAGGGCAACGTATACACACAGACATTGGACAGGGCAACATATACACACAGACATTGGACAGGGCAACATATACACACAGACATTGAACAGGGGAATATATACACACAGACATTGGACAGGGCAACATATACACACAGACATTGGTCAGGGCATCGTATATTATGACTACCATATGGTATAGTGCAGACTGTTCTGTCTATATCTACCGTATGGAGTAGTGGAGACTGTTGTGTCTATACCTACCGTGTGCAGTAGTACAGACTGTTGTGTCTATACCTACTGCATGGAGTAGTACAAACTGTTGTGTCTATACCTACCGTGTGGAGTAGTGCAGACTGTTGTGGCTGTACCTACCTTATGGAGTAGTACAGACTGTTGTGTATATGCCTACCGTTTGGGGGAGTACAGACTGTTGTGTCTATACCTACCGTATGGAGTAGTGCAGACTGTTGTGTCTATACCTACCGTATGGAGTAGTGCAGACAGTTGTGTCTATACCTACCGTAAGGAGTAGTACAGACTGTTGTTTCTGTACCTACCGTATGGAGTAGTGCAGACTGTTGTGTCTATACCTACCGTATGGAGTAGTGCAGACTGTTGTGTCTATACCTACCGTATCGAGTAGTGCAGACAGTTGTGTCTATACCTACCGTAGTGCAGACAGCTGTGTCTATACCTACCGTAAGGAGTAGTACAGACTGTTGTGTCTATACCTACCGTATGGAGTAGTGCAGACTGTTGTGTCTATACCTACCGTGTGGAGTAGTACAGACTGTTGTGTCTATACCTACCGTATGTAGTAGTACAGACTGTTGTGTCTATACCTACCGTATGGAGTAGTACAGACTGTTGTGTCTATACCTACCGTATGGAGTAGTACAGACTGTTGTGTCTATACCTACCGTATGGAGTAGTACAGACTGTTGTGTCTATACCTACCGTATGGAGTAGTACAGACTGTTGTGTCTATACCTACTATCGAGTAGTGCAGACTGTATGGAGTAGTACAGACTGTTGTGTCTATACCTACCGTGTGGAGTAGTGCAGACTGTTGTTTCTATACCTACCGTATGGAGTAGTGCATACTGTTGTGTCTATACCTACTGTATGGAGTAGTACAGACTATTGTGTCTATACCTACCGTATGGAGTAGTACAGACTGTTGTGTCTATACCTACCGTATGGAGTAGTACAGACTGTTGTGTCTATACCTACTGTATGGAGTAGTACAGACTATTGTGTCTATACCTACCGTATGGAGTAGCACAGACTGTTGTGTCTATACCTACCGTATGGAGTAGTACAGACTGTTGTGTCTATACCTACTGTATGGAGTAGTACAGACTATTGTGTCTATACCTACCGTATGGAGTAGCACAGACTGTTGTGTCTATACCCTCCGTATGGAGTAGTACAGACTGTTGTGTCTATACCCTCCGTATGGAATAGTGCAGACTGTTGTTTCTATACCTACCGTATGGGGTAGTGCAGACTGTTGTGTCTATGCCGGCTGCTGCTAGGTGAAACAGGCACAGTGTCGCCAGCAGCACGTGCATTGTGTCAGGATAGTCAGCAGGGTCAACTCTGAACAGATGCAGAACATTATATAAATATTGATGATAACAAGTGAGCGAAACCAATAGTGAATAGTTACATTCCTTGAAGGAAGTGTTTGATAAATGAAACTTTCAGAATGGTGTCATTAACGCACCGGACCGCACCGCATCGCATCGCTTCGCATCGGCCCCATCGCATCGCATTTTAATGACGTTTATCAGCGGTGTTTTCGTTGCTTATTATAGACATTCATAACAGCCAGGTGGTTTCTGTTTCATGTGAGCTACTTGTTGTATTTTTAGCGTTTTAGCACCGACATGAGTATTATTTTCGTGATAATTTTGAAAAGAAATTACGACTTACACAAAATAATATATGTTTCTTTCTGTCTGAACGTAGGCAATAGTAAATGTTAGAATGTCGGGAAATAAAAGTTCCTTTCGTGGCAAAGTTGTAGGTCTTTATATAGACTTCCCATCAAAAGTTTAGACTCACTTAAAGCACTCACTATATGTTATGCACATATATATGGTTACATCGAAGATGAATTTCTCCACTAACTTGGGGGAACCAACTGCAAACCTTATGCAGAAAAACTGCACGAGGAACATGCATGAAATTGCTGAAAAGCATGTGCAAATATCATGTGTGAATAGCTGCGTTTTAGTGTAAAGTTTTGTTCAAAATTCGCCAATTTTCACTGATTTCTATCATTTATTGAACTCATGACAATCATCTTTTCAACGTTGTGAAATTGTTTTACAACACATCAGTTCATGTGTAAACAGAACCTTTAAACAGTATGAAATATTTTGCAATTTAGTTTAGAACAGTTACCTGAAGTAAGTGGCTATATTTACACTAGTGAGTCTAAACTTTTGATGGGTAGTATACATATCGCTATCAGTTATATTCATGTCAGTATTCATATCATGTGTACGCATGTATCCAGGTATTATTATTGTACTCTGAATTATAACGAATAGCTATATTCTATAAAACTTCGGAAATAAGATTTTACTGAGTAACGCTGGTCTATATCAGAACCTGAACGTAATCATTGTACATTGGCCTCTCATTCTTTAATTCAAATGACATTTTGCAACTTTGTATCAAAACTCACCTCGACAAAGATGACCTCCTTGTGGCACGCCTACAGCAGTTATCTACCTTTGATACGGCACAGGTTTTATCAATGAAGATGATTTTGTGCTGAAATCTTACGGGTTCAAGAAGGATGGTGTGCTGATAAACACCAAATTATCTACACCGACGCGCTATCTCCGTACCTTAACAATGAGCCGACTTTTACACAACTTTCAGTGCTGTTGCTGGAATATCACTGAAACTGGTTTCGTAATATTCCTAACTTATCCCTCCAAACTGGGCTGTTATACCCGAGTTTTCTAGAAGGCAAGAGAAGTTTTGCCCAATTTTCAAAGTTAGGATTCAAAGTTACTCTTGCTGAAATATCACTGTACCTTAACAATGACCCCACTATCACACACCTTTCATTGCTATTGCAATGGGGTATCGTAATCTGTCCTAACCCATCCCGCCAAAATGGGGAATTAAACCCGAATTTTCGAGAAGGCAAAGTTTTGCCTAATTTTCAAAGTTAGGGATTCTTTTGTCGGCTACTTTGAAAAAATTTTTTCCGAAAAGGCAACCAAAACGTGGCTCCTTCCTAATTGTAAATATCTTTATTATTTCCAAAGGTATGCATAACGTGAATGATACGGCGAGACATGGGGTGGCCAAGGGGTTAAAGTGTTCGCCTGTCACGGTGCGCTTCATGAACAAGACCACCAGCTGTATGTTTTAGTAAAACTGCGTATGTATAACTACGGTTATAACGAACTGTAATTTATGGTCCTTGGAGTTCGTTAAAACCGTAGTTTGCTGTACATCGTAACTTGGCACTGTAATAAAATAGAAAATTGTCACAAATATAAAATTGTTGGCTGTACTTTTAAAGGTTGTTATAACATCATAACTATAATAATCTGCAGTGGTTGTTTAACACACTCCCTGTCTCTTCAGTAAATGGCAGATAACGGTTAACCTGGACTTTACTCATGTTGTTATCGTCACTGTGACACTCTCCGTGATAAATGGTCACCTCGGATTTCCTACGCCCCAGGTAGGTAGATTTTATTTATAAACGGTATTTAAATTTAATACCTTGATTAATACATTTACGTATTGAAATAACGTCCATTATACACTTCGACTTTAAGAAATGGTATTTAACACAAGAAACTATCCGTTTTTCGTTTACAGAGAGATTCGTGTCCAATATGATGCCATCAAGTTGGAATATTCAAACTTAAGTGTTGAACTATTTATACTGTGTTTGTCTTCACTGACAATGAGATTGGCGTATTGTTAAACAATCTTATGTTCACCCTTATCAAAGGGTTATTTGATATAATGATTTATGTAGGAGTGGTTAGAAATACACATCTACACATAAAATATAGTTACGTTGCTATACAGGGATATTTCTTCATAGTACATATTTACGGAACAGCATACGGTGCTAAAGGTATTTTTCTTGTTGTCATAGATACTATTATATGTCTCTGAAGAAATGGTATCATTTTTACATATAGTAGCAACAAAAATGGTCGGCTGAAAGGATAGACCAATCCGACTGTATTTGTTAATAAATCACCAATTCAACACACAGTGGTGATTGATATCAAGCGTTGGCGAAAGGACTAGGGCAGCATTTTTATTTTTTGTGTTTCTCATCGCCCGACCGACCTTTCTAATTTTATTGCCAATCCCCTTTTTTTCATGCCAACACCGCAGCTTCGAACCTAAAACGTACCGCCTCGTCATATAAAATGTTTATCTATCTAAAATGTTTTAATCAGTCGCTGCCACAAGTCCAAAGAACGCGAGAAATTCTAATAAGAATTACAATAGATGAGAATCAAGAACATTTTGTTTGTAGAATTGTCTTTATCAAGGTTTTTCTTTTTTTTTAGTTTTTTTCGCCCGACCGACCGACCAATGTTCAGAATTTGGTGGCAGCGTGAAACACATAAAAACATTATGCTCTTAGCGTATCCTGCTCCACCGGTGGCATACGTCACAAACCGTTACCATGGTTTTACCTCAATTCACAAACAAGGGGGTTCCGGGACCCCCAGCTATTAGGGTCCTATCGCGCAATATGAGGGTGGGCGGCGGGGTAGCCTAGTGGTTAAAGCGTTGGCTTGTCACACCGAAGACCCGGGTACGATTCCCCACATGGGTGCAATGTGTGAAGCCCATTTCTGGTGTCCCCCGCCGTGATGTTGCTGGAATATTGCTAAAAGCGGCGTAAAACCAAACTCAGTCAGTCAGTCAATATGAGGGTCCTGTGATGTAACGGTGTGGTGTAGAGAACTGTATGTTTTTATCATTTTGTTAGAACCTGGAATGAAACATTGATCATGGACTGATGAGTGAAATGATGCATGCAACCGCTCTGAAAGATACAACCAAACATTTAAGTCCTGGATTTGTTGTGGGTACAATAATGCTTTGGGTCACTCTGGACGCGGTGTTTTGGTTTTTTTCTAGGTCCATTCTCCTGGCGAGTCGGGCTAGCTATGCCTGAAGGTTACTAGCCCACAAAATAATTCACTAGTCCGAATTTTTTATGTAGAAACTAAGCCAAATATTACCGAAAGGTAAAATACCATCATTTATCAGGCCATAATATTGCATGATTTAACTGTGTATTGAAACTACAAGTCGGAGAGAATGATGTATTTAAAAAATGAACCCATGACAATTCACTAGGCAGTCGGGCCAGTGACTGTGGAGATTTACTGGCCCGACTAGATTTTCACTAGCCACGGGCTAGCGGGCCAGTGGTCATTTCGCACACTGCGTTAAACCCTGGTTTACGTGTCATTATAGTGTAACCATTATTGGTGTTTGTGTGTTCTTTTAAAGTTATACAATGCTCGTAAGAGTTGAGATGAAATGAGGTTTAACTTCGCACTTAAGATTAGTTCTCTCATATGACGACGTGCATGCGTGTGTATGTGTGGCTGCTTGTACTACCCCAGATTTAAGCTCGTTTTATAGTGCTAGCCCACTGAGATACCATGCCGCAGTGAAGCATGAATACCCCACTCAGACACATTACACTGACTCCGAGCCGACCAGTCCTTGTTGTACCCATTAATGTCGAGCACCAGGCAGGGACCAACGAGTACCATATTTTAACGTATTTTTGTATGACGCTCTCCGGGCGGACGCTATAACCACGGGGGCGGTAATGCCCGTAAGAGGTGTATGTAACTCGGTAGATCAGTGTTTAATAGGGTTGTATGTTTAGGAATGTACGTGGAGTCGTGTATCTAGTTCATTATCAAACCTATATAGAGATTACTACACGAGCAAGTTTGTCATGCGACTTATACGAAACGAGTGTGACATTTTGTACTGCCCGAGCGAGAGCGACGGCAACACAATTTTGCACGAGTTTTGTATAAGTCGTGTGGCACACTTGCGAGTGTAATAATTTGTTTATTATCCATTTTATGCATGAACATTTGTGCAGTAAAATACGGTAAGCAAGTGTGACTGCCCTGTTCATTGACGTCACGTTCAATTGTTTAAGTGACGTCACAGACGACGACATAGAGAAACAATGGTTGCTAGGCAGAAGTGATATGTGCACATGTGCACATATGATAATATATGACACTGGTTATGTTTCACCATATGGATAATAAAGCCAAATAACACATTTAGTGTTGCCCTGCCGAAACAGTTCTATGAGCATGCCTGTATGTAATAGGTATAATTAATTTCTCAAAATTCTAATGACATTTTCAATATTACTTTGTCAATAAGCCCATCATCATCTTTAATAGTTTGTCACTATTTGTCAAACTTTGTATGTATCAGGTTATCAATACTCCAATCTTTAGCTATATTACTCTGCCAATATCCTTATTTTCATTAAAAAAAATTAATTTTTTTTGATAACCCAATATTCATTTTTATTACTTTGTTAATAACCTAATTTTCAACTTAAAAGGCTATTCAATGACATAGATTTTATCTTTTTATTAGCATAACAAGACCCGTATCTTCAAAATCTTTAGTTTGTCAATATACCAATCTTCCTCCTTGCTATTTTGTCAAAAACCAAATCTTAATCTTTGTTAGTTATTCAATAAAGCAGTCTTCACCTGTTTGTCAATAACCTAATATTCATATTTATTTGTTTGTCAAAACTGAAATCTTCATCTTTAAAAGTTTGTCAATGTTCTTATCATCATTCATTCAAATTGCCATCTTCACTATTTTGTATTCTCTTAATATGTGCCTTGGTCTCTTTGCAGGTTTTATTGAATCTCAGCAAGGTAAGTTCTATTTTCCCACTTTAAGCGAAAGAATTGGCACTAGCAGAGAGTTCCAATGAAGATGTAGTTTGGAACTGTACCTCAGCAACCAAAGTAATGGTTGATGTCTGTCATCTTGTCCCTGTTGTATACACCCGTGTAGATCCGGGTTAGAATTGGTTTTCAGCAAACCATGCTTGTCGTAAGAGGCGCCATGCTCGCTGACTTGGTTGACACATGTCATCGTATCACAACTGCGTAGATCACTGGATTGTTAGGTCCAGTTTGGACTCCATTGTTTACAGACCGCCGTCATTCAGATGGAATATTGCTAAGTGCGGCGTAGAACTAAACTCACACCGAGACTAGAGTCAGTGTGTGCGTGGGTACCCATGTGAAACTGTTGCATGGCACGTCAGCTGTCAAGCTGAATGAAATAGGCATTGGTTCCGAACGGTGTCAATAGCACACACGCACACACGCACACACGCACAAACACACACACGTGTACATACATGTACGTCGTAACTTAAGTGCAATAATCGCCACACCACCTGATCTTCTATCTGCCATCCAACACGATCGAGAAGTATCATGTTAATTCCGGATGAGTTTTTCAGATGCGTGGTTTGTTGATGTTGCTGCTGCTGCTGCCGCTGATTGATGCCGGTTCCTTGGACACTTCTGTGTGTTCCCCGCTGCCGCCACAACCCACATCAGGCAAGTGTTATACCACGAGAAACTAACACAGAAAATACCCTTTAGAAATGGTCATGGACCTGTAATTGATATGATATCATTAAACTTAAGAAACCGAAATTTCTTATTAAGTATATATCCAATGATTATTTTATGACATGCCTGTCAATAACTGACTAACTGTTCATTCATTTTCTACGTTTCCTGACAAAGATTTGACTCATAACTAGCAAACAAGTGAATGAAATGCAGTGTTCATGTACCAATACTACAGGAGGCAGTGGCTGTTCTTATGCGTCTAGTCAATAACAGACCCCGTAAAGATGGAGGTTAAAACTTCAGCAGTCCATGCTTGTCTGAACCTTTAAGCGCCACCGAGCAGCAAATGTTGGAAGGAAGGCGCTATGCAAATCAATAAATTTGATTATTATTATTGTCTTAAGAGTCGAACAACGGGATTGCTGTCGGTTGGATGCGCGACAGGTATCCCAACTGAATCCATCGATGCTCATGGTGTCAGTCACTGGATTGTCGCGATTTGATTGTTTACAGTCGTGGTTCACATAGATGGAGTGAGTGAGTGGAGCTTTACGCCGCACTCAGCAATATTCCATCTACATGGCGGCGGTTTGTACATATCGAGTCTGGACCAGACAATCCAGTGATCAACAGCATGAGCATGGATATGCGCAATTGGGAACCGATGACATGTGTCAACCAAGTCAGCGAGCCTGAGATCCCATTAGTCGCCTCTTACGACAAGCATTGGTTACTGAAGGCCAATATTCTAACCCGGACCTACACGGGTCCCACACAGATGGAATATTACTGATTCAGCCTTATCAACCAAACATGCAAATATCGTATTCAGTCCTTCCAAACACAAGCAAATATCGTATTCAGTCCTTCCAAACACAAGCAAAGATCGTATTCAGTCTTTCCAAACACTAGCATGGACGTTCAAATCATGTTATGTGGTTTATGCGATGTTAAATTATGTTAACTGGTGTTTCAGTGGTGCTGAGACCAGTTATCCCCAACACGTTTGAGGTTCACGTCGACACCGTAGTCGTGAACAAAAACATGACGACAGAGGTCCACGAACACTTCGACGACGTCCACAACAGAGGCATGATCGAACAGTATTCTTACAACGAGAAATACAAGGCCTATTACGACTACGCCCACAACGAGTTCATCGGGATGTTCCCTGATCAAGGTGTGTCTCTTAAATCGTAGTGAACAATCGCTGCTCAATCCAGAGTTGCTTCCCCTGAAGCTAGCAGATCGCAATCTCTGCTGCATACAGAGTTGCTTTCCTTTAACCAGGAGTGTACAATCTGCATACAGAGTTGCTTCCCTTGAAGCCCGGAGTGTACAATCGCTGCTCCATACCGAGTTGCTTCCCTTGTAGCCAGGAGTGTACAATCTTCATACAGAGTTGCTTCCCTTGTAGCCAGGAGTGTACAATCGTTGCTCCATACCAGAGTTGCTTCCCTTGTAGCCAGGGTGAACAATCGTTGCTCCATACCGAGTTGCTTCCCCTTGTAGCCCGGAGTACAATCTCTGCCCCATACAGAGTTGCTTCCTTTAAGCCAGGAGTGTACAATCTTCATAAAGAGTTGCTTCCCCTGAAGCCCGGAGTGTACAATCTCTGCCCCATACAGAGTTGCTTCCTTGTAGCCAGGAGTGAACAATCGTTGCTCCATACAGAGTTGCTTCCCTTGAAGCCCGGAGTGTACAATCGTTGCTGCCCCGATACCGAGTTGCTTCCCTTGTAGCCAGGAGTGTACAATCGTTGCTCCATACAGAGTTGCTTCACTTGAAGCAGCCGGAGTGTACAATCGCTGCTCCATACCAAGTTGCTTCCCCTTGTAGCCAGGTGTGTACAATCTTCATACAGAGTTGCTTCCCTTGAAGCCGGAGTGTACAATCGCTGCTCCATACCGAATTGCTTCCCTTGTAGCCAGGGTGGTACAATCTTCATACAGAGTTGCTTCCCCTGAAGCCCGGAGTGTACAATCTCTGCCCCATACAGAATTGCTTCCTTGTAGCCAGGGAGTGTACAATCTTCATAAAGAGTTGCTTCCCTTGAAGCCCAGGTTTACAATCGCTGCTCCATACCAAGTTGCTTCCCTTGTAGCCAGGAGTGTACAATCTTCATACAGAGTTGCTTCCTCTTGAAGCCAGGGTGTACAATCGCTGCTCCATACCGAGTTGCTTCCCTTGTAACCAGGAGTGAACAATCGTTGCTCCATACCGAGTTGCTTCCCTTGTAGCCAGGAGTGTAACAATCGTTGCTCCATACCGATCGCGAGCTGCTTCCCTTGTAGCCAGGAGTGTACAATCTTCATACAGAGTTGCTTCCCTTGAAGCCAGGAGGTACAATCTCTGCCCCATACAGAGTTGCTTCCTTAAGCCAGGTAGTGTACAATCGCTTCCCTCCATACCGAGTTGCTTCCCTTGTAGCCAGGAGCGTACAATCGTTGCTCCCATGCATCGCGAGTTGCTTCCCTTGTAGCCAGGAGCGTACAATCTCTGCCCCATACAGAGTTGCTTCCTTTAGCCAGGGAGTGTACAATCTTCATACAGAGTTGCTTCCCTTGAAGCCAGGAGTGTACAATCGCTGCTCCATACGCGAGTTGCTTCCCCTTGTAGCCAGGGTGTACAATCCTCATACAGAGTTGCTTCACTTGAAGCCCGGAGTGTACAATCGCTGCTCCATACCAAGTTGCTTCCCTTGTAGCCAGGTGTGTACAATTGTTGCTCCATACCGAGTTGCTTCCTTGAGGCCAGGAGGTACAATCGCTGCTCCATACAGAGTTGCTTCCTTAAGCCAGGGTGTACAATCTTCATACAGAGCTGCTTCCCTTGAAGCCCGGAGGTACAATCGCTGCTCCATACCAAGTTGCTTCCCTTGTAGCCAGGGGTGAACAATTGTTGCTCCATACCGAGTTGCTTCCCTTGTAGCCCGGGTGTACAATCTCTGCCCCATACAGAGTTGCTTCCTTAAGCCAGGGTGTACAATCTTCATCAAGAGATGCTTCCCTTGAAGCCCGGAGGGTACAATCGCTACTCCATACCAAGTTGCTTCCCTTGTAGCCAGGAGTGTACAATCTTCATACTGAGTTGCTTCCCCCTTGAAGCCCGGAGTGTACAATCGCTGCTCCATACCAAGTTGCTTCCCTTGTAGCTAGGGAGGAACAATCGTTGCTCCATACCGAGTTGCTACCTTTGTAGCCAGGAGCGTACAATCGTTGCTCCATAAGCAGTTGCTTCCCCTTGTAGCCGGGAGTGTACAATCTTCATACAGAGTTGCTTCTCTTGAAGCCCGGAGGTACAATCGCTGCCCCATACAGAGCTGCTTCCTTAAGCCAGGAGTGTACAATCTTCATACAGAGTTGCTCCCTTGAAGATCTGTGTGTACAATCGCTGCTCCATACCAAGTTGCTTCCCTTGTAGCCAGGGTGTACAATCCTCATACAGAGTTGCTTCCCTTGTAGCCCGGAGTTCACAATCGCTGCTCCATACCAAGTTGCTTCCCTTTGTAGCCAGGAGTGTACAATCTTCATACAGAGTTGCTTCTTTGAAACCCGGAGTGTAAAATCGCTGCTCCATACCGAGTTGCTTCCCTTGTAGCCAGGAGTGAACAGTCGTTGCTCCATACCTCGTTGCTTCCCTTTAGCCAGGAGTGTACAATCTTCATACAGAGTTGCTTCACTTGGAGCCCGAAGTGTATTAATCGTTGCTCCACACCAAGTTGCTGTCCTTGTAACCTGGTGTGTACAATCTTCATACAGAGTTGTTTCCCCTTTGTAACCCGGAGTGTACAATCGCTGCTCCATACCGAGTTGCTTCCCTTGTAGCCCGGAGTGTACAATCGTTGCTCCATACCGATAGCGAGTTGCTTCCCTTGTAACCAGGAGTGTACAATCTCTGAGCCCATACAGAGTTCCTCTTCCTTTAGCCAGGGAGTGTACAATCTTCATACAGAGTTGCGTCCCCTGAAGCCCGGAGAGTACACCCTGCCCCATATAGAGTTGCTTCCTTTAGCCAGGAGGTACAATCTTCATACAGAGTTGCTTCCCTTGAAGCCCGGAGGGTACAATCGTTGCTCCATACCAAGTTGCTTCCCTTGTAGCCAGGAGGTACAATCTTCATACAGAGCTGCTTCCTTAAGCCAGGAGTGTACAATCTTCATACAGAGTTGCTCCCCTTGAAGCTCGGTGTGTACAATCGCTGCTCCATACCAAGTTGTTTCCCTTTGTAGCCAGGAGGTACAATCCTCCATACAGAGTTGCTTCCACTTGAAGCCCGAGGTACAATCTCTGCCCTATACAGAGTTGCTTCCCCTTGAAGCCCGGAGTGTACAATCGCTGCTCCATACCGAGTTGCTTCCCTTTGTAGCCAGGAGTGTACAATCTTCATACAGAGTTGCTTCTTTGAAACCCGGAGTGTAAAATCGCTGCTCCATACCGAGTTGCTTCCCTTGTAGCCAGGAGGACCAATCTCTACACCTATACAGAGTTGCTTCACTTGAAGCCCGGAGGTACAATCGCTGCTCCATACCAAGTTGCTTCCCTTGTAGCCAGGGGTGAACAATTGTTGCTCCATACCGAGTTGCTTCCCTTTGTAGCCCGGAGTGTACAATCTCTGCCCCATACAGAGCTGCTTCCTAAGCCAGGAGGTAATAATTTTCATCAAGAGATGCTTCCCTTGAAGCCCGGAGGGTACAATCGCTACTCCATACCAAGTTGCTTCCCTTGTAGCCAGGAGTGTACAATCTTCATACTGAGTTGCTTCCCTGAAGCCCGGAGTACAATCGCTGCTCCATACCAAGTTGCTTCCCTTGTAGCTAGGAGTGAACAATCGTTGCTCCATACCGAGTTGCTACCCTTTGTAGCCAGGAGCGTACAATCGTTGCTCCATAAGCAGTTGCTTCCCCTTGTAGCCGGAGTGTACAATCTTCATACAGAGTTGTTCCCCTTGAAGCTCTGTGTGTACAATCGCTGCTCCATACCAAGTTGTTTCCCTTGTAGCCAGGAGGTACAATAATCTCATACAGAGTTGCTTCACTTGAAGCCCGGAGTGTACAATCTCTGCCCTATACAGAGTTGCTTCACTTGAGCCCGGAGTGTACAATCAAGCACCCCATACAGAGTTGCTTCCCTTTAGCCAGGAGTGTACAATCTTCATACAGAGGTGCTTTCCCTTGAAGCCCGGAGGGTAAAATCGCTGCTCCATACCAAGCTGCTTCCCTTGTAGCCAGGAGTGTACAATCTTCATACAGAGTTGCTTCACTTGAAGCCCGGAGTGTGCCACAATCGCTGCTCCACACCAAGTTGCTTCCCTTTGTAGCCAGGAGGGAACAATCTTCATACAGAGTTGCTTCCTTGAAGCCCAGAGTGTACAATCGCTGCTCCCCATACCAGGTTGCTTCCCCTTGTAGCCCGGAGTGTACAATCTTCATACAGAGTTGCTTCCCTTTGAAGCCCGGAGTGTAAATCGCTGCTCCATACAGAGATGCTTCTCTTGTAGCCAGGAGTGTACAATGTTCATACAGAGTTGCTTCTCTTGAAGCCCGGAGTGTAATCGCTGCTCCATACAGAGTTGCTTCCTTAAGCCAGGAGTGTACAATCTTCATACAGAGTTGCTTCCCTTGAAGCCCGGGGTGTACAATCGCTGCTCCATACCAAGCTGCTTCCCTTGTAGCCAGGGGTGAACAATTGTTGCTCCATACCGAGTTGCTTCCCTTGTAGCCCGGAGTGTACAATCGCTGCCCAATACAGAGTTGCTTCCTTTAAGCCCGGAGTGTACAATCTTCATACCGAGTTGCTTCCTTTTAGGCCCGGCGTGTACAATCGCTGCTCCATACCAAGCTGCTTCCCCTTGTAGCCAAGAGTGTACAATCTTCATACAGAGTTGCTTCTCTTGAAGCCCGGTGTGTAAAATCGCTGCTCCATACAGAGTTGCTTCCCCTTGTAGCCAGGGTGAACAGTCGCTCCTCCATACCTCGTTGCTTCCCTTTAGCCAGGAGGGTACAATCGCTGCTCCATATACAGAGCCGCTTCCTTTAGCCGGGAGTGTACAATCTTCATACGGAGTTGCTTCCCTTTGAAGCCCGGAGTGTACAATCGCTGCTCCATACCAAGTTGCTTCCCTTGTCGCCAGGAGTGTACAATCTTCATATTACAGAGTTGCTTCACCTTGGAGCCCGAAGTGTACAATCGTTGCTCCACACCAAGTTGATGTCCTTGTAGCCAGGTGTGTACAATCTTCATACAGAGTTGTTTCCTGTAGCCCGGAGTGTACAATCGTTGCTCCATACCGAGTTGCTTTCCTTTGTAGCCAGGAGTGTACAATCGTTGCTCCATACCGATCGCGAGTTGCTTCCCTTGTAGCCAGGGAGTGTACAACTCTGAGCCCATACAGAGTTGCTTCCTTTAGCCAGGAGTGTACAATCTTCATACAGAGTTGCGTCCCCTGAAGCCCGGAGGGCACAATCGCTGCTCCATACCAAGTTGCTTCCCTTGTAGCCAGGGAGTGTACAATCTTCATACTGAGTTGCTTCACTTGAAGCCCGGAGGTACAACCGCTGCTCCACACCAAGTTGCTTCCCTTTGTAGCCAGGAGGGAACAATCTTCATACAGAGTTGCTTCCCTTGAAGCCCGGAGTGTACAATCGCTGCTCCATACAGAATTGCTTCCTTGTAGCCAGGGAGTGTACAATCTTCATACAGAGTTGCTTTCCCCTGAAGCCCGGAGGTACAATCTCTGCCCCATACAGAATTGCTTCCTTTAGCCAGGAGTGTACAATCTTCATACAGAGTTGCTTCCCTTGAAGCCTCGGGCTATACAATCGCTGCTCCATACCAAGTTGCTTCCCTTGTAGCCCGCTGGTGTACAATCTTCATACAGAGTTGCTTCCTTTGAAGCCCGGAGTGTACAATCGCTGCTCCATACAGAGTTGCTTCTCTTGTAGCCAGGAGGCCAATCTTCATACAGAGTTGCTTCTCTTGAAGCCCGGAGTGTACAATCGCTGCTCCATACAGAGTTGCTTCCTTAAGCCAGGAGTGTACAATCTTCATACGGAGTTGCTTCCCTTGAAGCCCGGAGGTACAATCGCTGCTCCATACCAAGTTGCTTCCCTTGTAGCCAGGGGGTGAACAATTGTTGCTCCATACCGAGTTGCTTCCTTTGTAGCCCGGAGTGTACAATCGCTGCCCAATACATAGTTGCTTCCTTAAGCCAGGAGTGTACAATCTTCATACCGAGTTGCTTCCCTTGAAGCCCGGAGTGTACAATCGCTGCTCCATACCAAGTTGCTTCCCTTGTAGCCAGGGTGTACAATCTTCATACAGAGTTGCTTTTCTTGAAGCCCGGAGTGTAAAATCGCTGCTCCATACCGAGTTGCTTCCCTTGTAGCCATGGAGTGAACAGTCGCTGCTCCATACCTCGTTGCTTCCCTTTGTAGCCAGGATTGTACAATCTTCATGCAGAGTTGTTTCCCGCTTGTAGCCCGGAGCGGCCTAACGCTGCTCCATACCGAGTTGCTTCCTTTGTAGCCAAGAGTGTACAATCGCTGCTCCATACCGATCGCGAGTTGCTTCCCTTGTAGCCAGGAGTGTACAATCTCTGAGCCCATACAGAGTTGCTTCCTTTAGCCAGGAGTGTACAATCTTCATACAGAGTTGCGTCCCTGAAGCCCGGAGAGTACAATCTCTGCCCCATACAGAGTTGCTTCCCTTTAGCCAGGAGTGTACAATCTTCATACAGAGTTGCTTCACTTGAAGCCCGGAGTGTACAATCGCTGCTCCATACCGCGTTGTTTACTTTGTAGGCAGGAGTGTACAATCTTCATACAGAGTTGCTTCTCTTGGAAGCCCGGGTGTACAATCGCTGCTCCATACCGAGTTGCTTCCCTTGTAGCCAGGAGTGTACAATCTTCATACAGAGTTGCTTCCCTTGAAGCCCGGAGTGTACAATCGCTGCTCCATACCGAGTTGCTTCCCTTGTAGCCAGGAGTGTACAATCGTTGCTCCATACCGAGTTGCTTCTCTTGTAGGCCCGGAGTGTACAATCTCTGCCCCATACCAAGTTGCTTCCTTAAGCCAGGGGTGTACAATCTTCATACAGAGTTGCTTCCCTTGAAGCCCGGGTGTACAATCGCTGCTCCATACCAAGTTGCTTCCCTTGTAGCCGGAGTGTACAATCTTCATACTGAGTTGCTTCCCTTGGAAGCCAGGATTGTACAATCGCTGCTCCATACCGAGTTGTTTCCCTGTAGCCCGGAGTGTACAATCGCTGCTCCATACCGAGTTGCTTCCTTTGTAGCCAGGAGTGTACAATCGTTGCTCCATACCGATCGCGAGTTGCTTCCCTTGTAGCCAGGAGTGTACAATCTCTGAGCCCATACAGAGTTGCTTCCTTTTAGCCAGGGAGTGTACAATCTTCATACAGAGTTGCGTCCCCTGAAGCCCGGAGAGTACAATCTCTGCCCCATACAGAGTTGCTTCCTTTAGCCAGGAGTGGCGCAATCTTCATGGCAGAGTTGCTTCCCTTTGAAGCCCGGAGCGTACAATCGCTGCTCCATATCAAGTTGCTTCCCTTGTAGCCAGGGTGTACAATCTTCATACAGAGTTTCTTCACTTGAAGCCCGGAGTGTACAATCGCTGCTCTCACACCAAGTTACTTCCCTTGTAGCCAGGAGGGTACAATCTTCATACAGAGTTTCTTCCCTTGAAGCCCGGAGTGTACAATCGCTGCTCCATACCGATTTGCTTCCCTTGTAGCCAGGAGTGTACAATCTTCATACAGAGTTGCTTCCCTTGAAGCCCGGAGTGTACAATCTCTGCCCCATACAGAGTTGCTTCCTTTAGCCAGGAGTGTACAATCTTCATACAGAGTTGCTTCCCTTGAAGCCCGGAGTGTACAATCGCTGCTCCATACCGAGTTGCTTCCCTTGTAGCCAGGAGTGTACAATCTTCATACAGAGTTGCTTCCCTTGAAGCCCGGAGTGTACAATCGCTGCTCCATACCGAGTTGCTTCCCTTGTAGCCAGGAGTGTACAATCTTCATACAGAGTTGCTTCCCTTGAAGCCCGGAGTGTACAATCGCTGCTCCATACCGAGTTGCTTCCCTTAGCCAGGGTGAACAATCGTTGCTCAATACCGAGTTGCTTCTCTTGTAGCCCGGAGTGTACAATCTCTGCCCCATACAGAGTTGCTTCCTTAAGCCAGGAGTGTACAATCTTCATACAGAGTTGCTTCCCTTGAAGCCCGGAGTGTACAATCGCTGCTCCATACCGAGTTGCTTCCCTTGTAGCCAGGAGTGTACAATCTTCATACAGAGTTGCTTCCCTTGAAGCCAGGAGTGTACAATCGCTGCTCCATACCGAGTTGCTTCCCTTGTAGCCAGGAGGAACAATCGTTGCCCCATACCGAGTTGCTACCCTTGTAGCCAGGAGTGTACAATCGTTGCTCCATACCGAGTTGCTTCCCTTGTAGCCAGGAGTGTACAATCTTCATACAGAGTTGCTTCCCTTGAAGCCAGGAGTGTACAATCTCTGCCCCATACAGAGTTGCTTCCTTTGTAGCCAGGAGTGTACAATCTTCATACAGAGTTGCTTCCCTTGAAGCCCGGAGTGTACAATCGCTGCCCCATACCGAGTTGCTTCCTTAAGCCAGGAGTGTACAATCTTCATACAGAGTTGCTTCCCTTGAAGCCAGGAGCGTACAATCGCTGCTCCATACCGAGTTGCTTCCCTTGTAGCCAGGAGTGTACAATCGTTGCTCCATACCGAGTTGCTACCCTTGTAAGCCAGGAGATGTACAATCGCTGCTCCATACCGAGTTGCTTCCCTTGTAGCCAGGAGTGTACAATCTTCATACAGAGTTGCTTCCCTTGAAGCCAGGAGTGTACAATCTCTGCCCCATACAGAGTTGCTTCCTTTGAAGCCAGGAGTGTACAATCTTCATACAGAGTTGCTTCCCTTGAAGCCAGGAGCGTACAATCGCTGCTCCATACCGAGTTGCTTCCCTTGTAGCCAGGAGTGTACAATCTTCATACAGAGTTGCTTCCCTTGTAGCCAGGAGTGAACAATCGTTGCTCCATACGCGAGTTGCTTCCCTTGTAGCCAGGAGTGTACAATCGTTGCTCCATACCGATCGCGAGTTGCTTCCCTTGTAGCCAGGAGTGAACAATCGTTGCTCCATACGCGAGTTGCTTCCCTTGTAGCCAGGAGTGTACAATCGTTGCTCCATACCGAGTTGCTTCCCTTGTAGCCAGGAGTGAACAATTGCTGCTCAATCCAGAGTTGCTTCCCTTGTAGCCAGTATAGTGAACAATCGTTGCTCCATACCGAGTTGCTTCTCTTGTGGCCAGGAGCTTACAATGGCTACTCCACACAGAGTTGCTTCCCTTATATCCCGGACTCTACATTCGCTGCCCAGTACAGAGCTGATTCATTTGAATCTCGGAGTGCATTATCGCTGCCCTGTACCGAGTTATGTCCCTTGGATCGGGTCCATACTCATCATGTTCACTAGTCTAGACGAATTATTTTCCGTATTTTTCGTCGTCGACGTAGTCGTTATCATAATGTCGTCGTGGTCGTCATCGACATCATCACTGTTATCATTACAGCCAATATTGATGCTATTTTATCATTTAAAGCAACTTCATTATAATTATTGGGCGATGGAGTAGCCTAGTGGTTAAAGCGTTCCCTCGTCACGCTGAGGACCCGCGTTCGATTCCCAACGTGCGTACAATGTGTGAAGCCCATTTCTGATGTCCCCCAGCCTTGATTTTGCTGGAATATTGCTAAAAGCGGCGTTAAATTAAACTCACTCACTCATTATCATTATTCTCTTTATATTTTTACAGGCAGTTGTAAAGTGTCAAACCTGTCCACATCTGGCCAGCGTTTCCTCTTCGGGTACAAACGGGTAAATGGGCAGGGTCGCATCTTCTCTGCTTCTGGAGCGATGCACTTCGGGGCCAACGTGACGGAGAAGTACTTGGGTCAGAGTCAGGTGCGCGGGATCTGGGTGCAGGGATGGCAGTCGTGTCAGTACTGGGATGAGATGAAAGCATCAATGAATGTCACGTGGTTTTTCTCAGGTGAGTGTGTGATCTAGTCAGTACCATAGGCCGTGCACCGCAGTATTTTCCCGACGGAGCGATTGGTTGGTTGGTCGGTTTGTTGTTAAACGCCGCACTCAGCAATATCCCAGCTATATGGGGGCGGTGTGTAAATAATCGAGTCTGGACTAGACAATCGAGTGATCAACAGCACGAGCATCGATCTACGTAACTGGGATACGATGACATGTGTCAGTTAGCCTGACCACCCGATCCCGTTAGTCGCCCCTTAAGCCAAGAATGTTAGTTAGTTGCCTTTTAACTTCGCACTCAACAATATTCCAGCTATATGTCGGTGGTCTGTAAATAACCGAGTCTGGATCAGACAATCCAGTGATCAAGAGCATGAGCATTGATCTACGTAATTGGGATCAGATGGCATGTGTCAACCAAGTCAGCGAGTCTGACCACCGGAACCCGTTAGTCGCCTCTAACAAAACAGTTGTGCTTCGTCGTAAGTAGAATATTGCAAGAGATGGGTTGTATGCATGATAACAGGATCGAGATGACGTTACAATGACGTAGTTGTGACGTCACAAAATTTTCACTACACCTATATTCGTTATTGTAACTATGTTTATGTATTTGTATTATATCGACTATTTCAAGATAAAACATGTTTGGAAAAAAAATGTCATTTTGCTGTCACAGATGATTCATGTATTTTCAGACCCGGATATGTGGGACACTTCTCTTGGAGTGCCCCAAGTGCCTGTTCGATGTCACGTGATAGGCAAGGTCCAAGACACGTTCACCAAATCCCATAACTTTGAACACTTCTACGAGTTTGTGCATTTCAGGGACCACATTAAGGACCCAAGAGTTTTCGAGGTAGAAACAACTGATTTTTCTTGCCACATAGCAATATAGTTCATACTTATCCAATACCTGATAAGTTCCTCGTATTCCACAGGAGTTAGTGAGTAGGGGTTTACGCCGCTTTTAGCAACATTCCAGCAATATCCCAGCAATATCACGGCAGTCAGTCATTAGCAACCTCTTCATCGTAAGACGAGGGCGGTGGGACAGCCTAGTGGTTAAAGCGTTCGCTCATCAAACCGAAGACCCGGGTTCGATACCCCACATGGGTACAATGTGTGAAGCACATTCCTGGTGTCCCCTACCGTTATATTGGTAGAATATTGCTAAAGGCGGCGTAAAACTAAGCTGCCCCGCTCGTGACTTGAAGTACACTTGTCTGGGTGTATTGTGCGAGAGGCTGAGTAGGGTTTAAGGTACAAAACAGGGTTTGTGACAGAAATGTGACACAGTATATGTAGAAAATATGAAGATCAGGGGAAAACAAATTCCAGTTATCTGCCAAAATAAATTCCATTCGGGGTAAGAGGCAAAGTGGCAATGAAACGTATATAACCGTATTACTACAATTGTTCGCAAGAGGGTGAGCATGTAAAAATCGAGTAGGCATATGCCACAAGTAGCCAGGGATTATAATAGGGATGAATCAGAGTTCGAATCCATGATCATCGGATCCGGGCGTGGCAAAGGGAGGAACCCTACACATCCACTAATTTTTCTACAGAATGAAAAAGAATGTTACGAGTCGAGTCTGGATCCGTATGAATGAAAAGAACCGTATTTTCGTAATTATTATTATGTTTTACAGATTAAGATGAAAAAATGCAGTTCGGGTGATCCTGGCACAGCCAGGCTGGTAAGGCTCATTGTCAGGAATGGTAAGGCTCATTGCCCCAGGAAACGCTGCCTAGTCGAACCCACCAAGAACTTTACGGAGAATATGTAGGCTCCCCAACACTGCAGCCTTCTGCATTACCAGGAGTGTCAGAAGAGCTGTATGATCAGGAGAGTGCCCGAGTGCCCGAGTGCCCGGGCACTCTCCTGATCATATTTTATTTTTTTATTTTCATTTTGTGGTTTTAGATGGACGCGAGTGTCGTGTGCCCAGGACGAATCAACACAAAGCCTTTACCTAATGTCCCGGATGTCCTGTCAATGGCCGTGGAGCAGGTGGATGAAGTGGAGAAGATGGCAACATTTACCTCGGTAATAACATGTTATGTTCACTGACACCCAGAGATCTAAAGAGATCTGGTGGTCAGTCTTGCTGACTATTTTTTCACATATCACTTGGTTGACTACATGTCATCGTATCCAAATTGCGTAGTTCCATGCTCATTATGTCAACCACTGAATTGTCGGGTCCAGACTCGATTGTTTACAGACCACCGCCATATAGCTGGAATATTGCTCATTGAGGCGTTGAATAACAGACAAAAAGTATGTTCATTGTCGCCCAGTACGCTCTACAATCAACAGCAGTGAACTTGTATATACATAGCGTCATTATTGCCTGAGCATGGACAAAAAGTGTTCAGATGCAACTTCAATGAAAACCTCCATGCCCGTAGACAGTTCCTCGTCATGTTCTGCACGTGCGTGGGCTAAACAACTGGTTGGCTTCAGCCTTTGCCTGTCATATTCAACTTTGCCCTTGTTTGTAAAGGTCGTGGTCTATTTTTTGTTGTTGAATACACATTGTCACATTGTCCATACGCTCAGACCCATCAGAAAATGTTCATGTTTGACACCCTGTACACCTCTATGTCCCGTCAATAATGACGCTGAGTATATATTGAACTAACAGCCATTATCTTACCCGACATAGAAATGTCGTTTTCAGATGAGAAGGTCTTCTATTATTTTCAACGTACCCCGCTTACAAGCGAGTAACATTTTCTAAGTTATCCGCTGGGAATGCCGAACTGTGGGAATTCATTTGGTACTTGGTGCTAGTAATTTGTTATCTCGAATAATTAAGTCACGTATGATGTACGTAAATTACCGATGTTTGTCGAATGCAAATCGATGGAAGGGAGACAACTCTAAATTTGTTTTTCTTGTCGTCTGCTAGATTCTATGTCATCTGAAGATTTATTTCTGGCTAACTGCCTAGCTCTGGTACTCCTTATTATGATCCGATACCCCTGCCTCAACCAAATCAAAATTAACATTGAGGTGTTAAGTAAGATCAATTATTTATACGTTGTTCGGGCGAGGGGAACATAAGCAAACATCGAGGGTACATCAACCCATGGGCCCAGAGGGACCAGTGAACAGCTTAAAATACAAATCGTCATCTTATCAATACACACTATGTGTTTACGAAAAAACGTAGCACAGCTGTAATACTGCTGAAACATATGTAATATACTCATGATGTAGTCACAACTGTACCATAAACTCGGCTTTGAGCAGATATTTCTTATGGATGTGGAAAGGGTTTTGTGGCTTCATTTCTAATTATCTCCTCAGAAGACTATAAAAAGTCTCCTCAGGACAAAAAGCCTCCTCGCGATAAACGAAAACGTCTCCTCTGAATAAAAAGGTCGCAGTGTGTCATAAGAAAACCCTAAGGTCCGCTCATGAAATTATTTTGATGTCTAGGAATGGTTTGACTCCAGAATGAAACTGACAAAGACCGACATATCGCTCATCCTAATGTTTATCTCCTTACACGAAAAAAGTCTCCTCGATACAATAAAGTCTCCTCATGGTAAAAACGTCTTCTCAGAATAAATGGTCGTTTTGTGTCCTAAGAAGACACTAAGGGCCTCTCATGACATTCTTTTCATGTCCAGGAATGGTTTGACTCCAGAATGAAACTGACAAAGTTCGACATGGTTCCAAGCTTTGGCTCTGCCTCCCAGTATGGAACAAACCTGCTCAGCATTGTCAGAGACTTTAGAACAGGTGGGTGGAGGAAAACGTAGTTAGGTGCGTTGGTAAGTATAGAATTAGTATTTAATAATATGTAATTTATACAGTTAAACGCTGTTCATCCTGTATGATTCAAATGACGCCTAATGAAGAAATCGTAGTTTCCGGGTCATGACACTTTGTGTAAGTGGAGGTCTCTATAACGGTAAGATCGTCAGAATCTGCTGTTTGCGGAACTCAGAACCGTTCGATTGATGGATGCTTTATAAAAAATTTGCGTTATGATGCTCTGTCCTTGAAACATTCTTCTGTAACTCCTGTCTGTGTAGATATACAGTATATATAGTATGACCAGAAATTATTGAGAATTTTAGGAATATGTTTAATTGGATTTCTAGTATAAACAACCTTGACCAGCTATCAAGTGCCTGGTTTCATTCATGAGAGAATCCGTTAATCCTTTTTCATTATTTTGTGAAGAGTTATCCCCTTTGTTTACTTGCTAGCAGACGACACTTTCAGTGATCCTCAGTATGGACGATTTAGACAAAAAGAGGAAGTTGATTTTAGAGTATTATAACAAGGACATCAGATCAGCTAAAGTGATTTCAATTAGAACAGGCATCCCTTTGTCCACTGTTTATCGTGTTTTCAAAAATATTGCAAATGGATATGGCACTGAGCAACAGGGAGGCGCAGGTAGGCCCATAAAATTGACTGTCGGTGACAGGAGGCGGCTTGGTATTCTTGTTTCTAAAAACAAACGAAGGAGTTTAGAAAACTTAAAGCTGGATATGATTGATAGAGGAACTGTGGCTGTCTATAAGGAGACAATTAGAACTGAGCTGCATGCAATGGGTTGGCAGAAAAATCGAGGAATTCCATCACCGATCATGAAACCTGAACAAAAGGAGGAAGGTTGAACTGGTGCTTACAGCATAGAAATTTTAACTGGGACAATGTGATTTTCTCAGATGAAAGTTCTGTGTGACTTTTTCCTAATACACTAAAATTCTGGACCCAAGAAACTAAAAACCTTTGTATCAGCGCCCAAAGTACAGTCCGAAATTTAACGCGTGGGGTAGCATATCTGTGTTAGGGGCAACGCACCTTTGTGTATTTGAAGGGAATATGAACAGTGAGCGGTACACAGATATTCTCGAGGGACATTTACTTCCATCTGCTCACGTGTTCTATGGAAATGTTTGGATTTTCCAGCAGGACAACGACCCAAAACATCGTTCAAAGCATTCACCGGCCTGCTTTCGGACCCAAAATATGACATTATTAGATTGGCCAAGCTATAGCCCTGACCTAAATCCAATAGAAAATGTTTGGGGACTTATGAAGGAAAGAGTCAATAAGAAAAATCTGACAAATATTTCTGAAATGAAAGAAGAGGTGGTCCGATATTGGGACAGCATGGACCACGACTTTCTAACTCCTTTGATCAGTAGTATGCCGCGCCGCATTGAAGCCTGCATTGCTGCCCATATTGACTTGACAAAATACTAACTGTTCACCTGTCTTTGAATCTGGAGTTATGTTCTGCTAATATTCACATTTAATACGTGAGTAATGAGTGAAAAAAATAAAAAGATTACAATCTTTAAATTCTCAATAACTTCTGGTTGTGCTGTAGAATACTGGGTCCTTGCACACTCTTTCCCAACTCTCGTCTGTGTAGATATGCAATCTGTAAAAACACTAAATCTTCGAACACTCTTCTGTAACTCTTTTCTGTGTAGTTATACATTATATGAAATACTAGTTCCTTGAGCACTCTTCTGTATCACTTTTTCTGTGTAGATATACAGTATATAAATACATGTACCTCGATTCTTGGACACCCTTCTGTACCTCTTTTCTGCGTAGTGTAAATATACAGTATATAAAATAAACTCGATCCTTGAACACTCTTCTTTAACTCCTGTCTGTGCAGATATACAGTATATAAAAAACTCGATCCTTGAACACTCTTCTGTAACTCCTGTCTGTGCAGATATACAGTAAATAGAAAACTCGATCCTTGGACACTCTTCTGTAACTCCTGTCTGTGCAGATATACAGTAAATAAAAAACTCGATCCTTGGACACTCTTCTGTAACTCCTGTCTGTGCAGATATACAGTAAATAAAAACTCGATCCTTGGACACTCTTCTGTAACTCCTGTCTGTGCAGATATACAGTAAATAGAAAACTCGATCCTTGGACACTCTTCTGTAACTCCTGTCTGTGCAGATATACAGTAAATAGAAAACTCGATCCTTGGACACTCTTCTGTAACTCCTGTCTGTGTGCAGATATACAGTAAATAGAAAACTCGATCCTTGGACACTCTTCTGTAACTCCTGTCTGTGCAGATATACAGTAAATAAAAAACTCGATCCTTGGACACTCTTCTGTAACTCCTGTCTGTGCAGATATACAGTAAATAAAAAACTCGATCCTTGAACACTCTTCTGTAACTCCTGTCTGTGCAGATATACAGTATATTAAAAAAACCTCGATCTTTGGACACTCTTCTGTAACTCCTGTCTGTGCAGATACAGTAAATAAAAAACTCGATCCTTGGACACTCTTCTGTAACTCCTGTCTGTGCAGATATACAGTAAATAAAAAACTCGATCCTTGGACACTCTTCTGTAACTCATGTCTGTGCAGATATACAGTAAATAAAAAAAACTCGATCCTTGGACACTCTTCTGTAACTCCTGTCTGTGCAGATATACAGTAAATAAAAAACTCGATCCTTGGACACTCTTCTGTAACTCCTGTCTGTGCAGATATACATTAAATAAAAAACTCGATCCTTGGACACTCTTCTGTACCTCCTGTCTGTGCAGATATACAGTAAATAAAAAACTCGATCCTTGGACACTCTTCTGTAACTCCTGTCTGTGCAGATATACAGTAAATAAAAACTCGATCCTTGGACACTCTTCTGTAACTCCTGTCTGTGCAGATATACAGTAAATAAAAAACTCGATCCTTGGACACTCTTCTGTAACTCCTGTCTGTGCAGATATACAGTAAATAAAAAACTCGATCCTTGGACACTCTTCTGTAACTCCTGTCTGTGCAGATATACAGTAAATAAAAACTCGATCCTTGGACACTCTTCTGTAACTCCTGTCTGTGCAGATATACAGTAAATAAAAACTCGATCCTTGACACTCTTCTGTAACTCATGTCTGTGCAGATATACAGTATATTAAAAACCTCGATCTTTGGACACTCTTTTCTGTAACTCCTGTCTGTGCAGATATACAGTAAATAAAAACTCGATCCTGGACACTCTTCTGTAACTCCTGTCTGTGCAGATATACAGTAAATAAAAACTCGATCCTTGGACACTCTTCTGTAACTCATGTCTGTGCAGATATACAGTAAATAAAAACTCGATCCTTGGACACTCTTCTGTAACTCCTGTCTGTGCAGATATACAGTAAATAAAAAACTCGATCCTTGGACACTCTTCTGTAACTCCTGTCTGTGCAGATATACAATAAATAAAAACTCGATCCTTGGACACTCTTCTGTAACTCCTGTCTGTGCAGATATACAGTAAATAAAAAACTCGATCCTTGAACACTCTTCTGTAACTCCTGTCTGTGCAGATATACAGTAAATAAAAAACTCGATCCTTGGACACTCTTCTGTAACTCCTGTCTGTGCAGATATACAGCATATAATAGAACACCCTCGATCCTTGGACACTCTTCTGTAACTCCTGTCTGTGTAGATTTACATAATCTAAAATATTTGGTTCTCAAAGAGTCTGCTCCAACTCCTGTTTATGTAGATATATACTATCCAAAAAAGAAACGCATAGTCGTTTTATTTTTTTTTCAAAACAATCGTCAAAATATGTAACAAAAGTGTTGATAACATGATTTTACACTATTGCATAAACGAAAAATCGACTTTACCTGAAATGTTGAGTTTGATGAGATTTCTTACAAGAATTAAAACGGCATCGCCACAACGCAACAGAAATCACCTTCCAGTTGAAATTGTGCAGCAAAGAGCATGCACTCTCTGGCTATAAAAAGTCGGACTACTTTCGGAAATCGGCATTCGTTTTGAAGGAGTTTCAAGGTCAAATCACTACGCCACGTCTTGACGCTGCGACACTCAACATCGCCATTGAAAGAATGCACGCTGGAGATTACCAATTTTCTGTTGCCAGGCGTCTGAATGTTAGTCTGAGCACGATATCACTGCTTGCAGCTCGTTACAACCAAACAGGTATAACAAATGACCGTCCCCGTACAGGCAGACCTCGAGTCACCACTGCAGCCCAAGATCGGTACATCCGGGTACTTCATTTGCGTGACCGTACTGCCACGGGTGAGAGCACATCAGCCAGGGTGCAAGGACTTCGGAGGATATCCGATCAAACTGTACGGAACCGGTTGAAAGAGGTTGTTCTTAGAGCCAGGAGACCCGACGTCGGGACCGTGCTACGTGGTCACCATCGCGCTCAGCGTCTCCTTTATCTAAAATTATCCACTTGGTTATATAGACATTACCTTCTAAACTGATGCAAAAATTCATGTATTAAAGTGTATTTGTGGACGAGTTATACAGATTCCTGGGTTATACGTTTCTTTTTTGGAAAAGTATATATTATATAACATTTTCTTATATAAAACCCTTCTGAATGTATCTAGATATACAGTACGTGAAGGACACGGTCCTCGAACATTCTTCTTTAACCCCTGTCCGCGTAGATATACATTATATACAATACTATATCCTCGAATATTTCCTCTGTATGTTCGCTCTGTACCTAGGTATCCAAAACGTGAAGGACACGGTCCTCGAACATTCTTCTTTAACCCATGTGTAGATTTCTATATTATATGAAACACTAAGTCCTTGTACATTCTTCTGTATGTTCTGTATGCATCTAGGTATACAATACGTGAAGGACACGGTCCGCGGAAACTGTTCTGTGACTGCTCTGTCGCAGGACAACTGGGATGACCGCATGCAAGACCCCCAACATGTGCGCATAGCTACTGCGCAAGAGTTCTTCCATTTCGACAACACCTACAGTTACACTGGCTTGGTAAACACTACTCGTCTTATTTTACTGAACGACTTAAGGCCACGATTTATCATTTTTGATTTAGCTTGTCTCTTCTTTTGGCTTTTGAAACATAAACCAAATGTTGCATGCATTGAATGGAAACATTCTGCTGCCTCTCTTGTTAGTGGCGACTAACGGGATCGGGTGCTCAGACTCGCTGACTTGGTTGACAGAAGCCATCGTATCCTAATTGTGTAGATCGATGCTCATTGTGTTGATCACTGGATTGTCTGGTCCAGATCTCGATTACGTGCAGACCACCGCCATATAGCGGCGTACGGCGTTAAATAACAAACCAACCAAGCGACCGATCCTTATTACAAGATGCTCCTGTAAATATAAGGCTTGCCAACAAGGTCAAGGTGTTCAAGAAATTGTGTGCTGGAATGTCTGAAACAGTTTCAATCTATGAGATATCAACAATTACCACGGGAAATGTCACAACTAAAATAGAATTGGTACTTTTTGAAAAATTAAGTTTATATATTTGTATCTTCAGGAAGAACTCCATTCGATCTTTTTTGCAAAGTTGTTTACACTCTTTTGATTTCGTATTGACCCGTGAAGATCTGGATTAGAATGTCATACTTGGCGTTGGGGGCGACTAACGGATCGGGTGCTCAGGCTCCCTGACTTGGTTGGCACACGTCATCGTAACCCAATTTCATAGATCGATGCTTATGGTGTCAATCATTGGTTTGTCTGGCCGATAGAACTTGTCCATTTACAGACTGTCTTAATAAAGCCGCATTAATGCTCGGTGTGGCGTTACAAGTAATATCGTATTCTGATATTACTGTAGCATATTCTCATTACTTAATGTCAATTTGACGAACTGAGTTTTAACGGCGATATGGCGTTTGGTAAAATCAACCGGAGACATGTTGATCTATTTGTCCACTTCCTCAGAAATCAATCCGAGGTGTTGACTGTGACACATGGGTGTCTCTGCGAACTGACTTCCCCCCGAGTCTACCTACCAACTCTACCTGGGAGTGGGCGTTTGTCTCGGTAGGTTTCAATTCTTAATTTTGGTGTAATGGCATAGATACTTGCTGGAACAGAACATGCGAGATTATTTAAGACACATTGGCGCGGCGTAAAATAACATTCGGTCAGTTCAAACACTGTGACTCTCTCAAATATTCCCTGTCTTCTACTGGGGTGGTGGGGTAGCCTAATGGTTTAAGCGTTCGTTCGTAACGCCGGAGACCTGAGTTCGAGTACCCAAAAGGGTACAGTGTGTGAAGCCCATTTCTGGTGTCCCCGCCGTGATAGTGCTGGAATATTGCGAAAACATAAATCATAAATTAAACTCACTCACTCACTGAAAACTGAGCCCGAATAGATCTGTTCCACAACAACATGTGCTGGTACAGAGGTGACGTAATAGGTTGGGTGAATCGGGTGTCAAACTCGTAGCTCACAATATCAACCACTGGTTTCCCTGTTCCAGACATTGACGTCTCTGTCTACCTGCAATATAGTTCCCTGTCTGTCTGTGTCTGTCTATCTCTTCAACTCACTTATTTCTGGTGTTGCCTGTCGTGATATTGCTGGAATATTGCAAAAGACGGCGTAAAATTGACCTCACTCACTCACTCACTTTACCTCATCAACTCACTCATTCACTTTCTACAGGCAAACTGGACCTCTGGGTACGATCCAATTCAATACGCCCAGAGTGCCATACCGTTTCAGCTCAGGATCACCGTAAAAGACGTGAGTACAGCATAGTTTCCCGGTGTCTAATGTCAAGGGACAGAATAGTTTGTCAGTAGTTTAATCATCGGGAAGAATAGTTTCCAGGTGTCTAATGTCAGTTGAAAGAATGGGCTTTTGTAGTGTCTAATATCAGAGCGTAACATAACTTACAAGTGCCTAACGTCAGAGGACACAATAGTTTCCCAGTGTCTAACGTCAGAGGACACAATAGTTTCTCAGTGTCTAACGTCAGAGGACACAATAGCTTCTCAGTGTCTAACGTCAGAGGACACAATAGTTTCCCAGTGTCTAACGTCAGAGGACACAATAGTTTCCCAGTGTCTAACGTCAGAGGACACAATAGCTTCCCAGTGTCTAACGTCAGAGGACACAATAGCTTCCCAGTGTCTAACGTCAGAGGACACAATAGCTTCCCAGTGTCTAACGTCAGAGGACACAATAGTTTCTAGGTTCTAACGTCAGAGGACACAATAGTTTCCCAGTGTCTAACGTCAGAGGACACAATAGTTTCCCAGTGTCTAACGTCAGAGGACACAATAGTTTCCCAGTGTCTAACGTCAGAGGACACAATAGTTTCCCAGTGTCTAACGTCAGAGGACACAATAGTAGTTTCCCAGTGTCTAACGTCCCAGAGGACACAATAGTTTCCCAGTGTCTAACGTCAGAGGACACAATAGCTTCCCAGTGTCTAACGTCAGAGGACACAATAGCTTCCCAGTGTCTAACGTCAGAGGACACAATAGCTTCCCAGTGTCTAACGTCAGAGGACACAATAGTTTCCCAGTGTCTAACGTCAGAGGACACAATAGTTTCCCAGTGTCTAACGTCAGAGGACACAATAGTTTCCCAGTGTCTAACGTCAGAGGACACAATAGTTTCCCAGTGTCTAACGTCAGAGGACACAATAGCTTCCCAGTGTCTAACGTCAGAGGACACAATAGCTTCCCAGTGTCTAAACGTCAGAGGACACAATAGTTTCTCAGTGTCTAACGTCAGAGGACACAATAGTTTCCCAGTGTCTAACGTCAGAGGACACAATAGTTTCCCAGTGTCTAACGTCAGAGGACACAATAGTTTCCCAGTGTCTAACGTCAGAGGGACACAATAGTTTCCGTCAGTGTCTAACGTCAGAGGACACAATAGTTTCCCAGTGTCTAACGTCAGAGGACACAATAGTCAGTCTAACGTCAGAGGACACAATAGCTTCCCAGTGTCTAACGTCAGAGGACACAATAGTTTCCCAGTGTCTAACGTCAGAGGACACAATAGTTTCCCAGTGTCTAACGTCAGAGGACACAATAGTTTCCCAGTGTCTAACGTCAGAGGACACAATAGCTTCCCAGTGTCTAACGTCAGAGGACACAATAGTTTCCCAGTGTCTAACGTCAGAGGACACAATAGTCAGAGGACACAATAGCTTCCCAGTGTCTAACGTCAGAGGACACAATAGCTTCCAGTTTCCCAGTGTCTAACGTCAGAGGACACAATAGTTTCCCAGTGTCTAACGTCAGAGGACACAATAGTTTCCCAGTGTCTAACGTCAGAGGACACAATAGCTTCCCAGTGTCTAACGTCAGAGGACACAATAGTTTCCCAGTGTCTAACGTCAGAGGACACAATAGTTTCCCAGTGTCTAACGTGTCTAGTGTCTACGTCAGAGGACACAATAGCTTCCCAGTGTCTAACGTCAGAGGGACACAATAGCTTCCCAGTGTCTAACGTCAGAGGACACAATAGCTTCCCAGTGTCTTACGTCAGAGGACACAATAGCTTCCCAGTGTCTAACGTCAGAGGACACAATAGCTTCCCAATGTCTAACGTCAGAGGACACAATAGCTTCCCAGTGTCTAACGTCAGAGGACACAATAGTTTCCCAGTGTCTAACGTCAGAGGACACAATAGTTTCCCAGTGTCTAACGTCAGAGGACACAATAGCTCCCCAGTGTCTAACGTCTGTGGGCAGAATACTTTCTCAGTTATGTCAGCGAACAGAATAATTTCCCAGTGTCTAACGTCAGAGGACACAATAGTTTCCCAGTGTCTAACGTCAGAGGACACAATAGTTTCCCAGTGTCTAACGTCAGAGGACACAATAGCTTCCCAGTGTCTAACGTCAGAGGACACAATAGTTTCCCAGAGTCTAATGTCAGGGGACAGAACAGTTTCCCAGAGTCTAATGTCAGGGGACAGAACAGTTTCACAGAGTCTAATGTCAGGGACAGAACAGTTTCACAGAGTCTAATGTCAGGGGACAGAACAGTTTCCCAGTGTCTAATGTCAGAGGGACACAATAGCTTCCCAGTGTCTAATGTCAGGGGACAGAATAGTTTCACAGTGTCTAATGTCAGGGGACAGAACTGTTTCACAGAGTCTAATGTCAGGGGACAGAACTGTTTCCCAGAGTCTAATGTCAGGGGACAGAACCCAATGTCTAAGTTTCCCAGAGTCTAATGTCAGGGGACAGAACAGTTTCACAGAGTCTAATGTCAGGGGACAGAACAGTTTCACAGAGTCTAATGTCAGGGGACAGAACAGTTTCACAGAGTCTAATGTCAGGGGACAGAACTGTTTCACAGAGTCTAATGTCAGGGGACAGAACTGTTTCACAGAGTCTAATGTCAGGGGACAGAACTGTTTCCCGTGTCTAATGTCAGAGTCTGTTTCCCAGAGTCTAATGTCAGGGGACAGAACTGTTTCACAGAGTCTAATGTCAGGGGACAGAACTGTTTCACAGAGTCTAATGTCAGGGGACAGAACTGTTTCCCAGAGTATAATGTCAGGGGACAGAACTGTTTCACAGAGTCTAATGTCAGGGGACAGAACTGTTTCACAGAGTCTAATGTTAGGGGACAGAATTGTGTCACACAGTCTAATCTTAGGGGGCAGATTAGTTTCCCATCGCTAATGTCAATGAATAGAATACTTTCCCAGTTGGTTATGTCAGGAGACAGAATAGTTTCCCAATGTCTAATGTCAGGGCGTGCAGAATAGTTTGTCAGTATCTAATTATCAGGAAACAGAACAATTTCCCTGGATGAAATGCGACAGATTAGTTTCCCCTGAGTCTAATGCCGACAGCATAAAATAGAAGCAAAGAAGTTTCGGGATTGGCAGTATTTCAGATATTTGAGCTCCGCACTTCAGCATCTAAGATACAAAACCGTCATTTATTTCTCGCAGTTTGGCATGCAGTACACCAGTAACATATTCCAGTATGATGCTCAGGAACCCAGCGTCATGAACTTTGACGTCACCAACTGCATGACCACAGAACGACGGCGAAGCTTCAGGATCGCTTTTCCACGTATGTATCGTCTTGTTGTAACTGGACAACACTGGTGGTTCCAGAGAAACTGGACGTCGTCAAGCAATTAAATATGTTGGCCATTGCATGGCATCAAGCCATAAATATGTTGACCATTGCCAGTCATCAAGCCATAAATATGTTGGTCATTCTATGTCGTCAAGCCATAAACATGTTGGCCATTGCATATCATCAAGCCATAAAATATGTTGGCCATTGCATAAAAAATATATTTTTCCATTTGTCAATTCATGTGGATGGACAACAATACATCATCTGCACTAAAACCGTGAGAAACGTTTAGTATCAAGGAGACCTTGGGTAATCGAAAACCCAAATTAATGTACCACAAGATTTTACACATATCCTAGTAAACTGTATAGTCAACACTATACATATTTCAGACATTTCATAATATAAGAAAATAACCAACTAAACGAAACATCAATTGTAAAATTTATTCAATTTGGGACGCATATTTTGCATCCTCAGTATTTGCTCAGTGCGCCACACAGTACTACTTAACACCGGGATAAAAAACACAAATGGAAAATTAAAGTCTCTTCGAAATATGTTCAAATCCAACATGGTGTTCTCAACTGAATGAACAGTGTCACCAAAGCATGTTCTGAAAATATTTCAAGTGGGGTCAAACCGACACATTTCAATGGCAGTAAGCTTTATTTCGACGGACTCAATGCTAAGGGGATGGGGTTGAGTGAGTGAGTATGGTTATGCGCGGGATTTAGCAATATTCCAGCAACATGACGGTGGGAAACCCGAAATCGGCTGTGAACGAACTCGGACCTGTGATTTAACCACAAGTCTACCATACTGTCCAGATAATAGTATGGACTGAAAACGAAAAGTTAATGTTAAGACGACTCAGAAAATTGCAAAAAAAATGATTAGCGACCTGTGTCATCTTAGATGAGACTTTGGACTACACGCCGTCGTTTGTGTTTCAGAGAAATATACACAGTTGATCGGTCACAATCGGAAACAGTTCAAGTACGCTGCTCTCATAGGCATTATCTCCGCCGCATCAATCGAGCCGATAAGAGTCACAAATATGATGGTAAGTATGGACACGGGCATGGTTAAACCTCCGTTGCCCTATCTAATCCTGTATATCATACTTTCTCCAACTCCGTTACTTTATCTGACCCTGCAGGCCACCCTCTCTACATCACCGTTACCGTATCTGACCCTGCAGGCCATATTTTCTCCACCACCGTTACCGTATCTGACCCTGCGAGTCACACTTTCTCCATCACCGTTACCGTATCTGACCCTGCAGGCCATACTTTCTCCATCACCGTTACCGTATCTGACCCTGCAGGCCATACTTTCTCCATCACCGTTAACGCATATGACCATACAGGCCATATTTTCTCCATCACCGTTACCGTATCTGACCCTGCAGGCCATACTTTCTCCATCACCGTTACCGTATCTGACCCTGCAGGCCATACTTTCTCCATCACCGTTACCGTATCTGACCCTGCAGGCCATACTTTCTCCATCACCGTTACCGTATCTGACCCTGCAAGCCACACTTTCTCCATCACCGTTACCGTATCTGACCCTGCAGGCCACACTTTCTCCATCACCGTTACCGTATCTGACCCTGCAGGCCATACTTTCTCCATCACCGTTACCGTATCTGACCCTGCAGGCCACACTTTCTCCATCACCGTTACCGTATCTGACCCTGCAGGCCACACTTTCTCCATCACCGTTACCGTTATCGGATCTGACCGTGCAGGCCATACTTTCTCCATCACCGTTACCGTATCTGACCCTGCAGGCCATACTTTCTCCATCACCGTTACCGTATCTGACCCTGCAGGCCACACTTTCTCCAACTGTTACCTTATCTGACACTGCAGACCACACTTTCTCCATCACCGTTACCGTATCTCACCCTGCATGGCATACTTTCTGCATCACTGTTACCTTATCTGACTCTGCATGCCACACTTTCTCCATCACCGTTACCGTATCTGACCGTGCAGGCCATACTTTCTGCATCACCGTTACCGTATCTGACCCTGCAGGCCATACTTTCTCCATCACCGTTACCGTATCTGACCCTGCAGGCCACACTTTCTCCAACTGTTACCTTATCTGACACTGCAGACCACACTTTCTCCATCACCGTTACCGTATCTCACCCTGCATGGCATACTTTCTGCATCACTGTTACCTTATCTGACTCTGCAGGGCATATTTTCTCCATCACCGTTGCCGTATCTGACCCTGCAGGCCACACTTTCTCCAACTGTTACCTTATCTGACACTGCAGACCACACTTTCTCCATCAATGTTACCGTATCCCTCCCTGCATGGCATACTTTCTGCATCACTGTTACCTTATCTGACCCTGCATGCCATACTTTCTCCATCACCGTTACCGTATTTGACCCTGCAGGCCATACTTTCACCATCACCGTTACCGTATCTGACCCTGCAGGCCATACTTTCCCCATTACCGTTACAGTATCTGACCCCGCAGGCCACACTTTCCCCATTACCGTTACAGTATCTGACCCCGCAGGCCACACTTTCTCAATCACCGTTACCGTATCTCACCCTGCATGGCATACTTTCTCCATCACCGTTACCATATTTGACCCTGCAGGGCATAATTTCCCTATCATCTCTACCGTATCTGACCCCGCAGGCCATACTTTGACCGACACTGTTACCTTATCTGACCCTGCGGGCTTTTTTCCCCCATCACCGTTACCTTATCTAATACTGCAGGCTATACTTTCCTCACCACCGTTACCTTATTTGACACTGCAGGCCACACTTTCTCCATCACCGTTACCGTATTTGACCCTGCAGGCCATACTTTCACCATCACCGTTACCGTATCTGACCCCGCAGGCCATACTTTCCCCATTACCGTTACAGTATCTGACCCCGCAGGCCACACTTTCCCCATTACCGTTACAGTATCTGACCCTGCAGGCCACACTTTCTCAATCACCGTTACCGTATCTCACCCTGCATGGCATACTTTCTCCATCACCGTTACCATATTTGACCCTGCAGGGCATAATTTCCCTATCATCTCTACCGTATCTGACCCCGCAGGCCATACTTTGACCGACACTGTTACCTTATCTGACCCTGCGGGTTTTTTTCCCCCATCACCGTTACCTTATCTAATACTGCAGGCTATACTTTCCTCACCACCGTTACCTTATTTGACACTGCAGGCCACACTTTCTCCATCACCGTTACCGTATCTGACCCTGCAGTTCATACTTTCTCCATCACCGTTACCGTATCTGACCCCGCAAGCCATACTTTCACCATTACCGTTACCGTATCTGACCCTACAGCCCAAATTTTCTCCATCACCGTTACCGTATCTGACCCTGCAAGTCACACGTTCTCCATCACAGTTACCCTATCTGACACTGCAGGCCACACTTTCTCCATCACCGTTACCGTATCTGACCCTGCATGCCATACTTTCTCCATCACCGTTACCGTATCTGACCCTGCATGCCATACTTTCTCAATCACCGTTACCGTATCTCACCCTGCATGCCATACTTTCTCCATCACTATTACCTTATCTGACCCTGCAGGGCATAATTTCCCTATCATCTCTACCGTATCTGACCCCGCAGGCCATACTTTGACCGACACTGTTACCTTATCTGACCCTGCGGGCTTTTTTCCCCCATCACCGTTACCTTATCTAATACTGCAGGCTATACTTTCCTCACCACCGTTACCGTATCTGAACCAGCAGGCAACACATTCTCCATCACCGTTACCTTATCTGACCCTGCATGCCACACTTTCTCCATCACCGTTATCTTACCTGACCCTGCAGGCCATACTTTCTGCATCACCGTAACCGTATCTGACCTCGCAGGCCATACTTTCTCCATCATCGTAACCGTATCTGACCCTGCAGGCCACACTTTCTCCAACTGTTACCTTATCTGACACTGCAGGCCACACTTTCTCCATCACTGTAACCTTATCTGACCCTGCAGGCCATACTTTCTCCATCATCGCTACTGTATATGACCCCGAGGGCCATACTTTCTCCATCACCGTTACCATATCTGATCCTGCATGACATACTTTCTCCAACAATGTTACCATATTTGACCCTGCATGCCACGCTTTCTCTATCAACATTACCTTATTTGACCCTGCATGCTATACTTTCTCCAACACCGTTATTTGGTCTGATCTAGCAGACCATCCAACACCGTTACCTTATGGAATACTTGACCACATCACCGTTACCTTATGGAATACTTTACCACAACACCGTTACCTTATGGAATACTTTACCACATCACCGTTACCTTATGGAATACTTTACCACATCACCGTTACCTTATGGAATACTTTACCACATCACCGTTACCTTATCTGACAATGCATGCTATGCATTCTCCAACCCTTTTCCCACTCTGAAACCTAATCCAACACTTTTCCAGACGTCTTCACACACTCTGACCAAGCCTCTCACGGTTCCCTGAAGTAGGGACCAGTATTTACCCTACGTCTGGTACTCGTTGTAACACAAGTTCATGCACTATCTCATACTCTTGTTCCTGACGCCTCATACTCCCATAATGTAACTGAAATGATGCAGCGTTCACATCAGCCAACAGGCTTCCTTGAGGGAACAGAGCCACCTTAATCAACAGACGGTTCCCCATGGAAAAACAAACTTTTATGTTTACTTCCGTAGGACAAGATGTACATCTTTTGGGGGACACGGTGGGCGAGCTGTCTAAGGCGCCAGGCTTTTTATCCAGCAAGCTTGAGGTGGGGGCATCGAGCCCACCTGTGACCGGGTGTAAAAACCTTGGAGTCACCTTAGTGTGCAGACTCTTTCAGTGTTGTCACAACCCTTAGTGTACAATACACAACCATGTGCACTTAAAAGAACCGACGAATCCGTTGGTATATGACCAGATTGTGGCCACATGAATACGTGCAAACACCTAGTTGCGGGTACAGCAACGTTCAGTAAACGTGGACAAGTTACTGTGTCTATGTGTCCCAGCCCAGCCCACTCTGAATGGATACCTCGTAAGGATGGGAAAGCCGCAATAACTTGGTGCGGCCAGTGGATGCAAGAGGTGTATGTTTCCCAGGGAGTTGAGATTGATAATACGATGTGTCGTTGACATCCAGTGATCGAGGGAAAACAAAACAGCGCCTTGAGCATATAGTAGTTTCGTGGATATGGGCACTATATAACTATACAATAATAAATAAATAATATGATAATATTTGTATTTCTTTGAACATAGACATGCGTCATAAGCCGATCTCTACTTTCAGATTACCGTATACAACCACACAGCCCATTTGAGCTTTGACCTCACCGATCTTCCACCAGTCAAAGGAGACGTCGTTACCTTCATGTCTGGGATCTCGTTGGATCTCGCTGCTTCCGAGTTTATACGAAGTGTGAAGCAAAGCACATTTCAGGTCAACCTGAAGATCAATGGAAAGGTGAGGCAGATGTCCTTTAAAATCGGAGGATGTGGGGTAGCCTAGCGGTTAAAGTGTACGCTCGTCACGCCTAAGACCCGTGTTCGATTCTCCACATGGGTACAATGTGTGAAGCCCATTTCTGGTGTCCCCCCGCATGTGATGTAGCTGGAATATTGCTAAAAGCGGCGTAAAACCAAACTCAGTCACTACCTAAATGAGCCTACATCTACTCTCAGTGAAATGAGACTACTAGGGGCTTATCATCGTGTTCAAGATTACCGTACTTTTCGTCCTCAAGAATCATATCTGTATTTCATCGAACACTTCAGTGAAGTCTGATCATGCCTTCTCAGTCCCGAGTTACGGAACTTTCTGCGTTTAGAGAAACTTTCTGCGTTATCTAGAGACGTTTTAAAGTCTAAACTCACCCACTCCGCTCAGCACTTCAATAGACTTCCAGGATACATTGTGTATATACACAAAGAACAAAGTATCGCAACATCAGATATTTTTTACAGTATAATTATGTTTTACTATTAACCACAGCAAAGGAATTTATCCAAACCTCCATTTAACTTACCGTCTGTAATTGTTCAATTGCGTACAGCCTGTAAAACCCCATTTCTGGTGTCACCCGCCGTGATATTGCTGGAATATTTGTGAAATAGGCGTAAAACCATACTCACTCACTCACTCGTGGCACATTGTGAAATGAAATGAATTAGGCAATCGCAACTTCTATTCCAGACCGTTCGCTGTAGTAACCTTGTGGTTAAAACGCCGAAAACCCGGTTTCGATTCTCCACAACGGTACATGTTAGACATTGTAATTCCCGTATCCTTCTTTTAACATCGATGGCGGTGGGGTAGCCTAATGGTTAAATCGTTCGCTCGTCACGCCGAAAACCCGGGTTCGATTCCCCACATAGGTACAATGTGTGAATCCCATTTCTGGTGTTCCCCACCGTTATATTGCTGGAATATTGCTAAAACGGCGTAAAACCATACTCACTCACTTTTCAAATATATCCACCTATGAAAGTATGGTATTTACAGTGAGTGAGTATAATTTTAAGCCGCGTTTTCCAAATTTCCAGCAATACCATGGCGAGAATGCTAAAGTGGCGTAAAACAGTACTTATTCACTCTATTCCAGACCAACTACTTGCCTGGGGTGCCAGCATCGCTGGAGGAAATGACTGCAGGACCGACGCCCTTCGTCACCCGACCTCCGTCGACATCCCCTGCTCCCCAGACACAAGGAAAGGTGACTCAAGGGCCGGTGACACAGAAACCCGTAACACAAGGGCCGGTGACACAGAAACCGGTAACACAAGGGCCGGTGACACAGAAACCGGTAACACAAGGGCCGGTGACACAGAAACCGGTAACACAAGGGCCGGTGACACAGAAACCGGTAACACAAGGGCCGGTGACAAAGAAACCGGTAACACAAGGGCCGGTGACACAGAAACCGGTAACACAAGGGCCGGTGACACCGGGAATCAACCCACCAAAAGGACCCACAACAGGAAACCCCTATGCCATGGCGTCTTCAAAGAACGTGTTGTGCAATACGTCAGGCGGAGGATATTCGGCGGGTAAGGTTCTTCATTTTAGTTTTTCACTTTGTAAAGTAATTCAGTGTTCCTACATTATCTGGCCCTCCCATTGGCGGGGTGTTCATTTCATCTTGCTCATTGAAACATCAATCGGAACACATCTTGGGTAACTTGTATATCTACTGTAGGTGTCGTTGAGTTTACAGTGACGTCACGGCTTTGTTCTTCAAAATTTATTGAACTTAATAATCATCCTTGCGTAAAATCAGCGAGACATTGTGACAAGCCAAAGCACTCTGTCCAGCATTCTAAATGTCTCCTAAACTATTCCCAGCTGGCGGGATTTGAACACACCGAATTGTATTTTCACTTTGGGACGTGAGAAATATACTATTCACACTTTGCTAAGGATCAAATCATTGATTCAACAGAAGACTATGATGTGGGGTCAAATTTGGTTTAAATATCAAAGCTTATTGTTAGCATGGATGCTTGGTTTCAGTGTGCCATTGCATCTTCTTGATCCCCTTAGCTGCTATTAACAGGTGTTGTTTATTTGTCAATGAATGACTCGTTCCATGATTTGCAAAATGGCTGATTGGTGCCATGAAAACCATTTTTATGGTTACTCATGTATCAAGTGCTTAAGGTTAGATTAAAGTGACTGCTTGCCTGAAGAGGGGTTACCATATTATTATTATTTATCTAGTTTTGAATGGATACAATTTTAAATTATAGATCTACGTTTAAGTAAAGTTGTGAATTTTTGTGACCCTTATCAAAGTGTGAGTAGTATACATTGGAGTGAACATGCAACAGTTTCTGTGTGATTCAAATTGTCCATTACGTTTCTTGCGGTGAAGGCTGAGAAAGAAATGTTTCCACCAATCATGCTGCACGCGCGAAATAGACAGGGGACCGATTGAGTCAAATCTCGATCGACGCATGCAGCTCCTGCTTTCATTTGTATTTTGTGCATAATAATATGTGGTGGTGGTGGAATTGGGTTTAACGTCGTGCTTGAGAATATTTCGCTCATATGACGACGTGCATGCGTGTGTATTTGTATGTGCGGCTGCTTGTACTAGCACCAGACTGAAGCTGGTTTTATAGTGCTAGCCCACTGAGATACCATGCCGCAGTGAAGCATGAATACCCCACTCAGACACATTATACTGACTCCGAGCCGACCAGTCCTTGTTGTACCCATAAATGCCGAGCGCCAGGCAGGGACCAACAAGTACCATATTTTAACATCTTTTGGTATGACGCGGTCGGGGATCGAACCCGCTGACCTTCCGCACTCCGGGCGGACGCTCTAACCACTACACCACGGAGGCGGTTCATAATAATATGTACAAAGATAAGCATGATGTTAAAATTAGCTTGAAATTTAAAAGTCGGTAAATGAGATGGATGTAACACAAACACCGCTGAGTTTTACCCTCAAATGCCGGACTTTAATCCTCGCTTGTGGTTGCGAGACATATCGAATTCGAAGGCCTTGGATGCAGATCAGTTTGTGGAAACAAACTCGTCAATTACTGACAATACAACCTACGTGGTGTAGTGGTTAGAGCGTCCGCCCGGAGAGCGGGTTCGATCCCTGGTCGCGTCATACCAAAAATACGTTAACATATGGAACAAGCTGGCTGGCGCTCGGCATTAATGGGTACAGCGAGGACTGGTCGGCTCGGAGTCAGTGTAATGTGTCTGAGTGGAGTATTCATGCTTCACTGCGACATTGTATCTCAGTGAGCTAGCGCTATAAACCAGCTTCAGTGTGGACTAGTACAAGCAGCCGCACATACACACGCATGCACGTCGTCATATGAGCGAAATATTTTCATGTTCAACCCCATTTCACCTCTCCTGACAATACAAGAGTTAAAAGGGCCAGTTTGGGATTCGAACCAGGCTTTTCGTATCCTGCCTCGTATAGGAATGACACATCGAAATCATGACATTAAGAAATCCACCTTTGTATTTAAGTACATAGTACATTGGGGAACTTAAACACTCGGTCAGAATTGTGTTGATGAAACAAAATGCATGCCATCTTCGTGTCACAGGGGTAATGGCGGGTGTTGCCGTGGTGATGATCGTCGTTGGTGGTGCAGGAGGAGGAAGTCTTGCGATATTTCTGTCAAGAAACAGGCGCATCTAGATTACAGTGTAAGTATTATTTATTTTAGTATATTTTTTTTAGATGGAGGGGCGGTGGGGTAGCCTAGTGGTTAAAGCGATCGCTTGTCACGCCGAAGACCCGGGTTCGAATCCCCACATGTGCAAAAAGTGTGAAGCCCATCTCTGGTGTCTGCCGCCATGATATTGCTGGAATATTGCTAAACCCCAACTCACTCACTCACGGTTTTAGATTGTAACTTCTATCTTCATTTGTTTGTTTGTGTGTTTGTTTGTTTCCTGAAGATAGGGCGTGCGTAAAACCTTACTCATTTAATCACTTGCCGAAGATCAGGCTCGGTGCCCCACACCATGACATGGTTGAAGCCCCCGGTGTGCCCGGTCTTGACATCTTGAAGTGTCTCTCTCTCTCTCTCTCTCTCCTTCTCTCTCTCTGTCTCTCTCTCTCTGCCCTCTCTCTCTCTCTCTCTCTCTCTCTCTCTCTCTCTCTCTAATATCTATATATATATATATATATACTCACTATAGACGGACTGACTGACTGAATTTGGTTTTACTCCGCTTTTAGCAATATTCCAGCAACATCACGGCGGGGGACACCAGAAATGGGCTTCACACATTTTACCCATGTGGGGATTCGAACCCGGGTCTTCGGCGTGACGAGCCAACGCTTTAACCACTAGGCTACCCCACCGCCCCAACTCTCTATAGAACTTCCACTGTAATCTAAACTGCAATCATTGTAAACTGTTGGAAAAGAAAGCATATAGTTGAACATAAACTTACAAACGCTATGAAGGCGTAAGCAGGTTGGAAAAAGTGAGTGAGTGAGTTAGGTTTTACACCGCTTTTGGCAATATTCTAGCAATATGACGGCGGGGGACACCAGAAATGGGCTTCACACATAGTACCCATGTGGGGAATTGAACCGGGGTCTTCAGGGCGACGAACGAACGCTTTAACCACTCGGCTACCCCACCGCCCCGGTTGGAAACAGTGGCCGAAGCACAGTAAAAGTACTTATCAAAATACAACTGACTGACTGACTGAGTTTGGTTTTACCCCGCTTTTAGCAATATTCCAGCAACATCACGGCGGGGGACACCAGAAATGGGCTTCACACCAAAATACAACATACAAAATACTATACTGTTCAAATCATCATTTTTGTTTATATCACATTGCCACCGTCACACAGGGTTGACACTTTCTTTTGCCCCGCACTGTATTTCCGTGTCATTCCAGGGCGATGGTCTTGTTTCCTGGTGAATTTCCTTTATGAATTATATTATGTTTTCTAACAATGAACTCAATGAATATTTTGTTTTGCAGGCACTGAATGTAAAAGAATGTAATACGTATGATGTTCAAGATGCCGATGGATGGACGTGCTTCGTACCGAGTTTCAAGAACATGTCTACTGTAAAATAACTATAACTACCATAACTAAATCAACTATAGTTGCAACAATTCATTTCTATCAATTACTGATTTTTTAACACAAACCATACATTGTATATAAAATGATTTTCAGTGTTCATCGTTTAGCAAGGGAGGTAACACTAACAGTGTATATATAAGGGCCTGTAAGTCTCGCGAGGCGCTACTAAGCTGGTTCCCAGCTCCTTTTGACATATGCGAGACGGGGCCCAGCTTACTTCCTGTACCCGATTTCCGGTGGCAAGCGGACCGGAATTGCGCGACGCCAAATATGGCTTTTCTTGACCGGACCAAGTGTACAACCATGCTTGGCTGTCACGGCTGTTGACAGTCGTAATAGTTGGCGAATTTGCGAATGGTTAGATCGAAAATATGTTATTCCTACATGGATTATCGGTTGCTTACTGTCAACTGACAACCATGAGACCATTCGAAAAGGAGTGAAACCGGAAATACTAAGGTCTCGCGAAGTGCCGTGACCTACTTACGGGCCCTATTGGGGACCTTATCCTTCAAATATACATTTGTGTGTATATATAAACTTGGTGTCTTCATTATATGCTTGACGAAATGCTTTGACGTTAATGTGTCTCTCACTTCCACTGTATATCAGATGATTTTTCTTTATCCATCCAATTTAACATTTCAGTCTTTATAACGGGGGTATCATGAGGATTGGTTCATATGCAGCCCTCATCGTTATAAGACGATAGCCAACTTAACCGTTGCTTTTCATCCGTTAACAACGTGTGCTACTGTCTACACAACTCACAGTTATCCAAAGGCATGATGTATAATTATTATTGTTATATGCGCTCCCTAGGTCTGTTTATCATCACCATCATTATAAACAGTTTGAACGGATGGAAGTAAAACTTAACGTACTACAGACAGGTGTTCTTTGGGGATATTTCTGCTGCTCTTTGTTTTAAGTTCACCACAGACATGTATCGGGGGGTGCCTCTATTCTATAAAGCGTCCGCCCGTGACGTGGACGATCCGGGTTCGATTCCCGACACGGGTACAATGTTTGAATCCCATTTCTGGTGTCCCCCGCCGTCATGTTGCTGGAATATAGCTAAACGCGGCGTAAAACTCAATTCACTCACTCACCCGACGGGGAACCATGCAGCTGAGGATCAGGGAGCGATAGATAATGATTTGCTAAGAAGATTTAATCGTGGCACATTTCAAACATCAGTTTTTAGTAAAATCACCACCGGAAATGTTTTTAAAGGTTTGAAAGAAAAAATAGAAAATGCTCATCAAGGTATGATTTTTCCAGTCATTTTTTGTGTACATATACGAAGGTTATTCAATAAAATGATTATCATGTAAATATATTATACTATTTCAATAGATCTTTTATAAAATCAGTTTCCACACGTCTACATGTTTGTTATCCTTTAACCCTGTACTCCGTAATATTAAGGCTCGGCGAGGTAGCCTAGTGGTTAAAGCGTTCGCTCGTCACGCCGAAGACCCGGGTTAGATTCCCAACACGGGTACAATGTGTGAAGTCCATGCCTCGTGTCTCCCACAGTGATATTGCTGGAATAATGCCAAAAGTGGCGTAAAGCTAAACTCACTAACTCGAGGACCGCGGTCTGTGGATAAACGAATCAGTCCAGTGATTGACATCATGAACATGGATCTATGTTAATTATACAATTGCATGCATGGAGACTTGGCCTGTAGTGACTTTTAACGACAAGCATGGGTTGATGAAGACCATTTCAAACCCGTATCGTCACGGAAACATGTGAGTGATGCACAAAGTTTAACTTCGCAACTCGTATAATTAATATCCAGCAAGTCTGATTGAAATTGGCCGTCATTTTCTCCGAGGCTGGGCATGTCAATCGTGTTCCAGGCCGATGAATGGAAGCGTTTTCCTTATCTTCTTAAGATAGCATTGAGTCGAAATGACAAGCATCCGATTATTTGGCCTTCCGTTGTTCATTTTGGGCCGCGCCCGCACAAACTCGTGAAGATCCGGGTTAGAATTGGTCTTCAGCAAGCAATTCTTGTCGTAAGAGGCGACTAACGGGATCAGGTGGTCAAGCTCGCTGACTTGCTTAACACATGTCACCGTGTCCCAATTGAGTAGATCGATGCTCATGCTGTTGATCACTGGATTGTCTGGTCCAGACTCGATTAGTTACAGGCCGTCGCCATATAGCTGGAATGTTGCTAAGTGCGGCGTAAAACAACAATCAATCAGTTAACAATCTTCATTGAGAAACGAGTTGAATGTTGCTTCAACTGCCCAGGCCACGGGATGAAGTTTACGAGCCTTGGACGCCAAAACGACATCCCATGCATTTATGTAGATAACCCTTGACGATATGTCTCGGAATTCCTCTCTGATAATGGTGTCATAGATGTGACTCCAGCCCCCAGCAAGGTTGTCAGGAGATGTATAACAGTGGGTTCCTTTAATACCTACAATAACCTTGGGAGACCTTTGTAACAGCCGTTTTACTGCATTAGCTGTACGTCGAATACTTTCTCTGTACACAAGAGGCTGGTGGTTGGTAAAATGGGCATAAATATGTATGACAACAAGATCATTAGATCCACTTGGTATTTCATCAACATTGACATACACTGGTCTGGCTGTAGATCGGGCGGTATCACTGAAATATAACGGAAGCTCATGGGGTGTCCAGATCATTTTGAAGTTGAGGTCTTCCCTCTGACTCCTTCTCTGTCTTTGCCATTGTTCTGTAGTCCAGTTCCCTGTTAAAGATTCCATCTGAAGCCTCTTGAACAGGTTGGAAAAGAACTGCCTGAGTGTCGAGTCTCCGAACAGAAGTAGGTTTCGGTTTGAAATACACTTCTTCAGAGAGTAAAAACTAATTCCCAATTGCTCTGACATGATGTACAACTGGCCCTTGTACAGGAATCCTTCTGGAACAGACTCCGTCCACGTGCTCCTGATGATGTTTTGTCGACGCGTTTGTCTGTCATCGACGATGGTGTCTGAAAGAGGTATGAAAAAAAAAACATTGCAGGGAAAGAAAGTTGGTTCTTTTGTATATAGACGAGCAACATATTAGATAATTTCAGCTCCATGCTTTACAAAGCATCAACAATACCAAATATAGAGTCTTTGAAGGGCATTTAGAGGTGATCCACATAAAGACAAGTGTTTCTTTCTGGATGTCAACTTCTTTATTGTGAAGGGTCACCACGTTTAGAAGTATGTTCTTACTCCTTCATCAGGTGAATGAAACAATTAGGAACAAACAGCTGTTGTTAAAGATATTACGCACTGATCAGAAATGCTTAACCATACAGTATTTCCAATACACGTCTTAAAAACTTTTGCATCATTCCGGATATCAAGCGTATGTAAGTGAATACTTTTTATATGCTCATGTTACCATATATATGTATATATATATATATATATATCACATAGATAAATAAAAACAGAATGCCTTTTCTCCAACATGATTCGTTCTTTACTCTTCAGGGTGATTGTAGCGGTTACAGTATGTAAGAGTATATATATATATATATATATATATATATATATTATTGGCCGAGCGAATAATTGTGCACTAGTTTCGCATACAGTCCGTTTGAGACAAAATGATACCAATAAATTGCAATCTAACACAAAAACAACTAGACATAAAAGAATCAAACCAACGCGGACTGCAATAAATACAACAGACCAACTTTAGAAAAACATTTGCATAATTTGTGTCACCAAAATAAAAAAAGTTGTTTTAGAAACTGTCATAAACTATTTGTGCGTTTTCCCAGTTTGTTACAAGGGTGCAGTGGCAATTAAAGGAACAGCGCGAAAATCGAGATGCACGTGCATTATTGACGTCAGAGGTGAGGTGAGGTGAAATTGGGTTTAACGTCGTGCTTGAGTGACGTCAGAGACATGTAATGACTGCTAATTAATATACCTTGATACCTACACCGTATGAGTATTGTTTTGATATACCGTTACATCTGATAAACACAAGAAGTCATGCTTTGGTGTGACCCAAATTTTTGAGCTGGCGAGATGACACGTACCCCAGCTGCACAGGCAGTGCGCTGTATGTACTTAGTTCTGGCATACTTAGGTCACACCTTCTAATACTCATCCTTGAAGAAATCATAGACTTTGTGAATGATAGACTTTCATTTTCTCTCACTTTGTCATTCAGCCCATTACGGGTGTCCCCCGCCGTGATATAGCTGGGATATTGTTAAAAGCGGCGTAAAACTGAACTCATTCACTCACTCAATACAAGATTATATGTTTGTACAGACGCTGGGGTGCGTGTTAGGTGCCTTAGAAATAGATTCTGCGAGCAAAGCCTTCTCCAAATATTCGTGAAGCATACCCAATAACCAGATCTGACACGTCTATCACACATAACCAGAAATATAACTACGAAAAGAATACCTATAATGAAAGGCCGATATAGTTCAGCAGGTATAGCTGCCTTCAGGTACGTCAAGCACCTTGCTTATATCACACTGGAAAGAGTGGTAAGTGAATAATTATGTGACTAATAGATAAAGGGATAGCAGAAATAATATTCATATCAGTAATCAATAAATGCATGCATAAATGCATTAATCGATCAAATAAATCAATAATACCAATTTCATTAAATTTAAATACATCTATGCTGCGACGATATTTGACTGAAAATGTTGATATTATTCCGTGTTTGTACATTGTTTGTAAACCTATTTACAAAGGCTTCAAACATCCTACTGTCACCACATTCATCCTGCACACATCAAACAACATAAACTGATAAGCCAGACATCATAGTCCTTGTGAGAGAAAGAGATATTGAAATTGTTAAGGTGTAAACGCTATCTCATGCATATTGTTCCACTATATTGCACTTTGTTTACTATGTTCATTTTGGGCACATGAAACCTATAAGCATGACTTCTTGTGTGTATCAGATGTAACGGTATATCAAAGCAATACTAATACGGTGTAGGTATCAAGGCATATCAACACTAAAACACAAAATTATTCATACGGATAATATTCAGCTGTTCAACTGTTATCAGCTAGGCTTATCTGTTTTTGTGAGTCAAAGGAACTATTGATATTTATCAGTTTTGAAAGCTATCACATACATACCATTTCCAGCAATATCACGGCGGGGACACATTTGCGCTTTTCGAACAGTACTAGGCTACCCCACCGCCCCCATTGCTGGAATATTGCGGAGTAAATAAACAAACAAACAAATAGATAGAGGATAATAAACGACCTTCCGTGTAATACCATTTTTATTAAACGAGTTAATGATTTGGTATCAAAAGAGCGAAAGCGAGTTTGATGCTAAATCTTCCACGAGTTTAATAAAATGGTATTTCACGGACGCGAGTTTAGTAGTAAAGGATAAAACACTCCCCCTTCGGTCTTGGTCGGCAGAGCAGCAGGGACGGAGCTTGTAAAGCCGAGGGTATTTAACCTCATATCAGGTTAAATAACGACCATTTCAAAACCTCGGTTATGAAATGGTCGAAATTTAACCTGATATGAGGTTTCGAAACGTGTACTTCAAAACCTGGGTTTAGAAATGATCGGTGCAAAGTCACGGCAGAGGTCTACCCGATTCTGGAAGGAACCTACTTTACTGCAGAGAAAATCGGAGATAGGTTTATAATTCTGTTTATTACTCTCCAACATTATACAATTATTGACTTCTAGTGAAGTTGATCCAATGATTTATCGACCTTGGACATGGCGAAGCCGAGGTGAATATCACATGTCCAAGGTCGATAAATCATTGGATCAACCGAACTGAAGTCAAAAACTGTTTATTATGTGACAAAAGTACCGAATGCCTGTTCTTCTGTGACATAGGAGAGACTCAATATAAGCTGGAATAGGCTTACAGCTTTCAGAGGCAGTATTAGTAAATGAAAGCAATTTTTATTATAACAATCTTTTAGATATCTTTCAACAGTCAATAACATTTTAACATCTTTAAGATATCACAGTTCAAATATTTCAAGTCTCAATTTCAGAAGTGCTGAGTTCACAGCTGGAATATAGACAGAGTTATTAGCATTGTGACGTCATAACTGTAACCATTATGACGTCATACGTCTAGCAGTATTACACTAGTGTAATATTGTCCTAAATATATAACACTGCAGTATCTTCCACTGGCGAGTAATAAATAAACAGTATACTATAACATATTTGTTCTGTGCAAAACAGGTACTGTGTAAACGCAACTAGTATATACAATAGCGGAACGGGACCATGCCCTTGGTCAGTCCCTAATCCCGTTCGCTATTCTATATACTACTGGTGTAGGTACATGTCAAATTTCACGAAAATCGGTGTGACGGTTTGGGAAATATTGACTTTTAAGTGAGCATGGGGTCCATC